GTTCTATTTTAGCATCTGAACTGATGACTGTCCAACTAAATGAGAAAAATCAATGATTTTTAACGGAAGCAACCATCTTTTTAACATCCGTGATAATTTTTCGATCTACCAAACGGGCAAAAATATCACTTGTTGAAACAGATTATGTGGAGGATTTACGGTAGCCATATGATCTCAGTGAGAAATATTAATTTTTGTGTGTAGTATGTATCTGTGCTTATCCGTATGTTTGGTGGTCCGGTTGTTGTTTATAATATTTTTCCTTAATTGTGAATGTGACATTAGTTACTTGGATTAACCAAGATTTACATAGTGGATGTCGTCGATGAAGTAGAAGACGCATACCCTGTCGGACCTCCTGGTTCTTGTACATTTTCTGGATTCGCCGTGCAATTGTTTGTTTTTGTTCTTATCTTGCCATAGTTTCATTATATTTTGAGTTTGATTTAAGATTCTGTTAACATGTCAACATTTTCCTTTGTTGTTTTGGGCGGCAATTGAACTCTAATAGGTAAATGCAGTCTCTTTAACGCTAACGTCATAATTTAATTTTGGACGACTGAATATCAAATAGCATGTGAGAAGAATATTAATTTTACGTTTGTGTAAAGAAATGAGATGCACTGCAAATACCTCGATCCAGAATGAAAATAATCAATGTTCTTTTCTTTATTCTGATTAAAAATTTATTATATATGGTTGGATAATTTTTACAAATGCTTGCTGTACTATGGATCACTGCTATCATGAATGTTGTCAAAATGAAGGAAAACCTTGGTGGCCAGGCTAATCTACATATGTATTACAGACGATTAAAACGGATTCTATAGATCAAATACATTTTTTCATCGTACACTACATATAAATTAATTGGAACAGTGGCGCCGGTTACAATGTTCACAGATATTCGAGGTTCTTTGAAATTATCAGATATATGAAGATCGTGAAATGTATTAATTATGGTGATAGTGCCCCTCCTTTCGATCAAATATGGTTGTCCTCAGTCGCCTCTCGGATTTTCAAAATTTAGGTCCTTATTATCAGAGAGGAGTCCTACAACGACGAAATAGCTGTATGATGCATTTCATTGAGTATCTGACACTACTGCACAAAGTTCTAATTATTTTATTGAAAGGTGCTATTTGTGTGTAATATACAAAGCTTTTGGAATCCATCAATATGTTAACATTAGAATTACATAACGCACTATATCCTACACAATAACGAATGACATAACTAATGCAGGGTTTAATGAAGCGTGAACATTCTCTGTTGGTTTATATAGACATGGTATACACACCCATATGTTACATATGCATAGACTATTCAAATCTCGATGTTGTAGTATTTTCAATGTTTACATATAACTGATGTATTCAAACGATTTTTGAACATTGCAGTCTTAATAATTTCTGAATGTATTGCATGGTTTGGTATTGAGCTCTTATTGCAATATCTAGTCGTGTACGTAATCCTTTGATAAAAGACTCAAAAGTAGTCAATGCAAGTCTATACAAAGGTTCCATGAAGCCAGACAGTCTAAAGAATTTGTTAAATATTCACATCTCCAGCTTTTATCAAAGCAGTTTATTTGATTATCAAATGTTTTTATGAAAATTATTAACACCAGGAATTAATATTATCATTCTTAACGTTAAAAGCTTACCCAATCGCAGCGAAAGAGAAACGAAATATGGAAAAAAAATCACTAAGAAAAAATTAAGTACGTAAAAAAAATAGTTTTTCTTTGAATTCAGGATTTTTCTTATATACAAATAATTCAAATAAGGGTTCCCTGAGCCATAAATTGCACTCATAATGACGTCAGTTGTCAAATGAAGCAGATATGTTTTCAACAAGGATTAAGTCTAAGCAGTTGGATCTTTGCACTTCTTCGTCTGGGGAAGGAACGCCCAAAGGTAAACTTTTCGTGGGTTATTGTATTTTATAAAGTCGCCGTTACATTTTGTAATTAAAATACTAAGATATTGCGTCTTATTCTGAAATACAGAAACACGTTTTCATGTACATTGCAAATCACACATATAGGCATATGAATTGTATACATTGCAGTAGAAGTCATAGAACATTTACAAAATATTCATTAAAACAAAACTGAAAAGAGGAAATATACATAATCCAAACTCAATTCCATTAACACTAGGGCAAGAATATGAACAAAAAGAAAAAAAAAAGAAAAGATTTACACGGAGTCTCCTGAAAAAAGTACAACGAGAATAAGACCAGATGTTCAGGATAGGTAAGCCTCCTCTGCTTTGTCGACGACTAGCCCCATGTAAATCTTGGTCAATCTTAATAAGTTATGTCATGTTCTCAAATAAGAACAAGGTATACAACAGCAAAACCAACAGGCAAACCTTTGAGCTGCAAACACGTCCAGCTCATATCGTTCAAGAAATAAAATATATCTTAAAGACACCTCTATGATGACTATGAAACTTCTTGTTACCGGTTTGTCCGTCTGTTGACAACTTCCTGCACGAAAATCGTGATAATGGGAACAGGCTCTTGAATATCAAATAAACTGCGACATATGAACACCTTAGGTTGGTGATGCTGGGATGTGTTAATCAGAAATGGAAAATTCAAGATAGGGAAATTAAAATCATTACGCTTATTTAACAGCTTCGCGGAAGAATGTCCATACTACAAAAATATACCGTCAGTACAAATAATGTGTTTCGTTTATAGCAGTTATACTTAATTACATTAATCATTAATAAACATAAGCATTAGTTAATGAGTAGGGATGTAGGAATACGTATCCTCAACACGAAAGGGAAAGTAAATCAACACTGAACCATGAGCAAATAAAACTGTGTATGAAGGGAAAAGCCTTTCAACCAATTTACCAAAATGAAACTGATTATTACAAAATTATTGACAGTTATACAAATAAATACAGATGGTAAATCAGATTGATATCAATCATGGTTTTCATATAACATATAAACTTTATTCACTTTACAATAATTGCGAAACAAGTTATCGCAAATTAAACTAATCAGTTTGGGTGTCCTGAATGTAAGTGCGCGAGGGGTCTTATTGTGGAAGGGAACCGGAGTACCCAGGGGAAACCCACGTGGCCGGACAAGTGATCTCATATCTTTCCACGTCCTTTCCAGGAATCGAATCCCGGATGGCGAAGTGAAAGGGATATGTTTTTCCACTGCGTCATGACGCATGATTTCATCTGAAGGAGTATAGGAAAAAGCAAGTGCTCGTTTTCTTTCATTTATTTGTTAGTTGAATTTAGAAAAAAAGGTTGCAACATTTATAGCTTGATCTAGACGGTTCTTTTGGCGTATATTTGTATACACAGTCCCGGATGACTTGACTCATAAACTCTGTTGACGTATTTGATTTCATATCAATAGAGGCATATGTCGTAACCTCTGTGTACGTTACTTCGCTGAAATACTGAAGTAACGAACCATACTGGTCGTTTTGCCTAAAGCACGAGACATGGGTTATGTTATCGATTGTAGTAATGTTCAAGATGTTGCCCTCGATGCAGCTGTCTGTTTGTAAGTAGAAAACAGATACAGTGTTGTCGCTTTTGTTGGACCAATAATAACAACTGTGTTAACTTATACTACAACGTTCTTGTCCAGGCTGTTTGATGACTAATGTAAAGAAAAAAAAGTATTATGAAATGTCAAACTGCAAAGTGACTAAAGCCGTATACACGACAACTTAATGAGGATTAAAACGAACAGCGGTTTGTAGTTGTCCGGAGTTCTACACAACATACCACATATGCTATGGCAAAGCTTTATGAAATATGGAAATATGCACAAAAGCATAGAGATGAACGGTTAATTAGTAAGGCAATCAACCATAATAGAAACGGTTCATCTTTAACGAAACGAAAACAGAATTTGAGATGTCTTGGTAAGAATTCATTTCCGCGCAACTAAAGAAACACGAACGGACCATCAAAGGAATATTTCGGCGATTACAGGGGAAAGCAAAATATATGCGACAAGTAATTGATTTGTTTGAGAAACTACCATTTGTTCAGTGCAACTGAGATTGTCTAGGGAAACGATTCGACTTTCGACATTTTTGAAGGAATTGCTCTCGATGGTTTCATGGGATTTACACCCAATTGATTTTAGTTATGGTCTGGCAATATGAATATTGTTACCATAATTATAACTATAATTAACGAGTGATTATGAACAAAATGTTGTGATTAGTTGTTAAGCTTGTAAATATTATAAAATATTTTTGTTTCTTTTTTCACTTTTACTGCATGTTGTTATCAACGATGTCAAAACTTTCTCATCCTAACAATGATGATACGCGTAAGACTGGTGTTTATTTATGCCAACCGGTGACATTTTTGATAAGACTACACAAACCGTCGTTGACTGAAGGCCATCTCAATTCGTGGTCAAGTGTAAACAATCACATACCCAAACACCACCCGTGTCGTTACAGCTGTAAAGCACACATATGGTCAGTTTAGGATATGTCATAAACAAGTATATATAATGTATGTGTATACATTTTTATTGGTCAAGCAAAGGAACATAGTTTACCAGATCGTTGGCAGTCTGGGGTTGACGTAACACAGAGCTCTCAAGATTGTGATGACTCAGTGTCCATTACGGTCAGTGGGTACAATGTTGATCACATAACATCAGATATTCAGACAAGGGTGTCTATTTGGAAGTGTATACGCCCTATTCAGGAACTGACCAAAATGATAAAACGTACACATCGACACTGTGAATTATTTGAAAGTGCATTCAAGATCATAGTGTGATTGACGTCTGCTGTATAAAAACTGTATTTGAATGGTTTGTACCCGATTATGGAAGTTCAAGAAAAGGTTAGATGTAAAATCTAAATACACTGACACAATCCGAAATATGATGATGTATGTTTGATTTTAAATGATAGTGCCGGGAATCAACCTTATCTTCAAATCATAGATAAAATCAAGTGTCCGACAGTCAAAAAAGGCGACGATGGAACATATTTCTAATGCAAGTTTTGCAGTCCTAGATTTCCTTATGAGCTTTGTAGTTGTTTCACCTTGTGTCGTATTCTTTTGGAGAGGAAGCTGGGGAATACTTGATGTCTACCTGTATCCCAATCAAATGGAGCTCAGTGCTTGGATTTGCTTTGCTTATGGCAATTTTGTGATGATATTAACAGGTCTCGTGCAGAAATATTCTACAAAGATAAACAAGTTAAAAAATGTAGTATTCTATTTCGTTTTGTCGAGACTCTACATTTACATCCTTGCAACCGGAAGTGTTGCACAGTGGCGCGGAATTTGGAATTTGCAGGATTACTACACCGGGAAAACATGGCACAGCGCATTATCGTCCTTCGTTATAGGATCTGGTGTAATCTGCTGCTTACGATGTGTCAAATCAATTATGGCGGCGGCTCCTTTGCTCGTTGCGCACGACACGGATCACGTAAAGCTGTTCAGGATAACAGGCATACTAGGGTCAAAGGTTAGTCATTAAAACTATCATACTTTACATGATGTCTCTGCAAAATGTTATCCATTATAAAATATGTAATTTGACTAAATGTATTTGTTTTGTAGCAACATTTAATATTTCAATACTGGAGGAGGTGGGGGTGGGGGTGTAATTTAGAATTATATACAAATAATGCATTTATATACGTCAAATTGCTGATTCTTTCATCCAGAACTCTTTGGTATACCAAGGGCCACAAGTGTTGAAAAAGTGACATAAAGAACAATAAGAATGTATTTCGTTTACATAAAGAAGTAACTTTCAATCTTGAAATCGTACTTTGTACTATATTGGACTGAATGGACTTAGCTCCCTGTGACGAGTTAAGCTCATAGCCTAGACAAAGATTATTGTAAATGAATTATTTATATAATTGCACTGGAAATATAATTCATATATGACTTCGTATTATATAAACAGCAAGACAAAGCAGTAACATGTTAATGAAAACAGCAACTCAAAAAGAGATATGTCAAAATAGTAATAAAATTTAAATAAACTAGGGCAGCAAACAGTAAACAGGGGAATAATCAATATGCAGAATTAGATCAAGAGCTGTATATGCTTTATCGCTGACACACGCCATATCAGTCTTACTACATAATGTCACGTTCTTCAATAACAAGAAAATACCAATATGTGAATGTAATCCTTATCCAAACTCAGATTTAATAAAATTAGGGCAAAAATATGAACAAAAGAAAGATTTCAGCGGAGACTCAGGACAAAGTACAAGAAGAATAAGACCACGTGTTCAGGAAAATTAAACGTCTTCAGCTTCATTGACGACAACCATCATGTAAATATTAGTCAATCCAAGTTAGTAATGGTACGTTCTCAAATAAAAACAGGGTATATAACAACGGAACCAATAGGCCAACTTACCATTAAAACATGCCCTGCTTTATATCGTACATAGAATATCTCTCAATGTGATCTCTATGACAATCATGAAACGTCTCCTTCACTTTGTCGAACATTTGACAACATTTTGCGAGAAAATCGTGATACTGAGAATAAATGAGAATCAAGTGTATAACAACAAGAGTACCATGGCTGCAAACGATAATCAAACACATCTAACTAATCCTTGTTATGTAGAAATTTAAATGTGACATCATGATGGTTGTCATACACCTTCCCCATAATATTTCATAATAATCTTTTAATCATTCATAAATCAAGAGACATCCGTGTTTTCAATCATGGCTGATGTCGCGTAGATTCACACCAGATGGTACATACATTTGCCCGCAGGAAAATGCAAATCATTTTGAAATCGTCCCTTATGTACATTTGTCAGAGGATGAATAACAGTATTGATAGAAATCAATTTTCAAGTACTAATTTAGACAGTGGGTTTTGTATCAATGCACAAAAAAACATATGTGACCAGCATGACTAATAAAAATGTGAAATGTCTGCAAAAAAATTATCTGATATCGCGATGAATTGATTTCAAGTTGTAAACCAAATGTTTTACTATTAAACAATACTAGAGACAGACCGGGTGAAAATACCGGCAAGTTCTGGTGAAAGGGCTGTGCCCAATTTTGCATTATCTACTATAAAACCGATATTTCCATGCGACTCCATGTTCTAAAACTATTTAATAATATAGCTAAATGAAATCTGGTCATGTAAATTCGTTGATAAAGAGAACTCACGAAATGAATGTATATAAAACTTTCACGAAAATTAATGATTTGACGGTAGCTTTTTCTGTCATTATTTGAGCAAATCGGACAGAAAAATTGTTTGGTAGAATATTTTTGTGTAGGTAATCGCTAAAATGAAGCTCACGGAAAGTTCTCATTTCGAAGAAATGCAGAAAATGTTATAAAAATATTGTTGCAAAATATTACCTGCTAGTGGCATTACATATATCGTTTTACAACGCGTTATGGTTTCATTATAATTTTAAACAACTTCGAGGAACAGATCTGGGATTATGTATATGTAATCTAACTGGGTATTAACTTATCAGTTGACATTTTCCTGAATCACCATTCTATGTTATTCGTCAAGATAATTAAAACACAGCCAGAAATATCTATAACTGTTAGTGAGGGCAACGAAAATTAGTCAAAGTAAGGTATTAATTTTAACACAGATATACAGGGAAATGAAGTAAAGTCTAAACCAACAACTAACAATTGTCAGGCACAAACAATCAACATTCTATCTTACAAGTTATGAAGTTATACTGTGTATGATATTACTAACAATATGCGTTGCTCTTGAGAGTATTTTATGTAGTACACTTCGGCTTTTACACAGTCCTTGCTGTATATACCAATACATTTTTTCTGTGTAAATTGTCCATTTGCTAGAGGAACCACTATATCCCAATTATAGGTGGAGTTATGGTTCTTCGGCCACAGTTTGTTCTTTCAGCGAAAAAAGTGTACTATGTGATTTGCTATGTAAATACCAGAACCGGTTAAAGTTAAGAAGTGCCGAATTCTGATACAGGATTTCCGCCAAAACTGTAGACATACCTACATTTTCTCCTGGACTACAAGTAATTCATTCTTTAAGGAATATGCATGATTGTTCACTGGAAATATATGAAGCATTCGTATGCTAAGTCGAGCAATATATTCTGTAGTGTATCAGTAATATTTTTATCATACTACACGTGCTAGGGAACAGGAAAAGCAACTTATCTTGTTCACTTTAAAATATCATTTCCGATTTTGTAAATTGCAGTACCATCATAACGGCAAACCGTACAGCTGTTATTTCACAAAGAGAACCTTGTATAAATTATACTTTCAGTTGGTTTTGATTTCCAATCGGAAAGAGGCTGATACTACAACATTGAGATAGGCTCACGCTTATGTCGATTATTTTACTTTCATCTGTATCAGTTATACAAACGGCATGCATTTTTCTATAATTTTTCTATAATTAACATATTTATAGTAATTGCATAAATATTCATTATCATGTTTGATAATACCCAGTGCAAAATCTTTCTTTTTATTTCAATAAATGTAAACAAGTGTTCTTTAAATTTAACTTTTGGTCATTATCTGCCTATTTTATCAACCACATTTGTTTCTGTTGGCAGGTTAGCTGTTCACCTTGGTTCATTGTTGACATGATGATGACTCCCCTACTCCTCCACACCCTCATCGTCGTCTTCTGGAGGGGACTTTGGACATTGATGAATATATGCCTATATCCAGAAGACAATGTACAATCAGGCCTTTTTTCACTTGTAGCCAGCCTCGCTTTAGCATACCCAACTCTCATTGGTCAACATTTCATTATGTCATTTGTCAAAAAACAAGGCCACAAAAACAAAATTTGCGTTGTCCTTATATTGAACCTGTATCTAGTCATGGCGAGTTGTTTGCCGGTCGCCCATTGGAGAGGCATTTGGACGTTGCAAGATGTATGGTTGATTCCAGAGAATAAAGCAATAAGTGTTTGGATGTCACATACTATAGGATTTCTTGGTGGTGTACTCGTGTTATCAGCAAAATCTATTCCAGTTTCAGGTTGTTTGTTAGATAGAAATATTGGCAAAGACAATCGGCGGTTGGTTGATATAACATATTTTAAAAAGATCCGCGACTATATTTGCTTTCAAGAGAATGTCAAAAGTCAAAACTCTTTTAATGGTAAAGAAAAAACAAAACAGGAAAATGAAAATAAACCAATTGAGTTCACGTTTATCACACATTTATGACGTATGCTTTGTTTTATTGTCAATTAAAAGTTGCACTATTATAATATTACTTTAGTTATTGTTTGCTTTCCTACAACAGGTAACGTTGTTTTGATATTAAAACTGATTTAATATTCAAACGTGATATCTGTAGAATGCTTTAATTTTTACCTTGATTTTTTTTATTTCAATTTTCAGTTTAGTCAATTATGTTTTTATTGTGTCATAAGTTAATATTTATCAGTAACATTCAGACATGATAAATTTTGCATTTGATTCGCATGTAAATTATAGCTATGGTGACCGTGACCTTTGAACTCTGAATATGACAAAAAGAACTACTATTAGCACTGTGAAAGTGTGAGCGTAATCATCATTGCAAACAGATATAAGGACATCTTGTAGAAACAAAAGTCTATTTATAGTAACAGTGACATTGACCTGTAACATTAAGGCCTGTAATCACTCAGACGCATTTTTTAGAGTTTGAGTGCAGTTGCCAAAACAGAACCGGTAGCAATCCAAGTTTATTCGGTCAAAAATAAAGTTTCCTGGGGTAAAATGTACTTCAAAATTGTTTTTTTTACCCACAATCTAATACTAGACTTCAACGTTTCTGTGCTTTTTAGAGACACAATGAAAGGTAATTGATATGGTTTTTGAAGATTTTCATTTATTGCGTGATACAACCCACAAAATGAATAGATACCAGATTGCACCATATCCTCCCTTCCGGACGTACGGATAGATGAACAACTTAATTGATTAATATAGGGCAATCACAACGAAACATTCATATATGTTTGAAGACAGTTAATGGTTTATACCATAAGAAGATACGCCCTGTTAATTCTTTTTGCTAAATTTACTATATAAGTTACTAAATATAGAGATAAATGGTACAATTACAGACTGACAATCATTCGACGATAACATACAAAGCATGAAAGGTTCGTCATTTGTGAAAAGAATGTTTTGTGTCATTTTAAAGTAGAATATCGCAAACATACATTTAAGTGTTTGAAATCATACTTTAACTGTTATTGACATATTTAGCGAATTTAGGGAATATGACACTGATAAAGAAAGTAAGTAAATTGAAACAGATTTACGAATGGGATATTTAAACAAAAGGCGTACTACAGTTCCATATTTGCATCGCTGTTGACTGGACTAGTACACTGATTAAGATTGGATTTAAACATGAAATAGACATTATAATAAAAAAGTGAAAGTATGAATTTTCATGAGAGATTAATTTTCTATCAATTCGTAGTAAATCTTAATTCACGAATTCATCCGTCCACGAAATGATAAAACAATGCAAATTCACATGAATTTTAGTATTAGTGGATTTCGTCAGTAAGATTCATCCATTCAAGTACAAAACAAAAGGCATATTTGTTCTGAAACCGTGACATTTGAGCCCCACGAAAATACTTGATTTTACAGTATCTTTTCCTTCACCATTAATCATTAATAAATGCTTTAAAGACTGAATCCTACGGATAACTCGAAGTCGTGCACGTATCCAAAATATGATTTGACGTTCAGTTTTCAATAAGCTTCTCAATCTATAGACAATTTGATCCCAATATTTTGTTTAAAATCCTGTTGTTGACCTTTGTATATATTCGTATGTCACGTCTGATGTGATCTCACTCTGTCGGGAAACTTCAATGTCAACAAACCTGTTCAATGTAGCAGATTAAGCCTGAAGTATACCATTCCTGGATTGTAGTGTATACTAAAATAGATTGCCTGATGGGTCAAGTACACCTCGCCATACAGATTTTGACATTTTTTTTTCGATCGCCTTGGGTTTTTCCTCTCAATTGCCTAGGTTTTAAAATGTTGGCCCTCACTGACAGTTCTAGGAGGACGAAACAGCTGTACTATACAGTTATTTCATCATTTCGCTCTAGTGTATCTAATTCTAAATTTGTAATGAAAGGTGGTATTTAATTTTTGTGTCTTTTGTACAATGTTTCGGGAGAATTTAAGAATGTTTGTATAAAATTTTTAACAGAATATCAATTTGGTGGATAAAATACTTCCTTTTGTTATATATTGTACTAGTAATTTTCTTGTGTGAAATACCAATTGAGATAGGGGAAATGAAGCAAATGTGTGCATTACATTCTGAACCTATTCACACTATATATAAAAATAGCATGCGAGATAACGGCTATGATTGATAACTGATAGAACCATGATACATATGTATTACGTATTTGTATGACAGTTTAAAATCGGGACGCAAATGTTCTATATGGGAAAAATTATCAATTATTAACTTTCGTGATTTTGTGATGTTAGATAATGTTGATGGTTCAAAAGTATTTTCTATTTGTATAGCAATTATATCACAGTTAACATTGCTTTTGTGTGTTTATATTTTAAATATATAAATACACGGAATGAATACTTTTGTCAGTCAGTCCCCGAAAATAAACATAAAACATATGTTACTGTAACAGATCTTAACGGCAATTAAAATATCCCATAGAAAATATGTCGCAATTATAAATTTGCCTTTTGTTTGAAAATATTTATTGAAATATTTCTTGTCTTTTAAGTAGATCAGATTAGTATCAAACTTGTATTACTATGAGCAGGTCTTTGTTGCCTTGACAGCTAGCAAACAAGAAGGTTGTCAAAGAACGCGTTTATCTTGATTGGTTCAATAAAGGTCTATCTGATATATCTCAACGTTATGAAAATTGAAACTATGTCTATACCAAGTACCTGCTTCTCGAATCATTGTTCAAAGCAGCACTAATCTCCTACTGTCGCTATTTCCCTCTCAAGTTTACACAAGGATTACTCGAAATTTCAAGAGGACACGTGCGCGTCTTTTGTGCGGAGTTATTTAAGTCTTATCAGAATTTACAACTTCTTCACAAAATCACTTAGTCCTAGCGTCCAGGATCTTAAAACTCATCAACTTCGCGAGATTCGATTTATGTTAAGGGCTTCATGTCTTCGAAATACAACCTTTTAAAAAGTGATAGAACCTTTAGGCATTTTTCCATTAACGACGCTAAATCAAAGCATTCTGGTCAATGCTGGTGATTTATGCCTTAAAAAGTATCACATAAAACATATCAGTTTCTTAATATTTATAAAGTACTAAACATATATGAAAATTTTGTAAACCGTCCACGTGATAATTATCTAGTTAAAATATTTTATGAGAAAACAAGCAAAGACGAGTATCCACTTCGATGAGCTACAATTTCACTTTTTTCAACCCTTGTGATAAGAAACTCCTAAATTGTCAACTGTGAAATACAATTTAACACCAATCAATGTCAGTTTGTAAAAAAATCATCTTTATCCCTTTGTTAAGCTAACAATCAAACCGAGGAGTATTTTTCATGCTAAGTAAGTCTATGGTCGAATTTCTCAGGTTCTGAAGTTAGATTTACTTACGTATGTAAATACATAATTAACCTAGTGAAGATCCCCCTACGATAAGTGGACAAGGCCTGTCATCCGATTTCATTTATATCTCATATTCTATGGAGCTGTGGTCATTAGAGCAAATATAGGGGCTTCTTTACTTTGGCTTATAAACCATGCATACATAATCCACTGTGGAACACCCAGGTGGATTTCCTAATCACTGATAAGCAATTCATTTTCAATGGGTTTTTTTGTTGAAGACTGTCGTCCGCGGTGTTGTCACATAAAATATCTCGTTTTCTAGTGGTGATTTAGTCTATTTTTTCTAATTCAGATAAAGCAAATATATAATTCAATTTTATTTATAATTTTTTACTATGAAAATTATTTTCAAAGCATTATTCATGAATTTGTTGGAGAGGGTTTATCTTATAGACTTATTCTCTACGTGGCATCCCTTTGTGAATTCAGTAAATTTATAGCATTTAACTCATTCAAACAACAGAAAAATACACGCATGTCAACAAAATTATAATCAATTCAATAAAATTACTGCAAATTATGAAAGATTGACACGGAGACTTCTGAAAAAAGGGAGAATATGTAATACGCTCAATAACTCTACTTGACCATGTAGTACGCTCAATAACTCTACTTGACCATGTAATACGCTCAATACCTCTACTTGACCATGTAATACGCTCAATAACTCTACTTGACCATGTAATACGCTCAATACCTCTACTTGACCATGTAATACGCTCAATACCTCTACTTGACCATGTAATACGCTCAATACCTCTACTTGACCATGTAATACGCTCAATAACTCTACTTGACCATGTAATACGCTCAATAACTCTACTTGACCATGTAATACGCTCAATAACTCTACTTGACCATGTAATACGCTCAATAACTCTACTTGACCATGTAATACGCTCAATACCTCTACTTGACCATGTAATACGCTCAATAACTCTACTTGACCATTGTCTTCTATAGGATCGCTATTTTTTTATTGTTCATTTGATTAATAGCTATTTCAATAATCATTATTCCGGAAAATTGGTATACAGTCGAACCTTGTTATCTCGAATCCGGCGGGACCGTGGGAAAACTTAAAAAACTTTGTGAGTGAATATGGAAGGAAAGTAATATGAAAAACTTTGTGAGTTTTATACTGATTTTTTCCATAATTTCGACGAAGAGAAAGTGAGGGAAGTTTGATTCTCTAGAGTGAATATCAAGCGGAATAACCGGTTTTGTTTGTCCGTGAAGCTAAAAGATTACACAAGTGAATGGAACATTAATAACAAACTACCTTTAGAAAGATTAAACATCCACAGAAGCGGTATAAATTAGCACAAAACCATATTATTTATAAATCATGATTAGATATCTCTACCAGTTATACAAAGACACGGTTCGTATCAATTTCGTCTATCATGAGAGGTCAGTACCATATACACATGTCCTTCTTCCTAAATTACCAGATATATAAAGTTGACGACACTTTCTGAATTAAGGGGCTAATGTACCTCCCCAATTTTTCCCGATCACGTTGCAATTTTCTCTGTCGCCTCCTATGATTAAAATTAAAGCCATTGGCATTACTGATGAGTTCTAGAAAGCTGAAACAGCCGCTTCATGCAGTTTTATTCATAGTTCCGACCTAATGCATCTTATCAAAATTTGTATTAACAGGCTTCATTCCATCGTGTGTCTTTTGTACAATCTACGAGTCATGACACAATACGGTCGATTGGATATCTGTAAAGAAGAGGAAGACCACTGTACAAAGGATTCTTTATTGGTAATATCTTATGAGTCTACATATTAGAAATTGAAATATAAGTTTAAGTTTCATTATGACGCGCTAATCACCAAGGCCTCCATGGAGACAGGCATCCGTATTCACCCTGTTTAGGATAACCACTTACTGCTGTGGATCCCAAAGTATCTCTAGAGTTAGCATTTAAAACATTCTTGACTGTATCAAATCTGATATAACTTGGATTTGTATCTAAAACGTTAGAGTAACCTTGGTGATTAATGAGAGACCCTCCTATCTGAGGGTGTTCACAACTGTGGCCTGACGGCTGATACTGACTCATGTTGACAGGTGCTATCGAAGAGGTGAGAACTTGACAAGGAACAAGCACCGTCACACTCTGTAAACTACTCATCACGGGATACATTGGCGATACGTTGTCCGAGCCGACATGAACTCCTGATGTTTGCTCCGTTGTCATTTTAGCCGAAGAAGAAAACATGCTCATTTTATTTCGTTCCAAATTTATCGAATTGAAAGTGTTTGAAGATTCTATTTGTCGTTTGCGCTCTTGATTTAATTCTTGATTGGTTTTCGGAGAAACCCGGATGTGTTCCGCTGTTCCATTTGCCTTTTGGTTTGATTTAGGTTCTTCTTCTGTAGCAACACTATCCAAAGAAGGATACGAAACATCCGGTAATGATGATTTACATTGAGAACCTGTACGTGATTTTCCACCAGAATTCGCCAACTCCAGGTGTTTTCCCGTCTTTTTACTATCCATTGCTATTGTTTTTTGTGCCATAGTTTCCAATTCCGCGAGTAAAGCATTGCCGACAGATTGTTCAATTTCCATACTTTTGAGGTGGCGGGAAACTTGGTTAAGACATTCTCTGTACCCTCTTTCGTAGAGTTTGGTTTGAAGTTCGCTGGTGTCCGTAGTCTCCCTTACAGCTGCAATGGTTAAAATATACCTTATTAAACACCGCAAAAAATAGCAGCTTTATCCTTTCGCTAAGCTCATAGGGGATTGTTTATTTTTAAAACATATATATTCCAGTGAGTAAAACATGATAATTTCACTCATCATATGATAAAGTTTTTTTATCTAATGTTGGTTAGTGCATAGTCAATAAAGGTTTATCAAACAACCGCCATTTTCTTCTATTTAACAATACCATATCATCATTTTTATAAGACTCTCGTGTTATAACAAAAAATGTGACGTCATAAACAAATGACGTCACAACGCTATGATCATCTCGTCCGTGAAAATTGTTCGGCGCCCTGATCGAGTTTTACTTGTCCTATCGCAAAACGGAATTGAATGGAACTTTATATGATTTTTATTTTTTTTCATAAAAAGAAAATCAGTTTTTAGATTATATTCTTATTCGTGTGACCGTGTCATCCTAAAACTATCAAGTCTTGTAAAATAGCGAGTCTACAATCTGTTGACTGATTTGATATCACACGGACACTCATATTAGATCCTGTTTGTAGGGTGTTTATTACATATCTTACAAACAGCTAGATAAGTGACGTAATTACAATGTCTTTGCCAGATGGAGGTAACATATAGCATATTCAAACTTTGTAGACAAGAATCGATACAAACACAGTTTAAGTATTGTGGATAATAAGCCAGACATATACAGTCCAGATGTAGTTGCATAAGTTGTACTAAGGGCCTGTATTATCTAACAATTTTAAGGAAACTTATTTGAAGAGCAAAGAAAAATGAATGTATCTCTGTTTTGTCTCTTCACGGGACAAAGTATTATATCATTTTCACGAAAAAAGGTCTCGTTTTGTTTCAAACGATATTTGGTGTAAATAGGAAAAAGTGTTTATTATATTAGATGTTATTAGAGAGGTCACTTCAATATAAATTTCTTGATAAAATATCTTATGACACGGCTATGTTTTAAAAATCGTAAACTGTTCAGTTGTTAACTTGAGTAAATTCATTCTAAACTCGTTTAATACAATGCTCAATGATTATAGAGTAAGTTTTGTCTGATTGGTCTGTCAGATAAACATTACTAATAGTGTGTGGATCATCATATACAATTGTGGTAATTAATTAATACAGATAGCACATGTAAGGATGCACCCCCCATTTTGTAACAAATTAAATTTTAAGCGGATGTCGAATAGATATAATGACAGATCTAGTATAAAAAACAGCAAGAAAATACCAACATGTCAACATAATCATAATCAAAACTCAAAATCAATAAAGCTAGAGTAAAACATGGTACACATGAGTGCAATGCGTCTATATATAGCAGTCCACGCCCCCCCCCCCCCCCACTCCCACCCCCCTCCCTCCTTCCCCTACCGACAAAACCGACATCAGTTAATCCTGCTAAAAATGATCTGATGATAAAATGGATCGGTGTCCGATTCCTTCAGTGAAGATGGTTAACGTCGATAGCCGTTGAACCCATACCGAAGACGAAAAATCTGATAATGATATATTCAGTAGATAGCATATCTTCGAAAGTATTTAGAAACAGAGAAAGCAATCCAACAAATATTTCGCATAGAAAGTTTAGTCACACATCAAAAGTCATCTTTTCACTGCAATTACTAAATAGACAGGTACCAGTTTGTGCAATGCACAAGTTGTTTCTCTTCCTTGCCACACCAGCTATTAACAAACCCGTGCCCAGTAGGGATAAGATAGTCCATCTTCGTCTTTCAACGTTAAAAGTATTATTCTGATTGATTTGAACGTTTAGATTGTAAAGACCCATATTTAACAATTTGATGTACATACGATACGGCAGTTTTGCTTTCCTTTTGAGGTATTCCACGGTAAGCTCTAGAATATCGGCTTTCTCCAACTTCGAACTCCTCTGCCCCTGAAAACACGACAATTAACTACGGGTAATAAATATGACAGATGACTATACAGATAACAATTTGCAGCAGAACTGGCTCGGGTATTCTTTGGATTCAATTTCAGGTTTAAATATAATAGTTTTTTTGTGGTTTTTATCTGATAAATGAAACCTAAGTTAATCGACTTTTAACAATGCTAAGTAAGGATCGTGTTTCACGAAACTGTAATGTTTATCTTCATTTAAGTTAGTTGAAAGAAAGATGAAACACTGCCTGCTTATCACATTGAACACAGGAATCTAACAAACTTCACCAAAAAGAACATAGCGCTCATTTGATGAAGTTTAAATACGGTAATTAGTCAATTTTCTAAAAAAAAAAAAAGATAGCCTTATACTATTTTGAATATTTATACAGATTACCATGTCGTAACTGGTCTTACATCCAAATTTTGTATTTTTTCCGTCTTTACTCGTCGGGAAATCAGTATTATGAAGTTGGAAAATAAATTAATTTAAATTTAAATTTTATAAGACATTGAGAAAACAATATTGGTTGATGTCAATTATAATGAAAGAGATCAACAAACCTTTAGGAAATTCTTTTCAATGACAAGCTTTTTCAGTTCTCCGAGACAATTATTGATCCTGGCACGTCTTTTCTTTTCAATCAAATGCTTGGGAACCTAGATATACAGATTAAACACAGAATATGAAATTAACTGTCTAACTGACGCTGTTGTAAATCTTCAGAAAATGAATGAACATGAAAATGCCACGTGTATGTGACAACAATAGCATGGGATTAAAAAAAACAAACAAAAATAGATAAATAAAAACGACATTGATGGTGAACTAAGTTTAAAGTTTAGAAATAACGATGATTTATTAAAACGAAATTTAACATGATATTCATTGGTGAACTAATTGTAAAGTTTAAGTTAATAACTTGAAGTTAATTGAATTTCGTTTCAAATGTTTTCAAGCATTCATAAATGAAAGTTGATTTATAAGAGATTAGAGGTCAGTTGATATCGTTATCATTAATGTTTCACTTTTCGTTTGGTTACAATGGTACAATATCATATCGTATCATATCCCAGTAATCAAAAAAAGATTTATCTATAAATATAAGTAAACATTGTTAATGTCCATATATATATATATATTTATGGTAAATTGAGAAAACTTACTTACCTTTATCTTTTCTTGTATTGCTTCATGTCCTTCTGAATCGGTGGAATCCATTATGGAAGTTTCATAAACAGTAACAACTTTTGAAAATTCTGAATACTTTACTTTACAAGTGACCGAAAGTAGGCCCGTGATCGTTAATGTCAGAACACAAGAGACACAGGTCGTGTGGATTGGGTGGGCGAGCAGACGACACGTCGCGTGCTTGTCCCGCGACTTAGATTCGGTGACGTTTAAATCCGAGACAAGTGCGGACACCCGAGGTGAAATGTACATTATATTACCGTGTCACTCAAAATTATCGATGTTATCAAATCTGGGGGGTAAGTTAACCTCTGAACTCTGTCGAGGTTATCTACATTTTTCACGATGTGTTGGATTTTTATCCGAATTGATGGGGTTTGATGTCACATTATTAACCCGACAAGGAAATTGAACCCAACAGTCGCTATAAGTATTTTACTTTAAACTGGCTGATGATAGAGATTGTACAAAAGACACAACAGAGGTTTAGAACCTTTCAATAAAGGTTAGAATTAGATATGGTAATGCAAAGACGAATAAAACTGATTCACACAGCTGTTTCGTCCTTCAAGGGCTCGCCAGTGTTGCTAGGGACCGAAATTGTTGAAACCAAGGTGGCGACCGCGAAAATCACAATTGGTCAAAAATAATGTTAAAAACACAGAGTTGAAGGTGTACTTACCCTAAACCACAATGAGATACACCCGAGATATCAAAGTAAGTGACTAATTTATTAAGAAACTATAGATTTTCCATTGAAACATGTTTCTTTTTCTATACTTTTCTTCTTCAAACATCACATCAATGTTGATAGGGGGCGTGGTCAATAAATAATAGACACTCCACTTTCATACTTATGTTTACCAGAAGAAAACGTTGAAAATAGTCAAATGCCACATAAGCATTATGTAAGTAACCTCGGACTACATTAACAACCACCAATGTTGAATTGGACTCGTCCTTTCTCCGCCCTGTAAAGTTCGGAAGGATATTTCCAGATGTCAGATGCACGGGAAAATCGATAATAAAGGAACTTGTAACAGACACAAAAACTAAACATTGATAACCTTTCGATATCTCATACAGCTGTTCCGCCATGGACACGTTTGTGACTACTCTGCAAGAATTGTATCTGCTGTCCTCGTAATGTAAACCGTTAGATGCGACTAACTTTGGGATGTTTTTGCTCGCGGCTCCCTTAGCACTTGTCTTTTTTACCTGTAGTTGAGCGTTCGGTCCTGTGAGGAAGACTTTTGGTTATGTGTCTTGGCCGAGACATATCGCACGTGTATGGAATAAGAGTCCACTTTCTTAGTTTGTATTACACAGATACCATAACTCTGAGCTCATTGGTTACTGAAAACAATTAAAGTTAACCTATCAACAAGCAAATTCATGGAATTTATATTCCCCTCTTTCCAAACATGTTGTAAGTAAATATTATAGAGGTTAGGAGTAAACATGTCATAATGTTATGTAGAATGATATATTCTCTTGAGCTGTGATGTATTGCTTTAAAGCCAAAGAAAGGTGTAAAGGATTATATCATTAGTATGCATAATTATTAACAGATGACACTGATAGTCAAACTCAGTCTTAATGACCCCAAGATGCATCTGCTGACCAAGTTTCACCCAAATTAGATGATATTTGGGGAAGTTAGAACACGGAAACGAAAGTGTGACAGACAAACGGACGGACAGATGGACGGACGGACGTCCGAACCCAAATTAATATCGCCCGTTTCGGTGAAAGCGGGGAATAAACATATGTCATTCATTTTAATAAACCTGGCAGTCCTTCATACCAGTATGCGACTGGTCCAATACCATGATCCTTGGCTTCTTGATGACTGAGAAGACGTTGAAAGATATGACATTTGAAACCTGTGCCCTTGACACTTGGCTAAGTTAATTCATTTGAACAAATTTGATAGTTCCTTATATCAGTATGATACTAGCGTAATACCAGTAACCTTGACCTATTGATTATTGAGAAGTTGTTTAAAGATATTACTAAAAATGTCCCTCGTGACCTCGAAAGTAGGCCAATATAATTCATATGAACAAACTTGGTAGCCCTTCAGTCTAGAGTACTGCAAGTCCGATATATGCACCGTTGGCTTGTGTGACCGTGAAAAAGGGTCAAGGTCATTATTTCCAACAATCTTTGTAGTCCTTTATCCAAGGATGAATATTTCGGTTTTTGAGAGAGCCGTTTGAAGATCTAACACATTTGGCCCCTGTGGACTTGTGAGTTCGTCATTGTCATTCGTTTGGACAATTTTGGCAGTCCTTCCTCCCAGAATGCTACAAGCAGAGTGTCCATTTCCTGGACTTTACCGTTGTTAAGGAGTTGTGTAAGGGAAAATTTGGCGCTGTACGACAGATATTGCTCATTGGTGGAAGCTCATCAGTCATTCAGGCAGGTGAGCTAAGGTGATTTAACAGATGGAAGTGACAAATCCCTGCTTAGCGCTCAGTATTGCCCGTTGTCAGTATAATGTGGCTGGGTTGGTGTCCTCCTAGGGACATTCGACAGTATATTTCAGTATAAAAGGGCTTTAAAAACTGCACTAATTCACAGAGCCTCAAGGAGGCTTACACGAACATACTGCACCCTCCCAATGACACGCGCACTCAACACGGGCACTCACCTCGCAACCACCATGAGGTCGTCCAATACCACAGCTGTTGATAGCATATTAATGGCAAAATGATGTTGTGTTTATGATTGTTAAAATTTTAAAACCAGATTATATACGTTGCAGGAAGTGTGTTAACGTGAAATATTTGCTTTCTTTCAATTTTTTTCTTTCTTTTTTGTGCTTCATTTTCCACCCAAGGTGTCCCTCTCTGACCCCCGTCCGTGTATGACACTAGCTGTTTGAGGCCTTTAAACACCACAAAATAAAAACAACTGTCCAACACTTAACTGGACATTTTTATGATAAAGGAATGTCATTTACTGATATACGCATTTTTAAAAAATATGGCATACTGACACACAACTGTACGCTGTGACTTTCGCGACAAACAAAATTACAGGTTTCGGGGAGGAATATTACCTGCGACAGGTCAGTTTTCGACTATATCTGACTTCAAAACTGGGAAAAACTATATATGTCGAGATCCCATCTATTCTCTCTGAACTTATTTGGTTATGCATAAAGCTTGTCTTAATTTCGTACTTCGCTCGTCGTTTCAAAGGCCTAACAATTGATATCAATTTGATTTTGTTTATCATCAGAGATACCCAGCGTGAAAATTAAATTGAGTTTCAAGTTACAGTTTGATCATGGAGTGTTAAATGTGAAACGTGTCTTTCGTCAGGGCCCTGGGGAAAGTATACTTGAGTTGTGAGTTGAGTTCATCGTATATAAAGTTTGGATATTTCATGATCTGTATTTCTCTGTTGGTAAAATCTTGAAAATACAGTTCTTTTTATTTCGCCGGTGACACTTAGATCATACGTCCGATCAGTGATATTAACACTACAGATATCTTCACATTCATCTCGTAAATAATGTTAAAGTTATCAGGGGTATACAGGGCCGGCTCAAGTTGTGACGTTTATAACCCGAAATCCTTCAAAGACGTGTCCGCTTTCTTTATCACGGGTTGAAAAGTGAAACCGATTTTAGCGTATATACTATTCGGATAGGTCATATATTATACTTTAAGGTGCTTTAGCGGAAAACTTTATCTCCAATTTCCCCCTTAAAATGCAAGACATATGACCAATTTAGAATATATGTGTCAAACATCGTGTTCCCGTCTAACTTTAAAATGTATTCTCGGGTTTACGGGAAGTATACTTCTTATATTATCTCAAACACCTGATAAAAACGATGTCATGGTATTTTATCTTTTCGATTCAATTGGTGACCAACGTGTTTACTATATTTAGAAACAGTTACTGAGAATTTCAGGTCATATTCAACACGAAGAGTATTTATTTTAACAAGGAAACACTATATCTTGCCAGTTGCCTCGTATGTATACTAAACTTCGGCATCTATTTACGTTACTTTTGTCACGAAATCTATTGTTTGTGAGACTTTCTGGTTAAAAACCTCTTCTATTTGAGAAGAAAAAAAAACGATTATGAAAGTATCGAATTCGAAACTGCAGTACGCAAACAATATGCACGCCGATCGTGTCGTGCTATGTTGTAATAGTTTAGAGTGAGGGATGAACTTTGACCCTAGGTGACAACCCTCTTGTAGCGGCAGGGAACCATGCTATCTACCGTGTCACATCGGAATGTAAGAAATACGTGCCAAATATAGTGATATGAATCATCTTTGGACAGGAAGAACAGGTAGGCGGCTTTTATACGAGAATATCTACCCATAAATATAAACGAAACGATACTTTAGAGGGCGTTGTTTTCCGAGACTGTAGAGGGCGCTCTTCTCCGAGACTGTTGAGGGCGTTTTTTTAGACTAGTGGGCGTTATTTTCCTGTACTAGAGGGCGTTCTTTTCCGAGACTGTTGAGGGCGTTTTTTTTAGACTATTGGGCGTTATTTTCCTATAATAGAGGGTATTCTTTTCCGAGACTGTGGAGAGCGTTTTTTTGAGACTAGTGGGCGTTATTTCCCTATACTAGAGGGCGTTCTTTTCCGAAACTGTAGAGAGCGTTTTCCCCCGTGACTGTGGAGGGGGTTCTTTTCCTAGACTATAGAGGGTGATATTTTTCCGATCCAGGATGCAATGATAATCGCGAACAAGTAACCTTAGATGAAATTAAAAACATAGTCCGCTTCATGATTTCTGTGAAAATCGCTATTGTCGCGAGTAGTATTTGATACAATAACCAAAACAAATAGCACAATAGTTGTCACATCTCATAGATTACCGCTGCGGTGAGAACGGTCTGAAGTTAACTATGATGGAAGTCTATTACTCAAATACAATATACAGCATCAATACTGTATGTAATTTTACACTAACTTCGTAGGACCACACCAAGTTCAAACATGACTACAATCCGTACAGATGTGAGAAGTACAAATTATATTTTTGAACGCATAGTGTGTTTTCATTTATCATGACATTCACAAGTAACATTTATTGATACCCAAATAAGTATCATTGTTTGATATGTATAACAAGTAACATTTATTGTGTGACACCCAAATAAGTATCATTGTTTGATATCTAGAACAAGTATCATTGTTTGATATCTAAAACAAGTTACATTTATTGATACCCTAATAGGTATCATGGTTTGATATGTATAACAAGTAACATTTATTGTGTGACACCCAAAAAAGTATCATTGTTTGATATGTATAACAAGTTACATTTATTGATACCCAAATAATTATCATTGTTTCATATCTAAGTATATCTAGTATAACGAATTTTGATGTAATGAGTGATTTGAAATCTTACAATTACGGTATGTTTTGTTGAGATTTTAGACATGTTAACATTTAGTTGTGTTGTGTTTAGATATATACCCTAAACCATGCGTTTTTAGATATTTGAAATAGTATTTTTATTTTTTTCGATAATGTGTGCGAATTGTTGAGATCACATCAAGCTGTTGGTTCTCAGTACATAAGAATGATGTTTTAACTTTATGCTTTTGTGTTACAGCAGTCATTCTCCTCCTGTGTCGTATTACATTTAAGTATTTTATTATTTATATTTTCCCACTTTGTTTTCTCCTATCCTTTTTCTTCCTTCTATTTGTTTACTTTCCTGTGACCGTAACCTTGAATCCGTTGGCTCTGTTTATTCACGGTCTCCATCGGCTGTCAAGTTTATAGCTATACCAGCTGCGTGAAACGAAGGGGGGTAACTCTGGTACACGTATGCATGGCATTTGCGGACAGCCATTCCTCGATAACGGACAATAATATTGTAGCAGACAGGGTGGCAGTCGGCATTTCTTAAACACGTACACACCATAATAATACGAATGCATCACCGGTATTCAAGATTAATTTTAATTTTGTATATGTTGATTTTCAAAGTCTGCTTGAAAATCCTTCTTGCATCATTTCGGACGACGCAACACTTTATCCTCTTTTACAATTATGTACCTCAGTTGTAAACTATCTTTTTTAAAGATACTGACTTAATTCTTATTCTCCATCTTTATTATTATTGATATGCATGGACATACAGGAAAACTGTGGGTCTGATGAATCGTCCGACTAATTGATCATTTTCCGCCTAAACACACGCAGTCTAAGAAATAAGTTGACTCACCTTGACAGCATGGCAGGCGGATTTCACGTGCACGTAGCATCTCGGAATCCCCATCTATACAACAATATGTATGATGAAGAAACAGCACTTCGTGGTATCGTGAACACTCCAGGATGGCGCTGTTGTTGTTTTTCAATTCAGCGTCATTTTGACCTCTAGAATATCCGTCCAGTGAGGCTGTCTGGATTAAAATTTCTTTCAATACCTCCTCATATCTACAGTACTTCACACAGTTGATAGACCTAACGAACTGTTTAAATCCATCTTGAGAACAATTTAAAATCTCTACTGCACTTGATGAAAATCCTCATGTAATAATAGCTGATTATATAAACGTAGATCGTCTGGTTGAAATTCGTTATAAACTTATCCTTTTCCGCACGTGTCAATAGCCCAACGGGGTCGGGTAGGCGATACGCGTGCTTCTCACCTTGACCTCGTGCTGGTGAGAAACTCATGCGTGGTTGGATTTTTTGATGTTATTGAAATCGACAGGGTTATTTCGGACCATGACGCTACTTTTGTTGAAATTAAACTAATTTCTGACCTGGTGTTATGAAAATACGGGTTTTCTCAAATGCAATGACGTGTTACAAAACACGATCTGGTAATTTGGATTTAGGAATGTTTGGACGTGTGACGAAATGTGTTCAATTTTTACAGTTTTTAGAGTATGTCTATGATTTCATCCCAACTAAGTTCATAAATATTATAACTATTAGACCGAGAGACAAAGCGTGGTTTACCTCAGAACTGAGACGTGAAATCAGAATTAGAAACAGGCTGCATAAAAACTTATTGTTTTCTGTAGAAAATTTAGCTAACTTTAAAAAACAACGATTTTATACTGGATAAGAGAACAATTATGCTGATCTTAATGGACTTTCATACAACTATACTCTTACTGTAAAATAATAAGAACTATTTAATACAAAACTCAAATTTTATTTTTTACACTTGTAGGATTTACATGTACGCCATTAATTAACAACGTCAGACAGAAACTGTTATTCTTGCATAGTCTAACTAGCACCACACAGAAACAAATGAGTATTTCCAGAAAAGCTTACCATCTGAGTGAAACGTCATAGTGAAAACAGGCGTCATTTAGTACAAATTCCCATTACAAGGGAGACAACTCCCACCAGGTGGCTGACACCACAAGGTTTGGCGAGAGAGATCGGGCTTAAAATAGAAAATCAGTTGGACTTACGATGTTAAAAGTTATTGTCACTCCTTAATAAGAATTTAGTTTTTTAAAGTGACAAATCACCTTTACAAAATAATATTACTTGAAACTATAACAAATGAAATTTAGTAAAATTTTGATAAAAATTGAAAAGAAGTGAAATTTATTTTACAAACACCAAAATGAATTTCCTATAATTTTTCAGTCACCGATTTCCACGAATAAACCCAACCTTAACCCACCTCATAATAAGAGAGACTGTTGTCACTATGGAGGTGAGCAATGCTGAGGTATTGAGATAGCACTCAAAGTTCAAACACTGGCCGTATACTCAACATGCATCAAGGACTGAGGTGATTTCCTTGTACATCCCTCTTGCTATTTAAATAATTTTTCTTAATATAAACTATATTGGGTTTCTGAAATTGGCAGGTACTTTGAAACAAAATAATTCAGAATTTATTATTTTCTTTTTTGAATTAGTAAGACATTTTGACATGAATATTTTAAGTTAATCAGATGAATTCATTATCAAAACACAAAAAAGACACTTTTATGATAAGGCTTAACGGAGGTAAAAGAATTCAACTTTACAGAGAATGGACAGTAACCACTAAATAAGTAATGGTAAATTTTATCTATTCATGCATGTAAGTAATTCAGATATTTAAGTGACACTGTTTTATTTATTTCTGTAAGTGTAAAATGCCACAACAGGCACTTTGTAACTTTTTGTAAGTTGGAAGACTCTGTGAAGGCACTAAAACCTAACATGTCAAACTAAAAAAAAACAACTTAATTTTATGCTAATGTTTCATTTTCTTCGAATATAGTTCAAAATAATATATTTCAGGTAAGAAAAACTCCCAATACATAAAAATACTGACTTCTCAACTTTCAAGAAATGATAAAACCTATTCAAAGCTTTATTTAAAATATATTAACTGTTAGTTAATAGTTGATGAAATAAAACCAGATCATACATTATCGGCAGATTAAGCAATATACATGTATTTCATACGAGATGACATAAATGATTATAACAATGCTTTAACAAGCAGAGGAAGAAACTCTATTTATTGGATCAGTGAATATGAACCCAGGGAAAATATTCTTGCAGCTAATGAAGATAAAAAAATAGAAAGGACAAAATAAAAGACGTGTGAAAGCTTATAATAAACCACTTCTCATTAAGAATTAGGGAATGGTTGGTGTTATTAGATTCTATTAAATTTTAATGCATCAGTGTTGTTATGGTAACACCTTGTTTTCTTGTTTGAAACGATAAAGAATGATAAAAAAGTTTGTAAAAGAGAAATAGAGGTTATTTTGCATCTTATAATCAATAAACCAGCAGCATTAACAGAACAGACAAATTAAGGCACGTCCTAGTCCACGTTAACAAATTTAGAAATATTCCAAAAGTGATATTTACTGTGTAAATTTTTTTTCAAATTCTTTCGATAATAGCATCAAAATATTCATTGTTGTGTGCTTGAAGTCTCCACTTACAATAAATTTCCATACATGCATCCACACACTTCATGAAAGATTCACACTATCAAGATACACTAACATGACCTTTGACCCAGAAGTCAGTAACCGTTCTAGACTTGAAAACTTCTGTTTAAGATAATTATATATAGCTAATCCAATTGTGTATATCTACAATTATCAAAACTTCCAACACTGTCGGGAAATGAAATATAGTCTGCCTGAATACATATTAGTACTGAACGATAAAAATGTTATATATATATATATATATATATCTACGGACATGATTAAAATAAAGAATGTAAAAAGCATCAGTGTATAAGGGTATCTACCGGTTTATCAAAACATGTAAAATATTTAAAGGAAATAATGCAATTTAATTTAAAACACGTACATCATAACAAACATTGCAGCATGAAGCTTATATATAAATTGTACAAGTAAATGGATTCACAGTTTGTTTATGTGTCAAGCTAAAATGATACTAATTCATACGTATAGTTTCTAAATGATTGCTGTTCACACCCTCAAAACATCATCAAAATGTATTATTGGTGTAAGTGAATCGAAAAAAAAAAAGCAGTTCAGAGCAAAGTTCTCCGGATCGCTGGAGAACGTCACTTTTGTCTTTGAGATAGATATACACAATGTATACATTTCAATGAGAAGTGGATGGCTATATATATACCTCTTGTTCATTCGGGTATATGGAGAGGGTAAGTGTGCACCCCCAACCTGTATATATATTTACATAAATATACACTCTACATTTTCATAGCTTTCTTTTTAAAATCATTCACATGTAAATCAAGCTAAAGTAATGTTACCGATCAATCAAACATTATGTAGAAATATCTACCTAGTAAAAAGAAATATGTAAGCATGGCACATATGGTTGGAATTTCATATCTGTAATAGTATATTTATTTATTTGTGTCTCCATGGTAACACGTTTGAACCACATCACTGCAATTCAACACTTACTCATTTGTAATATATCTATGCCCCAACCTAGGAGTCTAATTTTGTTTTTGTACAGATTAACAACATTCCTCAATTACACGACATTACATTATGTCCGCCTACAGTGTCATCTGGAACAGAGAGTGCTCTCCCTTCCTGCAGTTTAATCTCTAATATACACCCTACGAAGTTATCTGTGTATCTGCCGGCAGTCATTGATTCAGGGTCGGGAACACCACCTGTGTTTGTACAAAATTAAAAGATCAGTTTCATTAAAAATCATTACATCCTAACAATCGAAACTACATGTCTATCCCTCTGTCATTCTTTCTATCCAACAACAAAACTACCTCCATCTTCTAAGTTTACCTCCACAAATTGTTGCTATAAAATCAATCTTTTAATGCCCTTTGTGTATCTTTACTCTTGCAATATATTATCCATTTTAAAAGAAAAAGTTGAAGAAATTATTTCCCTTCAGCAAGTTACATCATCATTAGTCAACTTTATGCATATATATATGTCTTTAACAACAATTACTTACCAACATAAATGTTTCCATTTACGTTCAACATTTGTAAGAATCCCAGAGATACTCCAGTTTCTTTTGGTCCCCCATCAATAGCTAAAGTGCCTGTCTTTCCAAGTCTGTGAACGAAACAAAAGTTACCACTACATTCTTCATTACTGGTAAGTTGTGGAGACATTGATTATGTGAAATTTGAAAAAGAGATGAGAAGAGTTTCAATATGTACTCCAAGTTGGACTTATGATCACGTTTGCTGCTATGTCAACTTACCGTGTAACCTTGATCCTGTGCACCTGCATGTCGTTAACTGGCAGAGTAGACCTCATATTGGCTGCACCACTGCCCAACTCATAACTGCAACATGGAAATTAAATTACATTTCAATAGGCTTTAAAGAAATTGAAACTATTTGGTCATTCTATATTTGGAAATCTTGTTCTAAGTTGTATGACTAAAATTGACAGAGAGCACACGTTAATTTTTAGCAATCCAAGGTGGACACATTACCTGTAGTAGATGTAACCATCTCGAAGTCCAATCATCATATAGTCACCAGAGGAGACAGATTGACCAGGAGTGGCCTCCCCTTGCCAGAATATCAAGCCGTTGGTCTGGTTTGTACGTATGGTTAACTCTACCACCTTCTCTACTTGATTTTGACTGTAGGGGAATAGATCTCGACTGAGCTCAACAAATCCGTCGCCCTCCACGCGGATAGGGCCAGAATACGTCACCACTGAAAAACATCAGATTTTGAGAATATTTTCTACGTTTTATGCTCTGTACAAAGCAAATCTTGTTTGGTATCAAATTTACTAACAGCAGTTGATTTTGTATTCAAAACTTAAGCAATGACAGATTGGTCATAGATTGGTTACTGAGACATAACATCAGAAGAAACAAAATATCTGCTCCCAGTGGTAGAATCAGCAAAATAATTCAACAAATAAAACCAAATACTTATAACACTTATTACCTGACGATGCTAGTCACAGCAACCTTAATCATCCCATTGATAATATCTTGATAAGACAGCAGTCGAATAACCCTTCTCTTAGTATCTATGTTCATTTCTCATACTAAATTTGATCCAAAATGTGATAGAAAAAGATAAAAATAAAAATACATGGGTCTTCAATAACAGAAACATCTTTTATTCAATATCTATATAAAGTTTATAAAGTTATCTTGAATTTTTCAACACAATTTTTTTGGTACTTTTGTTTTACCTGATTCGCAGTTATCTCCCATGAAACCTAGAGGGCAGTCACAACGGTACCCATCATTTGTGAAACTGCAGATTCCACCATTCTGACAAGGTTCCCGAGTGTTACAGATGTTGATTCTCATTTCACAGTGAGTACCTTAGAACATAAAACAACGCATTTCATTCACCAATGATGGTCTTTTGTTATTGTCCTTCAATATGAATTGCCATCACTAACAACATAATTTGTGGCTTTGTGTGAGTTTATCCACAATAACGAACCAAACATCAACAAGTACAGCCACTGTTACCATGACAATAATGTAATTGCTGATAGATCATCAAGACCTTTCAGACTAATGTACTCAAAAATGTCTTATAGAGCATTAGTTTCATAGACAAGAATTAAAAAGAAAAGGAACAAAAAAGACACCATGGCAATATGGATGGCTGAGACTGTTCATCCCATGTCCAGAATTTCTCCTATAGTGACCAGTAACTATGACCAATAGTCTCCAAATCTTGGTTAAAGGTAATGAGTAGTTAGGAGATATTTTGGGACTGATCTGCATTATTTTACTATTGTGTATTTGTTGCGACAGGTAAGATTGATAAATATTTTCTTTGAAATTTGTTTGGGTTTTCTTTAGTGACAACAATTTCAATTCTCCAGTAACTATTGGTTAAATATCGCTGTCGTGAGATGACCAGGATGTAACCTCACCTGTAAAACTTTCTGGACAGACACATCTGTAATCATTGATGGCAAGACTTTCACACAATCCTCCATTGAGACAAGGACGACGGTTACAGATGTCCCTATCAGTACAATCACGGATATCCATACTGTTGACAGCATCGCGGATCAGGTTGATCGGTACCATGTTAACAGTCAGCTGACAAAGTAAATTGCTGCTTATGTAATACACTGTAAACTGTAATTGTATTTTCATAGCTCTCACCGGATAACACTGATGCATTTTCATTGTGGCCATGTTAACAGGTTTGATTGAAAACAACTGATTTCAATTTTATTGAATAAATAAATTGATGAGTTTCAATAAACTAGCTTTTTCATTGGAAACACATCTTGTGGGGAAAAAACCTGTGTTAAGATGAAAGCTAAGAGAGCCTGTATATGTTCCAGGTTTTGAAATACACTGAATTTATTACAATAAGGAGCCGCAAAGCGTGGAATTATCCCCTGCACCTAGCTGTTGGTGTAAAATCCAAATATGATATATATATACCTTTGTGACATCATTTAATATATGTACCACTACTGTCACCTGAAGATCTAATACAGTGAAAGTGTTAGTGCAAAATTGTCGATTACCAATTCAATTTCCTGGCATCTCCTCGTCTTCAACATTTTATATATACATATATACGTTCAGCATCTACCGTGCAAAATATACCAAGATTGATATAAAACATTTTTGAAATTTTAATCACCATCTTCCTTACAACAACTTTGAATGAAATTTTTGTCCGTTATAAAGGGTCTTAAGCATTCATCGGCCGAAGGGATTATCGAGACACCTAAATTTACACCAGTACTTTTGATTTAGATTTATAACTTTGTATTTGTTTTATGTTCTACAGATGTGATGTAATTTATGTAATATTTGTGTCTAGATAAAGGGGCAGGTTGCCTCAAAAACATTTAACATTATAAATATTAACCTTATTGTAAAAGTTTATATCTTGATGTAGATCCTGTGTGACAGATGATACTTGAATAGAGTTTGGTTTGTCTATGAACTAAGTAATGCAACACTCTATAAGCTATGGAGTAATACAAGAAATCACAAGAAATTGAAAAATTTTATGGTAACAGGAAAAAGATCATAAAATAAGAACAGGCACAACTAGGGCACTAACCTAATATATACAGAAAGTTTCATGGAATTAAGTAGAATGGTTTGGAAGTTGTTGCCCCGGAAAGAAAAGTAAACACTACTTTTGTAAAATGAGCACATTTAAAGGTGATATTTCTTAGAACACAATTATTAACAAGTTAAGATTCTATAGACATTTTTTAATCAGTGTTTTTTTTTTTGGGGGGGTTTTATATCTACCATCATATGAGAATTCTATCCAATCACATCAGCAGTACCTGCTGCTTTCACATCCATCAGGTATTCCTCAAGATATCAAAGTGTGTGTCAATACAACCTCCATCTTACCTCAGCTATACAGCCCATAAAGCCTGATGTGACCTGGACTCCACGTGGGATGATCACAGACGGCTCGACCCCTCCAAGGTAAAGATTGGTACGAAGGTCAAGGCCAACAGTGTTGCCTGGTGATGTGGCTGAAACAAAGAGCAAACAACGTTTTTAAATACAGTACTTTATGTAACCGCACACTAGTATTTTGATAGAAATACTTTATCACACGTGTTAACCGCAAAAAGCAGACAATAACATGACCATGATCTAAAGTCCGTTCATACTCATAAGCACATGTAATATAAGCTTTATACTCATTCTATCCTGAAGAAAACAATAAAGCCAAACATTGGTTAAGGCAAATAATCTGTATGTACAGACGACATTAATTTATATGGATGGTACACCTCTGTCAGGTACAAATCATTTCCATACTTGAATGTTTATACATGTTGTATCTGCCCCTATACTTTCATGTACAGTAACCCATAAAAAAGGAAACTATATATCCTGGTTTGAAGTTTTTCTTTTAAATCATCACAATTTGGATTGCAAATAATCTTCTTTAGACTTGTATATTCATTTATTTCATCTTTGATGAAGAAAATTGCATACAATTTCTAGAAATCTAATCAAACTCTCTGTTTTTAACACAAGCTTTATTTCTTAAAGAGTCAATTTTGGAAAAAAAATTGAAATGTCCTGATAACTGAAGACTAACAACCAACCTAATTGTAAATGTGTGCAGTGTTTTGAATCACTCGGTCCAACCTGTCTACGAACAGGTAGCTATACACTACAAGCATAACACAATCACACCTAGCCGTAATATATCTAATGATAAGTGTCTTGCAATCAAGAATAAATCATACTAATTGGCAATAAGGGAGACAACTCAATGACCATGCAAAACTGACATCATGCGAAGGCTTATGCAAACAGATAGCATTCTCAGACATAATTTTAAATACTTTGTCCATGCAATGAAAAATGAAACTGATGATATAGTAATTATGAGATAAATGAAATTTTTTTTAATAATTTCGACATCACTGAAATATCAAAGAATATGATAATACTCATAATCCTGATGCAATATTTTTGGCAAAAAAAAAAAAAAAAAAGACACCGACAAGATTTAGTGAAAATCCCAAGAACATCACAAGTTCTCTAAAACCCACAAAACGTTGCTTATCAAATACAGTGCAGGACAAAAAGCTGTTCCTCACAGGAAATCTTTGCAATCAGCAGAAAGATCAAACATCTGGATTTTATTTTACTGTCAAATCGTAACAAATTGTTCAACCAGACATCATTACCATTTGTTTGTGTTACCAAATATTTGTTTTTTATAAGTGATTTTTTCAGCGTTAGTCTCATGTATCATAACATTATTTTCATCAGCATTTATTTCAGCATTAGTCTAACACAAATCATGAAACTCAAAATTTTAATCAAATTTCAAATATCCATAACAAAATGAAACCAAAAATAAAAAAAAATTTAGAAAAATTCAAAGTTCTTAGCAGCAACATAATAATACAACAAAAAATACATTCACAATCAACGACGCCTACTAGTGATTCATATACCAAGGGAATGTAATGTAAAATTAAAATGGACTATTAATACCCAATGTCTTCTTGACTGAACTTAAAGCTTGTAACTTAACTTAATCAATTTTAATTGGGGCAAAAAAAGATAGGTTAAAATGTGGTAGAAATTTAAAATAACAGTGAATAGTTACAATTAAAAGCTTTTTTTAATCTAAAATATATAAGACATCTGGACAGTCAAGTAATATAATATGAATACCAACATCACTAAAAAGTCTCAACACACCCTGTAGGATCTTGTATAAGACATTGCTTGGTGAAATATAATGAGATATATACATTTTTATCTCACTGAAATAGCAAATGGCATGTAAACAAAGTAATTTACAAAAAAGGGGAAATATTTTTTTCTGAGGTACCAGATTTTGTATTGTATGTGTCATCACAACATTTACACTACACATGAGAATCTGAGCTTATCACAATCATATTAATTGACAAACACCGAAATAAAGAACAAAACATCCAACACATCTGGACCAGTTTCCAAGGACACATTTAGGGTCTATATCAGCAATACAATTCAATGATGCAATTTGAAGAGATCATTAATTACTGACAGTTATAGAAAATGAATGCAGAGATGTTACAAAGATTTGTCAGGGATATATAGGGCATGTCTTACTTAAACAAAATGTCCACAACATTGAATTTATTGTTACAAAAACTACACACAAGACCAATCATGAAAGTAGATACAAAATATACAACTGTACAACATGTAAAACAGTTAATCACCAATCGTTACAATGTTACAATAATTAATATGTTTACAAAAAACGAAAGGTCGTCACTGAAGGGGTAAGAGAAAGACAACATTCAGAGGACGAGGGATGTAACATAGAAACAAAACTGGGGTTTGTAAATGTTGAATCAGGAAGGAAGGCAACCAATGATGAAACCATATCAACAACTCGGGTAAACAAAAAACACGAGTCTACAGCAACACCAAATGAGAAACAAGGGAAACAACTGGAACATACAACAAAATAATCAAATCGGAGACATTTGAATTCCAGAAAATTGTTGCAGCAATTTTTCGGAACCAGGAAACAGCAACATGATATACACAAAGCAACATAAACCCGTCTTCTGACTCTCATTACTACAAAACAATTAAAAAAAAAAAAAAAATCGCGAATATAAAGCTACTGAAAAATATCCTCCGAAAAAAGTGATTTGAATTTGGTAGATGTAGATGTATATGAAGTTACGATATCACTAAGAATTATGTAAAATTGATGTTGATGAATATAACTGTATTTCACTTAAATAATTTTTGCAGTTGTCTTTAATCCAATTTTCATGAATGAAATTTGATTTTGAGATCAATGAAATCCCATGACCCAGAATGATATATAACAATACTAATTTTCTCTAGCTCCCACCACTCATTATAGACTTGATATTTTTTAAACGTGCATAAAGAATTCTGTTGCATTCTTTTAGAATAGAAAAAAATAGAACAAAAACAACCACTGCCAATGCAATGGATACTACCCACACATGTGAGACTACGTTGGAAATGATAGAAAATAAGCATAATAACTGCAGCAAAGAGAAAGTCAGAAGCGTCAAAAGCAAAATGGACACCAAATGAATACAAATGGTTTGAAATGACAGACACCACTTCTGGTTGCAGCGGAGTTACCTGCCCTTCGGTAGCGATATTGTCTATGCAGGTGGTAGTTGTAGTAGTTGCGGTATTGATCTCTATAATAACTCCAGGGCCAGACTACATACGTAAAAACGGCATTCATGTACATATAAATTCATTAATGGTCAAGAAAGAAGAGATTCATATACAAATTAATTAATTAATGGTTATGGCAGAAAAGTGATTCATGTTAAAATAAATTCATTAATGATCGAAGTATAAAAATGATTCATATACAAGTAATTTCATTATTCGGCAAGGTGGAAAAAGCAATTGACAAACAGACAAATCCATCATTGGCCAGACAGAGAAAAAAAAAGGTTATTTATTGATGGGTATGATAAGGATGATGACTTATGCATAATAATATGGTATTGAAGGTATAAACATGATTTAATTTTCTGCATTTTTTGTTGTTGTTCATTAGTAAATCAGAGATGTCATAAATAAACTGAGTATTGTCTAGCTTCTGTGGAAACATATCAATGTGCTGACACTGTTGGTCACATGAAAGTGTTCTCATCAAAATATCAGTTTACCTTTAAAAATTTACAAGGCCACCAATATTGGATTGCCAATTTGAAATGAAATATTGGAAGTCATTTTCAAAAGGAGCACAAATTGTACAGATTTGAAATGTACACAGGACATCATTTCATTTTGCTTTTAGTATAACAGAGAACTGGAAAAAAATTTGAAAATTTTTAACATTTCGGAAATAATATTCATAATAGAAACACCAATAATAAGTGTCCCTGACAGCTGTCAAAATCAAATTTTAATGATAATTTGAGCGTAGTCATTAAGCATTTTTTGTCACAAAATTTAACGACCAGAAAAAGATATTAAATGTCTTAACACTGAAACAAAACTCATTTCAATAGAGTTTGACGTCAAGGGAGGATGACTCATATTGTAATTAACTGATAAATATCGAAGTGCAGGAGTTGTCTTATCTGGAGGGCAGTAATTCATAAACCATCAATTTAAATAAAATATTAAAGTATCAGATCTAAATATGCTTTGTCTAAGATTGATCATTTTACACAATATGTGTGTCTTCTAATTGAAAGTGCCAATTCACACCATGCAAAAATCTGTATAATATTCAAGGGAAGGCAACACATCAGAAAAGGGAAATAACTCCATCATATATATGATATATATTATCAATAATAAGTATGCAGTGCTGTTTTCATTTACAAATTATATTGTGACATTACTATGTTATGAAAAGGCATCTAAATGTTGGATAAAGGAGATTGTCCCGTAACATCTACTAAGGGAGATAACTAAAAAAATTAAAGATATCATCATACAAATATGCAGTGGTGTATTTAGAACAAGATATACAGGTGATTTCTCGTAGTAAGATATACTAAATCAGTGAAGGGAGATAACTCAACTAAAATTCTATAAAATAAGATTAATTGATATCTTAAAAGTGCTGTGTCCATAACAAAGGTATACTATTTAAGAGTACTATAATACCATTAGTATGTATACTTTGACATTAAGTGGCGTATCACCATATTGAAACAATGGAATGCATTAAAAGAAAATTGTCTGAAGAAGATCCAGCTCAATGATTTATTATTGCTTTTGATGAGAACTAGTTTCAAAATTGATAAAATGTGTACAAGAAATGAATGCCCCATCCACTACACAAACCAGAATCTGATCTTATTACAATGACAAGATATAACACAAATAGGTTTTTGATTACTTAAATGACGACTTAAATGCTAAATCACAAATTTTTATGAAATTTTGTAGTTGGATTTCCAAGATAGATTTATCTCATTTAAGGACAGCTAGTGGTATGTGATAAAGAACACATATCACGCTATGATAAAGCAATGCTTGTGATACAGCACATGTATCCATATATATGTAACCATACAGGATGGATTCTTATCCAGAGGAAGCCTGCTTAGGGTGAAACCAGTCAACAGACATGGAACAACCTACTCTGATGCTGTTGTGGTTAATATAGTTTTGCCTAATTTTCTCTTCTGATTGGTCACCCTGTATACTCTTGAGTATCAAGCTGAAGCGTAAAGGAACACCTACCCAAGCAACACTAAGGCGGTGGCTCTCCTACATGTATCTCTAGACAGGATGTATCATATTAACTGAATGATATTTTGTGGTAGAGGACATAAACTGTATGATCTACTAAAGATTATAATATGGACATCTTACACTTGTTCAATTCAAGGTATGCCACCTACATTAAGTATTATTTATCAAGATTATAATATGGACATCTTACACTTGTTCAATGAAAGGTACGCCACCTACATTAAGTATTATTTATCAAGATTATAATATGGACATCTTACACTTGTTCAATGAAAGGTACGCCACCTACATTAAGTATTTTTATAAAGATTATAATATGGACATCTTACACTTGTTCAATGAAAGGTACGCCACCTACATTAAGTATTTTTATAAAGATTATAATATGGACATCTTAAGTATTTTTATAAAGATTATAATATGGACATCTTACACTTGTTCAATGAAAGGTACGCCACCTTTGTCAAGTATTTTTATAAAGATTATAATATGGACATCTTACACTTGTTCAATTAAAGGTACGCCACCTTTGTCAAGTATTATTTATAAAAAAACTAGATCACGCCTATAGATGTACAGCAACTTAAAACAGAATTATCAAAATTAACCATCTATAACATGATAAAAATTGACCAATCTAGAGAAATTAAAAAATTTGAAAGTCAAGGGAGATAACGGGAAATTCCTACCTTTTACAGGTTCCTCATTATTGACGATGAGAGTTCCTTCCTGATTGTTCTTAGACAAGGAAACTCTTGTCCACTGGCCAACAGTCAAACGGTTTTTGCTGTTCAGAGTTGCAGGTCCTAATCAACATTAGAAATATTTCTGTAATTTTGTATCAAACTTCAGACACATTGAATCACCATTGGACATCCTGTTGATATATTGCATACTTATTTTTGTATAATACCATGCAAAACATCCACAATACATTACATTTTTACATAGATGTTAATCCTAACATGTTGTCTGTGATTTAAAAATAAAACAAATCAAATATTTTACCATCCTATTTTTATTGGTTTGAAATCCTGGAGACAAAAATGAAAAAAAAAGAGGAATGATAATTGTAAATAAGTTTAAATTAGAAGGATAAAACAATTACTTATATATTATAATGATACTGCTTTATATAAAGGTTCATTTGATATATGATTTTAAAAATGTATGAAGTTCTTTTTACTAAATTTGACTAAGTGACCACTTTACCTGATCCAGTGTTGTATTTGTATTCCACATAACCGTTACGTAGAGCCACGCTGATGTAGTCTCCTGATCCCTGTTCATCATGGCCACTGTACAGGATGATTCCATCGTTCAAGGTGCCAGGTTTGAACTCCAGGTCAATCTTCATCTGGTAGCGAGCTCCCTTAATAGGAGGATAGGTGATGAAGGAAGTTCTGTTAAACTGTGGAGTTACAATGGTCACATCTGAAAAGTATAAAGAGAGATAATTTAAAAAAAAAAATCTTGAACTGTAGTTATACAGTCAAACCTTACCAAGACCACTGTATATCTTCTAGACAACTGAGTATTCAATTTAAGTGAGTTCAAATGTTTTGTGTAAAGTTAGGCAGGAACCAATGAAATGCTTTGAATCAAATGGGGTCTTCAAGTTACATCAGTTGGAGATAATGAGATTCTACTGAAATTATCAAATCTGAAAGGTAGAAAGGGAGATAATTACAAACACTGTCACAATGATTACACCTGCGACAAAGGGAAATAACTTCACACAAAAAGAAAACTTAAAAACAATTTGTTGTAGATTTGAGTGCTGAATATAACAAGATATATCTAATTTCATCAAATTTATGACATATTGAATTCAACCAAAACCATCTTAACAAACGTTCCACATTAGATCAGGATTAATTACATAATGTGTTTATCAACTTGTTTTATTGGCAGCGTTCCTATTTACATTTCAAAGTTCGATGGAAGACAAAAATATCTAATTGTCTGCTCTTCAGTTTCTTACCTCTCTGACATCCAGGACCAGTCTTGCCAAATGGACAGATACACTTGAATCCAGGCTGATTCACCAGATTCATACACTGGCCGTCAGGTCCACAGGCATCTGTAAACAAACAAGTCATCGGCATTCAGTTTTGATAACCAATATTCAAATGATAGTGCCTACAAATAAAAATTTTCGATCATAACTTTATTACTCCTCTCATGTCATTTCGGTTAACCAATCCAGTTAGTTCTATTTTGCCTTAAATCTTTTAAGTGTCATAAATCCAAATAATGAACCCTGTTCATGAAAATATATAAAAAAAGTAGATAAATAAACAAACAACACAACAACTTTCCGACCAATCAGAGTGTCTGTAACATACATACTTGGATAGCACTTTTCGCCTGTGACCTCACATCTGCGGCCAGTAAAACCTTCAGGACAGATACAGGCAAAGCCTTGGTCGTTGTTAGCAGGGCGACACAATCCTCCACTCTGACAAGGCTGGGACAAACACATGGAGTAGGGTTCCACACCCACTCTCTTAATAGCATCCGCTCCAAGGTTTAGATCAACACCCTTCAGCTTAACTTGGCTAACACTTCCTGCACAGTAACAAGAAAATACCGACATGTTTACAAATTTACAAAGTTGTCACTCAAAATCTACGTAACAACCATGATAAAAAAAGACCAGGTGTTCTGAAAGATAATCGTCTTCTGCTTCATGGATGAGATTTTTTACATTTCAGAATTCTATATTGATTAATAAGAAATAAAAATTCAATTATTTACATGAATAAATATTGAAGAAATTTACTGATGGGAATGGACAGTAAGTTTTCTAAAAAAAATTTGATAATTTTATCAATCCGACCTTGTCCCTTAAATGGAATTGAGGTAAAAGAATAGAATAGCTGACAAAAATAGCATCAACAATTCATTTACATGACACAAGCACTCCAAACACTAGTATTCCCTTAATATCACATATTGGTTTATGTCAAAGCACCTTTTTACCTAAAATCTGATATAATGAAAAAGATTTTAATGTTCATACTCTTAAAAGAACCTACTGAAAGTACTTATTTATATTCTCAAAATTCCTTTTGTTCACATTTTGTAGAAATACATGTTGTTAATCTAAAGGATATTTACAGAAATGTTAATTGCACATGATATTAAGAGGAATGACAGCTCAGTCACTATAAAAGGTTAAGCCATCTAACTAATTGCACATGATATTAAGAGGAATGACAGCTCAGTCACTATAAAAGGTTAAGCCATCTAACTAATTGCACATGATATTAAGAGGAATGACAGCTCAGTCACTATAAAAGGTTAAGCCATCTAACAAATTGCACATGATATTAAGAGGAATGACAGCTCAGTCACTATAAAAGGTGAAGCCATCTAACTTACCGACAAATCCCTCACGGAAACCAACACCCTTCGGAATTGCATTGAAATTGGGGACGCCACCTAAGAAGAAGTTGCCACGGAGATCAAGTCCCTGGAAATTACCCTGGGATGTCCCAACATAGGCAGGTTCCGTGTCCACAACCATAGTACCTGAAAAATGAAAGCTCAATTACTCTTCTTAGTTAGAGAACTTATAGTATATACACAGGAGTTTCTTTTTGCATCAGTCTGAAAACATTCAACTAATTGATATATGGAAATATTCACTTAACAAAAAAATCCAAACAAAACAAATCATATCAATCAAAAATCTTAATAATAGACTTTGTACTTTGACCTTTGAACTTTATTCATGGTGATTTGACCTTTCAACCCTAAAATATAGATTTCCTACTTGACTGACAAGTAATCCCGCAGCCATTTTCAGTTCACTGTAACATTTTAATTTTTGAAACCAGTAAGAGTCCTTTTTATTTCTAATGGGACAATTTTTCAAAAATTTATCTGTCCTTATTTCTTGGTTTATACCTTCATGAACTGCAATTCTTTTTACCTGGAAATTTGATATCTTAAAACCAAACACAACATGATTTTCTTTCTTAATGACTGAGTAGCAATGATATTGTTGATTATATTTGAAATCTCACCCTGTCTCCTGTTTCGGGTCAGTTTGATGGTGTGTGACTGGTCGAGGGCAAGTTTGCGGTCACCCTTGATGATAGCTGGTCCTGATCCCATATCAAAGCGGAACTCTGGATATCCTTCAGTTAAACCAAAGGAAACAAAATCACCAGTAGTTCCTGTGTCATACTGGCCGTTGTAAATAACCAGTCCGTCAGTGGTCTCAGGTCGGAGTGACAGCAAGATATCAAAGTCCAAGTACACATCATTCAGGGGTGGATATGAGATGTAAGACACAGGATCTTGTGTAAATCTTGGCACCAGATCTGTAAATATCAGACAATAAATGTTTAATAACCAGAAAATATTCTATAAATAAATACCAGCACTCCTTTATGAACCAAAGTCTGATCAGGTGCAGAACATAATATTATGATACCATGGTGATATGAACCAAATATGTTGAGAGGTTGTTTATAGATAACGGGATGGACAGACATTGGTAACCCACTGACTGGTACGTGAAACTCTACTACTGTATAAATCCTAACTGACAAGTCTTGTTTACCTAAACAAGTTATAAATTTAATTGTCTTTATATGTATTAGCTACCTATCAAAATACAGGAAAAAGTATTATCATATTCAACTCTCCCATTACATAAAATATATATTTTCCTTGAATTTAAGGGTGTTTTTGGGCGGAAGGAGAGGATCTTGACCTCCATAAGGAGTTTAAGAATATATGTCACTCATTAATTGAATTGATTGAATATCTTAAACAATTGTTTTGGTTCGATATCTCTTTAAATTTTTTATTAAATATTTCTTTAGTTATTTTTTTCATTCCTTACCTCCTACTCTGAGTTCCATGGAATGTTCATTAGAACCGAGCTCGTTGTGGGCATTACACACGTACATTCCTGCGTCCTCTGGTTTCACTTGATCTATTCTCAATGCACCGTTTTCAACATCATACTCCCTATAATCATCAAATTCACACATTAAACATCAGTGCTGCCATTGTTGATTAATTTTTTTAAGTAAACCTGATTAATATTAATTAAGATAATTGCAAAAGTTAAAATTAATCATGATTTAGTAATGAACTTCAATTTTGCAGCTGATTTTTCATTAAGTTTACAAAGTTTCCATGTAATCAATTAGGATTCAGTTAAATCAAAATTCATCTGTAATGTTTTATCACAAATTTTTTCTTAAATATGAAGCTTGTTTTTTTTTATTTTAAAAAAGGCAATCATTTTATCATAAATATGAATCCATTTCAATCAGATTTTTTTTTTTTATTTAATCATCGTTATATAATATTATGATATTTCATATCGAGGTCCATTTTCAACAAAACTACTGAAACACTCCACATTAAATATCAATAGCTTCCTTCCATTGATATTACGGGTAAAAATCTGTTATTAATACCTTGGCATTTCTCCGTCCTTTCTGTACCACCTGATCTCAGGTGCAGGATAACCTGTGGCCTCACAAGCCAAGGTTGCACTAGTACCTAATGCAGCAGTCAAACTGTCTCCCTGGCCAGAGATCAGAGGACGGGCTAAAACACAGAGTAAAACATAATTGAAAATTCTGACTCATCAGAAGATTTAATCAATATCGGTTAATTTTCATTTTTTGTAGGAATTTTATTTACAATTCTTGGATTTAAATGGTCATAACTTTGGTATAATTTTCATTTTTTGTCTCTAATTCAGGAATTTAAATGGTCATAACTTTGGGAAATATAAACTGACCATCTCTAATTCAGGATTCCTAGATTTAAATGGTCATTTAAATACAAACTGGCCGATTTAAATGGCTATAACTTTGGGAAATACAAACTGACCATCTCTAATTCAGGACTGAACCTCCTAGATTTAAATGGTCATAACTTTGGGAAATACAAACTGACCATCTCTAATTCAGGACTGAACCTCCTAGATTTAAATGGTCATAACTTTGGGAAATATAAACTGACCATCTCTAATTCAGGACTGAACCTCCTAGATTTAAATGGTCATAACTTTGGGAAATACAAACTGACCATCTCTAATTCAGGACTGAACCTGTATATGATCATTTCCATCAACATACAAAATTACAGTTCTATATCTGTATTTGTTCAAGAATAAATGATCAGAAGTGAAATTATGACAGAAAGACTGACAAGGGTAAAATTACATACCCCTGAACATGTAATGAAAACGACAGGCTCTCCAAACACAAATATAAAATATTTAATATTTAATATTTGACTTAGAAGTACAAATTGAAGGCAGAGTTACTGCTGAATGACAAAATCAATTTATTTATTTGTAAGTAACTGGTATTAGTATAGGAAGACTTTGTAGTATTATAGATCCATGTCTCTAACATGTTACATGTTAAAAACAGTGAAACATTACAATTCATTTAAGTTATATTGTCTTAAACATCTTACTTTGTATCTAATATTTCATTTGTAAAAAGCCGACAATAACATGGATTACACACTCACCTCTGATGTACAGAGTGACTCTCTGTTCCACCTTGCCGTATACATTCTGTGCCTCACACAGGTAGGTTCCAGCATCAGACAGCGACACCTCTGGGATGACGAGGATATTATCGTTGATGAATGCTGCACCAGACAATACTCCATCAGTCTTGGTCCACCTCACCACTGGTCGTGGTGTTCCTGAAATCAAAGTTTAATACCTGATACCAGATTTTTATTACATAACAGAAAAAAAATTTCAATGAAAGATGCAGGTAAAGAAATTTGGTCTTAATTTACAAAAAAATAACGATTTGCAAAAGTGAACTCATTATGAAAGGTGAGATACTATAGTTAAGAAGGAAATTTTGTAATCACAACAGCAAGTGGATCAAAATTATTTCTGAGACAAGCTTACAGTTAGCATTGCATGCAAAATTTGTCCCCTGCTGTTCATTAAATTTTCTAAGCAACATAGACCTTGATGGCAATGAACAAATGTCTCATTTTAATAAATGAATGTCTTCCCTCCAGAAACTAGTGTCTTGACAGGAAGAAAGCAAAAACCAGAAATACTGTGAAAAAACTTTATATGCACTCCCTTGTACTTAATACCGTAGTGATGATCTGGAAAACAAACTAAAACAATGACATGTCAGAAAGGACCCAGCTTAGTGTCTGACCTTTAATGGTTAATTTAACCATTCTAGTTACATTGTCAGTATACACATGAAAAGATGTAAAATTTGACCTTGACCTTTTAACACAGTGACCTTGAACATTTGTCAGTTGACCACTGGTGTTATTCTGACAAACATTGCTTCTCTTATTTTTCGTGCTGGGCCCTAAAATTGGTGATAAATGTCTATTGTAGTAAGTGACCTTCACAACCTTCACGGTTGACCTTTTGACCCCTAACTCAATCCCATCCTATATATTTTCTAATAGTATAAGATTGCATCAAGTTTCAATACAATTGGTCATCCTTATCACATGTTATCATCTGGAAGCCAAAATATGACTATTTTTAGTAGCAGTGACCTTCATAGTTTACCTTTTGACCCCAAACTCAATCCCACTCTCTTTGTATTTGTAAACTAACATTTTATGAAGATTCAACTAAATTCATCCATCTTTTCTCATGTCGACCAACATACGAACAGACAGATGGATGGACGAACAGAGACAAATACTGTAGTCGCCTCTGGTTTCACTCACTTACTTTATACATAGTACAGATGTGAGGTTCTATTTATTCTTCTAATTACACAATATAAATTGCAGGCATTTCAGAAACCCAGAATAATCTTAACAAGTCTCAGGCCAAACCTTCCTTTTACATAACATTAACACAGTAGGTACTGAAGTCAGATCAATTCAGATATTTCAAATCATCCCTGACATACCTGTAACGACACATTCCATTTCCACTCGCTCCCCGATGTTGAGGGTCTGAGTGTCAATCTTCACAGTAACGTTGGGATCAGCTGTAATAAAATAAATAACTGAGCGTGCAAACAAGTATTGAACAAATACCAAGAAATTATTTCAAAATATTATTTATCTGAAAATTAAGTAAGTATCTCTTTCTGTGGCCTGTTGCTCCACATATTAGAAAACCATCATCTTTATTGGGCTCAATTTTCATAGCTTTTCAAATAAGTACTATTTTGTGGACATTTGAAATCAAACATAAATGCAGCTTAACAAAAAAAATGTTACCATTTCAACAAATGAATTTATAAATTAAAAATATTCTAAAAATCATTGAAAATACTACTTATTGACCTCTTCAGGTGTTCTGAATAAAGCTGTAGTGGGAATCTATTACATCAAATTACTGCAGAAACACAGATTTAAAAATATGCCTAATTTTTGCATAACCATTTTGAGAGTTATCTCCCCTGACTTACTCTTCCGTCCTTGGACGTTTACTGCTACATAGTCTCTTGCTGTTCCAGCAATGTTTGTAGCTGTACAGATATACCTTCCTTCGTCCTCTGCAGTGATACCATAGATTCTGCAAATGAAAAATTATATGAACATAAAAAACAATATTTCTTTAAAATAAAATATTAACCTTAACCTTTATGCAAGAGAAAAGATGCCTTTAGTTTTTTTTTTAAGAAAGACGATCTCTTTAAACAATACCAAAGTAAAGAGATTTTTAAGGTTTCAACAGAATAGCTTTCTATGAATTATCTGTTCATAACAGGCAAATGTCATGCCATAATACAAACTGTGTATGCAGAATTTAATGAAATCAAAAACATTCCTATTCTAAATTTGAGGAAACTTTTCAAAACCTAATTTTATTTTCAAAAGAAGTGTTACATAAATAAAGTGTACATTTTTGTGCTGGATGTTAATTGAACTCACGTGAGAACACCATCTATAATCTGATGAGAGACGGGCAGCGATCCTCCTTCTTTCTCCCAGCGAACTGTTGGTTTAGGCACACCCTGGGCATTACAACCAAACGATAAGGACTGGCCAATCACTGGGGTTGTTTGTCTCACCTCGGCCAGCACCGTCGGAGGAACTGCAGCAACACAACAGGTGTAACAAGCATGGAAATCACAAAACTTTGTTTCAGAGGTTAAATAAAATTTCCAAATACAAAAACAGTGACCTATATTCTAATGTATTTTATGACCAATTACAATACTTTAGACCAGTTTATTTTCACAGCTATTATCTTTTACAAAGTTACTTTTCCAGACTATTTCAGTGAAAAATACTTTCATGAATCTTTCAGCCTTTGATTTTGTGTTATAAAGTTAACTTGTTCAATGTAATAAATTTGTTTGTGACTGTTCTGACAAATGTTTATCCTGAAAATAAATCTCTCACAAACGGTTTCCAGTGTTACTGTTCACCCGAATGTGAAAAGAAACATATAGGCCTACCTTGAATAGATACTTCAGCATAGCCATCAGAGGTTCCTGCAGAACTTACTGCCACACAACGATAGCGTCCAGCATCTGCAGCAGTCACCTGACTAATGACCAGTGTGCCTTCACTGGTCTGGACAGCACGAGGATTAAGAAGCCCATTAATCTTTGACCATTCGATCTGGAAAGGTCCAGATCCCTGTGGAATACAGGTCAATTGTATCCTCTGTCCAGCTACTGCCTCGACACGAGCAGGCGAGATGGTCAAGCGGGGTCGAACTACAACATAAATTAAAAAATTCCTCAACCATACAGGTTTTTTTGTAACGTCTTTGACAAATCACATGGTTCAGAAGTTATAACATTGTTTATCATCAATTGCCGAAAACAATTTCACAAACAGAGAGGTGAACCAGATGAATCAAACTTCTTCACTATATCTAAGTAATGTCCACCTCTTTTTCATCCTGTTTTGAGCTGCACACCCTTTGATCTATCATTATGATAATTTAACTTATTATTAACAAATTATAGTTTATATACAACTTTGTAACAGAGGTCATTTTTCATCTCAATGCCACCGCTAGGAATCGAACCCGGGACCCCTGGCTTACTAGTCTGACGCTCAACCAATCGAGCTAAAGAGAAGTTCTCTCTAGCCGAGTGGTATATTGCGGCTAGTATTTTACCAGGGTTATATACTCCCCCTCCAGGAAATATCTTGTCCTCAAGTTTCCTGGGATCACAGCAATGCCGGTGGGGCATGGCTAAGTACTATTCCCGGGTCCCTACATGGGCACCAATGTAAAAGAGGTCATTTTTCATCTCAATGCCTCCGTTAGGAATCGAACCCGGGACCACTGGCTTACTAGTCTGTCGTTCAACCAATCGAGCTAAAGAGAAGTTCTCTCAAGCCGAGTGGTATATTGCAGCTAGCATTTTACCAGGGTTACACCTTTATATTGCACCTTTCATTATTTTTCATCATAATGGTATAAATTTTGTTTTTGTTTATTTCCTTTGTTATCTTGGCTTTAAATCTAATGCTAATTATACATTTGTATCTGTTTAATTGTTAGGGGTTGGTTTTGCCAGGGCCAGAGTAAGTCTATCTAATGAGCCAATGTTTATGTTGATATGCTAATTAGGGGAATTTTGGGAATATTGACCAATCACCATTTACCCCTAGAGGGGTATGATGTATTGCAGTTTCAGACTTCAGTAATTGTTTTCTGATGAATGGTGTTTGTTTATGACTTACCTGCCACCTTCCCCAGCTTCCCCTTTTTTGTTTATTTATTTAGAATTATCATTATTCTTTGTTGTTTTGATATTTATTATTCCACTCTGTTTTTATTTTCTTTGTTTAAGGTTTGTTTTATGTAGACTTCAGCATGTTTGTTTGTTCTCTTATTTATCTCTTTCATGATCATTTGTCTTTGTTCCATGTTGTTTATATAATAATGAATTGTGTATCATTTTTTAAGTTGGGTTACTCACTCTGATAGGGTCTTACTTCCTGGGGAATTTTTCCCCCCAATACTTTTTAGATATGTCTTATATGTCTTGTTTCTGATTGCTTATCAACTTTGTTTTAATGGCATTTTCACTTATACTTAGATTTACTAGCCTCTTGAATTGCTCTCGAGTTTGTCATGCCAGCTTTGAATCGCTTAAGTCTGATTTCTCTTGAATTGCGTAAGAGTGCTGTCTTACCAGCTCTTAAATCACTTAATCTGATTTCTCTTGAATTGCTCAAGAGTTCTATTATACCAGCTCTTAAATCGCTTAAGTCTGGTTTTCTTGAATCGCTCAAGATATTCTTAGCTTTTAAATCGCTTCAAAGCTTCTTCTACTTCAGTATTGTAATTCTTCCGCTTGACCTGTCTTGAATCGCTCAAGAGACATTGGGCGTACTTTGAAATATATTGCCAGGAATGTATTTTTATTTCTGTGGCCTTTCATTGCAAGAAGTGAAAGCTCTCCTGTGTAGTGCACACTTGAATCGTATTGGTGTATATAGTTAGTTTGTTTGAGTGAGTAGCCCCCTGATACGCCAAAGTTAAGTTTTTAGTTTTTCCTTTTTATGCTGTCATCTGCTGCATTGTATACTCTTCAGTGTAATAAACAGGTCAACTGTTACCTTTGCGTTTTGGTTGTATAGAAAATAACTTTATAGCTGCCATTATATGGCACTTTCTCAGAAACTGATCTAAACACTATTTCTAAACTTTTGACCTTTCCAACGCTAGACAAATGTCATCATTACACTTATTTTAGTTTCTCTTTGCTACAGGGAGACGGAATTCAACACAAATATAAATGAAAGCAAGTGTTTATAACTGAAAGGCAGTAGTAAATATGACACAAGATACTTCATGATACGTGTGTAGTACAATTTTTACTTTTACTTGCCAAGTAATATAACTTCATGAATGAAACCTCTTACCTGTGACAATGATGTAAACGGAGGTTTCATAAGTCTTTTCCTTTGCAGTGGCAGTGCAGATGTACTCTCCACTGTACTCTGCGGAGAAGCGAGGTATGATTAAGGTGCCGCCTCTCTGACTGTGGTTTGGAGGAAGTCGACCCTCTCGTCTTCTCCACCTCACAACTGGATTTACAAGACCTAAAAAACACACATATCATTAATCCAAACATGAATTGGAAAGCATCATCACATTGAATGAAAATTAATATTAAAGCACTGCAGTGTTTATTCTGTTAAGTTAAAGAGGACAGTACATATACTTTAAAGTTATCATCAGACAATTAAAGTAGAGCTTTTGCTGGTAATTTCTACTGATTTAGGTCAGCTGATTATCAGATATGGGTTTATTGTCTGATAGATACCATATATTCCTGCTAGTATCAATATTTTGATACCTACCATTCGTGTTGCATCGGAGTTCCACTCTCTGTCCTATCTCAACTGACAGACGGTCAGGACCATCAATGCTTACAACCTCTCCCTCTGGTTGTCTTTCATCTTGCACTGAAATCAATCATGACAAACTCTATAAATAACAAGCAATCTGTAGTGAAGCTCAGTGAAACAGAGTGTCCTCTGGTTATGATTTAATATCAGAATATCATTTTGTGAGACTCCACTCAAATGTAGGAGACACATAGGATATGCCTGGGACGAAGAGATTCACAGTAAACAAAGGGCCATAACTCTATACATGAGGACATAATAAAGTATTTGTAGGTGTCCCTCCACCATCCTATACAGTACTCTAATTTAAGCTGTTACAGTGGAACAATAATTTACATTAAGAGTGAACCAGATAAATATCAGGCAAATGTTAATGTAAATACTGGAAAGTAAACAAACATTAATGTGGCTTTTGGAAGCAATGTAGTTTTAACTCTTTAATTGTATTTCTATGATGAGTAAGTGGTAACTGAATGTATTTCAAAGACATCATCAAACAGACCATAGACTTAGTAATCAAATTCATTCTCAAAGTACCAATTTTAATTGTAATTTCATTCCACCTTCATAAATAGCAAAATAGCAACTCTAAAAAACAGTATTTTTTTCTTTACAAAAATTGAAATCTACTGACAACAATTACTCTCGTTATGATTTCCTCCAATTAGAGAAAGTTTCAAGGGAACATCTTGAATTAAAGAAGAACCACCCCCATCTCAAAATCCTGCAACTGCTGTAGTCACATATACGATTCAATTAATCTATTTCATAATTACAAAGGCATGCCAATTTGGGTTTACCAATGATCTGGACTGTTTCCTGTGTAGTTCCAGCAGTGTTCCTTGCCACACAGACGTAGTTTCCAGTATTTGAAGTCCTCACATTTTCCAAGGTTAAGGTGGCAGAACCAGGTGTGGCTAAGGCATCATAGTCAGGTTCCTGAGGAATGTCACCACGCTGAGGTGCCGAGTGGTAACGCCAGTAGACGCTTGGTGTAGGATCACCCTGACCAATACACTCTACCGTCACTCGTTGACCGACTACGGCATAGATTGTTCTGTCTGGCTGGATAATGATCCTGGGTGGACCTAAACAGAAAAAAAAACATTTAAACTATTGTAAACAAATAAGTACAGGTTGCTCTGGAGACTTTGATGATCTTACGCAGACTTAAAACAAAATCTTCTAAATCATTGTCGACAAATCAATTCATGTAGCTTCAAAAACTTGCACCACCTATGATGAATTATATGAGATTCTTTAAAGAAATAGCCTTCTCCTTAGTTCTCTATCAAGTCTTAATGTCAATTTTGTAGTCATGCGGCCTTTCTTATTACTGTATTTGGTCTCGTACAGATTAAAGATCACATTTGAACAAATTTTCCTTTTTGTAGTTTTGTAATCCAGTACAAAGAAGAAATCCAGATACTGTTTTGGTTGTTGTATATTGATTGTGAAGTAGGCTACACAGAGTTGGTAACACCAACATACTGGCATGATGTAGCGTTGTATTTATTGTTGTTGATTAATTTTACACAATAGATAAACAAGCTGACAAAGACTGAGTAAACACATGAGCTACTAACATCGACTTAAACACGAGCATGGTCATAGATTCTTCAGATTAGTATATAGCGACCTTCAAGTGACCTTCATACGAACTGCCTAGATAGGACTCTGGTAATAACCTAAGTAATCATGAATTAATTAACAACACTGATTATGAGTAGATTAAGGTACAACAATATACCTCTGGCCACTGGTCAATACATATTGGGCCACTGATTGATAGATGTCAATAACTTAATTAAGCTGGTCTTATTCTGACATTTAAATTATGATTAAAACACATGTCTAACAGAACACAATTTTGAATAATTGAATTAACTCACATATTAACTTTTAATAGCTCGTTTGGTCTGCCATAATTTACTTAACAAGAATTTGCCCACAACTTTTCGTATCACTGCTGCTGCAGTCATTGTTTTTGGGACCCTCAATAGTTAAGAGTTATCTACCCTGAATGATGAGAACAGCAGTTGCCGACACGGATCCCATATCGTTGGTAGCTGTACACACATACTCTCCAGCTTCAGCACCAGTCACTTGCTTGAACATGATCACACCATTCTCCATCAGTTCTGTATTCTCTGTGGTGAAAGCTTCACCTCCAGCCCTGCTCAAAGGTCAATATGAAACAGTGAAAGTCTTCATAATCACTGAAAAAATTTGGTGGATTTTTTATTTTCGTTACTTTTAAATCACTAATAAATATTGTCACGAAATGAAAAAGAGACGATAACTGAGATGGGTTTTCGAACAAGTAAATTTTGTGAGTAAGACATATTTACTTGTACCTAAAGAATGAACGTAAGATGCATGTTTTGTAACACATCAAAATTGGGACCAAAAATTTGAGCACAAAAAAAAAAAATATGTGATTTTGTAGTTCTTCAGTTTGTACCTAAACAGGAAAATAAAATTAAGTCGCTTGCCTTATACCTATCTTCACACATAACAATATGAAATATTTTCATAATGATCCTTGGTCCATCAAATGTCACAAAACTTCCAAAACAACTTGATAATTATTAATTCTGTTGAAAGTCAACTTAAAGAAACATCTTTTCTGGCTCTGCTCCTTTTCAAAACTCTTTTAGTATCAATGCCTAAAGTGACTTAAACGTTCACAATGATTTATACATACACACAAGAAAAATAATAAATTCTAGTGCCAAATAACACTTGTAAAATTGGAGAGAGTAGAAATTTGAACATACCTGGACCAGGTGAGTGTTGGTGGGGGGTCTCCATCCATTACCCTACATTGGAACAAAGCACTGCTGCCGATAGATATTGTCTGACTGCCACTTGGATAAAAGTCAATCTTGGGCATCATGCGACCTAAATTTAAGCAAATATGAAAAACATTAATGCAGAAATTAAAAAAAACCCATAAAAATGTAAATGATGTGTGTTGTCCATATTCTTTATTAAACTGTCTGATGTTATAGTACAACTGTTGAGTAACACTTATAAGTAACCAATATTTGCTTTGTTTTGTCTTAATGTTGCTGCTGTCATTATCTTAAATTTGATTTGGAAGGAATCGCCATTACTCAAAAACTTCAGCGAAGTCTTTTTGTTATAAATTCAAGGAAACTGTGAGAGGTACCTCCCCAAAAAATAGGAAAAACAAAAACCAGATTTTTTGGTAATTAAAAAAGATCATTGGAAATTTGAAGTATAAGGAAGAATATTTACGCTCCACTTCCACAATAGCCCAGCCCTGGTCTACACCAGCTGAGTTCTCAGCCCGACACACATAGATACCGCGGTCTTCCATCTTTGCATCCACGATCCGCAATACTCCACCATTGACCTTAACAGTAAAATATCAAAGTGTAACTGTGAGACAAAATGTCAATGCAGAGAGATAATGAAAATATGTCAATATGACAGTTTTGATATTTGTACTGAACGATTTTCACCAACTATGGTATCGACATTATAAGAATCAAATCAGGAGAAGAAATTGGAAAATGTAAGCTATATATCTTTATTTTATGATTCAAAGTATATTTTGAAGTGGTCAAATGTATGTTTTGACCCTTTAACCTTGAAAAATGACCATATAGTAAGTATGAAATTTAAAGTAATGTGAACTAGATGTCGCAAATACAAAAAATATATCTTTGATACAATTGAGAAATTTCTTGTACAAAATTCTTTTAATGAGAGCCAACAGACTAACAATTATCAATACAAATGCATTTCTACTCTCCTCCAAGACAAGAAAGGTATTGTGATACCTGATGGCGACTTGACAGCTCCTCTCGGCTCTTGCTCCATGTGATGGTAGGCTGTGGTTTACCAGTAACGGCACACCGAAGAGTTCCAGTTGTTCCCATAGCAACAGTAAGTCGTGAAGGCTCCATAGTAGCAGTTGGGGATTCGTCTGTAGTAATATCAAGTAACTATCTTAATGTATGCCTTTATAAAACACAGACTTTAATCTAGTTCTTCAATATTCCTTCTTTTTCTACAGAATTATAAAACAGATTCTAACAACATTCAAACTTGCAAACTTTACTGAAAACTTCAAGTTTCAGGTAAAGAGCTTTTCACCACACAGTAAAGAAGTTAACAGGGATATAAGAGTCAAATTTCTTAATTCAAATTTGGAAAACTCAAATACACCTCTTACTTTAAAGTACTTTGACCATCCCAGCAAATCTATCTCTCTTTCTTGGTCATAAAGCCTCAGAAAACTTGAATTTGGAAAGGTGGAAAAACTCAGATAATTCCAAGTAAAAACTTGGTCCTGGAGAAAAGATTTGCCCATGGTTGTTTTCACCTTTCAATAAAACTATTCGTCTTCACCCTATGTTGAATAAGCTCTATTTCATCTTTCACTTAAAACTTTTGCACTGCTTTGATTTTGGCCTCACTGACAAAAAGGCGAAATAAACCAAAAGTGAAACTGAAAATTTTCCCTGTGTTCAGTAACTTGATTCCATTTGATACTTACTACCCTCGGAGATAGTCACTTCAGTGGTGGCCGTGCCTCTACCATCGGGGGAAGAGGCGGTACACACATAGGTACCAGAATAGGATGGTTGAACATTGGTAAGTGTGAGAGTACCACGTTCCTGTGAGCTTCCTAGAAAAGACAAGATAAATTCAACAAGCTTTAATAAACAATTTTAACACTGGAACAAAAAAGTGAGTCAACTAACTTGGTTGGAGCTAATACAAAGTCTTAAACCTGAGTCATTCTATGAAGTAGCACCTGGAAGGAGTCAATTCTCAATATTTACCTGGTGGGAGTCCACCATTTCTGGACCATACAAGTGTTGTCCTTCCTGTATTGTCATCTACATAACAGTACAGCTGGGCGGTTGTTCCTACCACAGCGATAACAGATGTTTGTCGCACGATGACAGTGATCTCCAGCTGCTCTGTAAAATAGATTTCCAAATTCAAATTTTTGCTTTCACATAACATTTACATTCCCAACACTTAACATGTGAATTCTCATCTTTGTTGAATTATCATAAAGTAGTCTTTCCTTTTGTACAGTAGACAGTTTTACAAATCAGAAAACATGATAAAAAGGTCACAAAAGGTCGCATGTTATCACAGTTGCCATGTAAAAAATACAATTCAATTTTTCTAGTTGATTTTTTAATCCTTTGAGACAGAGAAAGTGTAATTATATGTGCTCTCTCTGGGCTTATTGAAAGTACCGTAAATAAAAACACAAACTTTACAAACAGCATTTTGTGATTTTGAAAGGTACTGTGATACGCCCATTAAGAATTATCTCAACGGTCTTACGTGATGCTGTTAAACAAAAGACTAGAATTACTGCTTCAGTACAACAAAATACACTAATCATAATAAACACTGAAACTGATTTCAGTGTCAGTAGATATGTCATGTCCAGTAATAAGCCCACCTATCAGGTTTGAATAAGAGACTGACTGGACTTAATGCATTGATTTAACTACCTCTTCTTGTGACATAGAGGATCGTTTTGATCTCGTTGGTTCCAGCAACATTGGTTGCTTTACAGAAATATTCAGCCTCATCAGATGGCTGTACGTTAGAAATACGCAAGAGTCCATTGGAAATTGTAGCTGAAGAACTTAGGCGACCGTTTCCTCCTCTTCGCCATTCTATTGTAGGAACTGGGGTGCCAGTGGCCACACAGCGGAATTCGGCCAAATCTCCCTGGTCCAAGTTCAGGTATCTAGGTTCTATGGAGACTTGAGGAGCAATCTGAGATGCTAAAAAAAATCATGTTAAGGTCACATTAAGGTCATACACAAGGTCAGACTAAGGTCACAATGATGTTATATATAAGGTCATACAGAGGTAATGCATAAGATCCCATTAAAATTATGTATAAGGCCAGACTTAGGTCATGTACAACGGCAATGTAGAGGTTATGTATGTGATCATTGTAGAGGTTATGTACAAGGCTTTATAAAATGTTATACACCAGGTCATACAAAGGTCATATACATAGTAATACTAAAGTTACAAACAAGGTCATACAGAAGCCATACACAAATTCATAGAGACACAGATATGGACTGACAATACTCAATTTTCTAAGTGAAATACATTCTTGTTCTAAACAAAAATTAAAACATAAAACATTTTATTGGACTGGTAGTGTTTCATACTGATTCTAATAATATACAGAAATACTTTACAATCCACAAATTAATAAAAAAAAATTCAATATTTTCAAAATTTAAAAGGAAAATGACAGATAATCGCACAGACTTACCACTGACAATGAGGACAGCCACTGCTGTGTCCATGCTAGTCATGTCAGAGCCAGTACATACATATTCACCCGCGTCCTCCTGCCTGGCATTAGGGATTAACAGAACTCCCATCTGGTCGATGGCCTGAGGGGGCAGGCTACCTCCCTGTCTGGACCATGAAAGGATGTAGGTGTTCTGTAACATTCAATAGAACTGTAAAATCTTGGAATGTTTCATCACTTATTAAATATTGACATGATAAGGTACAGTAGGAAGTCAGATTGACCTTTTAACATTGTATAGTTCTATTCATCACATTGCAACAAATGCTTCTTTACATCACACACTGACATGGGGATATTTTTGATAGCCAAATATTTTTTTTTCTTTTTCAACAAAGAATTATCTTTTCCTTAAATGTTTTTATAATTTATCTTCATTAGAAAAAAACTCTGGTATCATCAAGATTTATAAAATAAACCATTGTTTTCTTTTTTTAATATCCTGGTGTTCAGAACAGGAAATAAGTGATAAATCATACTCACTTCTCGGTTTCCTATTGGCAGACATACAAATCTGACAGACTCTCCTTCATTGGCTGTAACTTGTGATGTTTCAATTCTGACACGGATTGGCTGCTTACGACCTAAGTTCATAAAATAGGCATTATTAGAAAACATACCAAAATAAATTACTATTACTGGTCTATAAATACTGACATATACATTTACTAACCAATAAGTAACAGGTGAACAGAAATACTGACCAATAACAGACAGGCAGATAAAGATATGGACCAATGACAACAGGACTTATAGATATACTGACCAATGACAGTTAAGCTGACATATCCACGTCGACTACCATGAATGTTTGTTGCTGTACAGACGTAGCGGCCACTGTCCGACTCTATCAAATCACGAATGGTCAAGCTGAAGCGTGGCCCAATTTGGGTACGTGTTGACAGGAGTTGACCGTTAGCACGGCTCCAGATGACGTTAAATGGTCCTTCACCTTGTACATTACATTGGAACACCACAGTAGCACCGACATTCTCTTCAAGTGTCACAGGGTTCACAGTAATAACGGGACGTTTGTCAGCTGAAACATACAAGTAATAAAGTGGATAAAAAAGGGTCCTTTGATATAAAACCTACTGGAACACAATATACTCTACTGTATACACAAACCCATTCTCTATTTAAAGTGTAACACATTTTTGACCTTTCATATTCTAACCAACAACCAAGCACACTAAAAATGGAGGCAATGGATGATGTCACTGATTCATAAGCCAAAAGAAAGCAACTTTCCATTTAAACATATCAGTGACCCTTCATCTTTAGCCTTTGACCTTAAAAATGATCCCACACAGGCATGCTCCATGAGACTGCTATGTATTCATCTGAAGTGTAATATGCCAAAGGAACTTAAATGATCAGTCACAACACTCATCTATTTATAGCACCAACGACCTTAACCTTTAACCTTTCAACTCAAAAAGCAATCCCAAATAAGCAATCTCTAAATTAGGACGGAATCTATGTAAAATGTCCAAGACTGACTAGACAACTGCTAGGTGTTGGTAAAAGGAACCAGTTCAGACAAGTTCACAAATGAACATTAGGCCCTTCAACCAACAAATTGTTCATGTATTTGCTTATTCTAAGGTAACATAAAAAAGGCAGATTAGTTTATGTAAACTCAACAAAAATTAATGAATCATACATTGAAAAGATTGAGAGAATCAAGGATGGAAGGAAGAAAGAATAAAAGATTTAAACAAAGATAGACAAACCTGTTAAAAAGTTAATGAATTTTAATAATTTGGTTTATAAAATGCCAATTAAATGAAGTAAGGAAAGAAAAATCAATAAAACGAAGACACGATACTTACTATCAATGGTAGTACATGTTCCTCCCACTTCCCGGGGATTACCAGAATAGCCACGACTAGTATCACACCTGTTAGAATCATTCAACAATCAAATTAACTTGTCTACAGGAAACGAGAAGAGATTTATTGGTCAACACTCTTTATCCATGTACAACACTTATTGCTATCAATTACATAAAAACCTTAAAAGCAGCAACTCATTTCTTAAAAATAAATCTCTTCAAAATTATCTCAACAACATAATATAAAATGTTTTTATTAGTGGTGTCTAATTTTCACTTTTATCCAATTCCAATGCAACATTGTTTGGCAAATACTGAACAAATAACTTTTAGTTACTGGTGAAATTAGGGTTTCATTTCTGAAAGACAATTATTTTTTTAATCGAAATAAAAATTATCTGCCCTTATCCAGCCATCCGAATTACTGTAACCATATATATTTATGCTATAATTTTCTTTTAGCACTTATAATGCTGAAGTTATTGTGACAAACTATGATTGTGCTAGTTGTAGATGCTGTATATCATAGATATAGTAATTATTGTGAATGGGCAAATTCATCATTACTGACGATAAGTATGTAGTCACAGCATTCCAGTACAGTATTTGTATTTCAAGTATACTCACTCTCCACAGTCACGACCGGTGTAGCCATTTTGACAGCGGTCACAGATAACTTGACCTCCTGGGGACTGATAGCATGACCTTGAAAACCTGCAAAGGTCATCAAAAATCTTCTGCAGGCTATGACTAATATGATTCATCACCAATATATCATAGAATACAGCTTTATACTAGAAATATATTTTAATACAATTTTTAAGATAACCATAGCTAAAAATTTTCTCACTGAATTTTTAAAAAAATTTTAATGTTTCCTTAATTTTCATTTTTCTGAAGATTTCTAGAAACATCCTGATTCCTGTATCCAATTTTACAGCTTGGCAGGTTATCAGCTATCTATCAAAGTTTCATTTCATAAATATCTAAGGTACAGCATACACAATTAAAAACAAAATGGAAATTTGATCAAGTTTACCTCGGTCTTTAATGGATATGAATTTTGCTACTCTCTGCAGATTAAAGTGTTAGCAGAGTACAAAATTAGGAAACTCAAATTTTCCTACTAAAATACAATATATTTTCTGTCCACTCACTGATTGGATGGAATGGTGAGAGGACAGGGACATGGCCTGCAGTCACTTGTGGTTCCCACGGTGGCGTCGCCATAGAAACCAACAGCACATCTCTCACAGCGATCACCTTCAGTATTGTGTTGGCAGTCCTAATATAGAAAACATAGCAGATTTAACAACTTAGAATTTATCCTGTGAAATCTAATTTATGATGAATATATAAATTAGTTGTCCTTTTGTCATCGTGGCATTGCCAATCTCACATATATTTTTTTTCACCTTAAATCATAAATTTCACTTTATTTATTATATCTTGCTTCTGTTTTCTTCTTCACGTTCTTAAAATCTTCTCATTTTCAAACATGGCTCATTATTAGATGAAACTCTATCAGGAATAAGAGATGAAATATGAATCAGAACCTCAACATTAATTCAACGACGTAAATTTGTTTCGTTTACTTACCAGACACTGTCCGGTTGTAGGGTCACATGATGTGGCGTGACCATTACAGTTACACTGAGAACAGCGGAATTGACCGCCTTCCTGCACCTGTAGATAACCTGGGGCACATTCCTCACAGGACAAACCAGTATAGCCTTGAGGACAAATACATCTCTCTACCATTGGTGCAGGGCCCAGACCTGTTGGCGTTGCTGAGGCCGTATCCATGGAGACCTCACGTATGGCCGTGCGACTTGTTCGTGAATGATAGGTAGCACGAATCAGAATGGCTTCTATGTCTGCTAGCATGGACATAAAAGCTGCTCGGCTCGGCTCAGATGCATCCAACATACGGAACGACGGCTGAAGTATAGAAGAATTACAATACTATGTATTTTTGAAATATATAGAGTAAAATGTTTCAGCAACGTGTAGTGATGTTCATGATCAACAGTTATAGAAAAAAAAGGGTTCTGTTTAGACAGGCTCATTATGAAGTTTAGACAGGTTCATTATGGAGTTTAGACAGGTTCATTATGGAGTAACCTGTTACAAAGAATTTTAACATTTAGATTACTCATTTTCTGCTTCCCTGCACCATTTATTTGCCAGAAAAGGAATTTTTGCTGTATTTTTACAGTATAAATTTGATGTTTTAAGCACTGTTGCTTTCCATAGAAGGAATAAATATCGTAAATATTTTCTTTACTATAGTTAAATTTCGTTTGGTTTTACCAAATTTTACACACACATACACACACACACACACACACACACACACACACACACACACACACAGAGAGAGAGAGAGAGAGAGAGAGAGAGAGAGAGAGAGAGAGATAGAGAGAAGGGAAATTACATCCCCTCGAATATCATGAACAGAATCCATACACAACCTACCTCCCGCAGTAAAATGTTAATGGTTTGAGGCTTGTTGGGCTCGATCGAAGGATTAAACAGGTGATACATTCTCTGTCGCTGTCCAGATGTCTGAAACCACAAGTAAAACATGAGATACATGAATATACTCAACACTTTGTACTTTCAATCATGTTTAGATAGAAACAGAGCAAAATAAATTGTAGTCAAACGTAAACTCTAGTCTGTAAATTTCACAAAAAAAAAAAGAAAAAAAGAGTTTAAAATTTGTCAGAATTCTGGAAACATTAAAAGTACATGTGATTTTCGTGAATGTCACCTTTTCATCCAGAAAGAACATCCACACAAAACATCAGAATCTTCAAATTGACATTTGAATCATAACTGAGTTAAATGTAATGTCCAGACATAATTTTGATGAAAATGGCGAACACTTCAAGCCCAGCTGGTGGGGGAAAAAAAATTAATGTCTTTAGAATATCTAAGTCCTGTAAACAAAACACTGCCTTACCAAGGTCAGAATTTACAAAACACTGCCTTACCAAGGTGAACCCAAATAGTTCCTGTAAACAAAACACTGCCTTACCAAGGTGATCCCACATTTCAAAATCCTGTAAACAAAACACTGCCTTACCAAGGTGAACCCACATCCCACGTATTAAGTTCCTGTAAACAAAACACTGCCTTACCAAGGTGAACCCATATCCCACATATCAAGTTTCTGTAAACAAAACACTGCCTTACCAAGGTGAACCCACATCCCACGTATTAAGTTCCTGTAAACAAAACACTGCCTTACCAAGGTGAACCCATATCCCACATTTCAAGTTCCTGTAAACAAAACACTGCCTTACCAAGGTGAACCCACATCCCACGTATTAAGTTCCTGTAAACAAAACACTGCCTTACCAAGGTGAACCCACATCCCACGTATTAAGTTCCTGTAAACAAAACACTGCCTTACCAAGGTGAACCCATATCCCACATTTCAAAATCCTGTAAACAAAACACTGCCTTACCAAGGTGAACCCATATCCCACATTTCAAGTTCCTGTAAACAAAACACTGCCTTACCAAGGTGAACCCATATCCCACATATCAAGTTTCTGTAAACAAAACACTGCCTTACCAAGGTGAACCCACATCCCACATATTAAGTTCCTGTAAACAAAACACTGCCTTACCAAGGTGAACCCACATCCCACATATTAAGTTCTTGTGATAAGCAATGCAGAAGGTAGAACCTGGACAAGCTCTTTCTTTTATGTAGGTCAATGGTCAAAATGTAGGTCACAGTAGCCTACTTTGTAAACAAAACACTGCCTAACCAAGGTGAACCTATATCCCAAGTTTCTGTGACAAGTTGTGTAGCAGTGTAGGGCCTGGGAGGACAGGTGGAAAGATGGACAGACACAAAGCAAAACTAGTCCCGCTTGGTTCCTGGTGGAGCACTATTGAAACCATTCCTATTCTGATAACAACTTATTCTGTTTGTTACTCACTGACAAATGAAAAATATTTACAGATATAAACATTATTCCTTTTCTAACACAACAGAATACTAAATATCCTGTGATAACGAAGCCTTTAATCTTCCTGAAAGCTGACTCTATGTAGGGTGGTGGACTTACTACAACACAATGAAACAACCAATGGGTGGGCTTATTACCAGACATGGGCTTATTGTTGGATAAGTAATGTTACTATGAATACTTACAATAAATTCTACATCTACATCCCTGAATAGCCTGCCTGAGTCTAGTTGATTTACTTGAGTGTCCAGTGTGAACCTCAGAAAACCTCCATAGGATTTTATCTGTAGACAAATAAAATATACATGAAAATTACTTTAATAAAATATTCCAACATTTTTTTTAACTTTAAATTTTAGACCAATCCATATCAAAATTACAAAATCAGTCATTGTGATGCTAAGCATTTGTTAAATTTTTGCAGAATTACAAATTAAAACAAGACCATCATAATTATGAGAAATGATGTCATAAATAATTACAAAAAAGATAACATATATTTATACCAGAGCAGTTTCCTTATTAGTTCATTTCTACTGCTTAGGTTCAGCTTGCACAAAATGTGTTAGACTATTTTACCAACCATAAGAGTATATTGAAATCAGCACATTAAAATCTTACCTGATTTCCACGGAATTTCGGGGGCAGACTGAAAAACAGACTTTCCTGTTCTCGCTGGATTCCTTGAAACTGACCAAAAGCAATCTCTCTCCTTGAAACATCAATGTCAAAACCATCGTCAATGATGTTATTCAGTCTACGATTGGTCAAAACAAAGTTGTGGGTGCCATCAGAGCCGAGTTGTGGGCGGAGCTAGGAATGAGAAGACAACACTCTTAGGACATCTACAAAGTACCCTGTTAAGGATACATGGGACCAAAAGATACACTGATTTATAAATATCTACAGAATGTTAAATGTGATCAACTTTTGCAAAGAAACTGTGAAACCATGCAGGCTATGGATTTTTCTTTTAGAACAACTCACAATCTCTTCTTATTTTTTCTATATTTCAATTTCTGTTTTCACTTTTTTAAAATAATCTTAAGACTAAAATTTGAGAAAAAATAGACTCATTTTTTAAAGAAATGTTTAACATGACAGTATTTTTCTTGGTTGCTTTCTCTTCTCAAATGCCAAAATTAAAAACAAACAAAAACAAAACACAACAATTTAAGAGGAAAAAAAACAAAGAAAATCAACCATCCCCCCCTCCTCCCAAAAAAACCCCTGATCAATCAAAGAAAGCCAAAGCAACACATGAGAATTAAGAAGAAAGAGAGAAAATATTTTTTACCTCATTCCTGTAATAATTGGAGCTGGAACATTGGTTGGTGATTCCTCTACACCAACAAGAGAGACATCCCTGACTGTTATCGTCTGACAGGTAGAAGTAGTTTTCCTTGCATGTATTACACCTCTGGCCCTGGACGTACGACTACAAGGGAGACAAATATATACATGTATTACACCTCTGGCCCTGGACGTACGACTACAAGGGAGACAAATATATACATGTATTACACCTCTGGCCCTGGACGTACGACTACAAGGGAGACAAATATATACATGTATTACACCTCTGGCCCTGGACGTATGACTACAAGGGAGACAAATGTATACACTTACACACATTTTGTTGCAGATGCCAGACATAATCTAAATTCCTTTTTGTTGGTTTGTTTTGTGCAGGGGTCATTTTAAGTTGGGGTCAAAGTTTAGTAGTAACTGGGGGCTACCTCACTGAACATTATGTTAAAGTCCCCTTGCATGCTATCCAGTGCAGTTGTGGTAAAGTGCCTTGACAAAGGACACAGACACATGATGGCGCAGGATGTTCTGTGATCTCAGGTTCTAAAGAAACATAGGCTTGTGAAGAGTAGAAATCTGATCAGAAATCCTCAAAACTTCATCTAAGGCTGCAAAGTCAATGTTATACTGGTGCTACCATGACCCCCTGTATATGTGACTACAAGGGAGGTAACTTTTACATGACATATCAGGAGTTTACAGAACCAGGATAACAGTTACACTGAAACCTATTATTTGAAATTCATGGCATTATCCTGCTGTGTTTATTCTGTGTTATATTGTTTACCTTACACTGGCACTGTCGTGTGCCCAAATCACACTGTGTGTTGGGTACTGTTCCTCGACTGTCACAGTTACATTGGGGCTCTGAAAAAACATTTATTTTGTTAGATGATTTCTGTCTGAGAACTCTTTTGGACTGAAGTTCCTAAACTTTACCTTATCTCCAAATTCAAATGAATTTATATTTACAAACCAAATTTCTGTTCTACCTCTAATCATATTTCACAAAATTGAAATATGTAAAACGAAATGATGTTAATTTCTCATCATATGTTTGATTATATTATCTTTGTATGTGTGCAAGATCATCCTGATCATCTGTTTAATCAACAAACAAGCTATTAACTGAGAAATGATGAAGGACTAATTGTACCAAACTCACCTACTGGTCCGATCTTACAGTAGTCACCAGGGTTCAAAGGGTTTCCTGTGTATCCTTGGTTACACCTATGAAAATGATTTTTTTATACAAATATTTCTAATTTTGAACTTTTAAACTGTCAAACTTAAGAAATCATAACATCAAAACATACTGAGTATTTTTCTAAATATATCTTAAACTCAGAAAAAAAAAAAACAAAAAAAAAAAACAAGAACAAACTTGGCAAAATATGAGAAAGAAGAGAAAGAAAAGAAAAGGAATATTTATTTTATTTCTTGATATTAAATACTGGCTCTGAGTAAGACTAAGTATCCTCCTAAAACCTATGATTTTCAATATTAAGGATCTTTTCAGTTTTTTATCTGCTGGCTTTTGAAAAAAATTGCATGGAACATTTTCAAGAATGATATTTATTTTATTGAATAAAAACCATCAAAAAAATTTGATGAGATCAAAATCTTTATTCTTACCGTTCACATCTACGGCCAATGTGGCCAGCAGGACAGGCCGTACAAGTAACCTGACCGTCAGTGTCCAGTATACAAGTTGGACTAAATCTGTAATGAATGGAAATTATCCATGTAAAGATATATATAATCTACAAAGATGAAACATTTCTGCAAGACTAAATTTGTTTACAAAAGTATACATATCAAAATAAACAAGAGAAAGTTAATATCAACAAACAGTGGAAAATGAGGTTTAGCGTAAATACAGTAACCCATTTCCTGTAAGATATTCTCTGTCAACATCACACAAGAATTATAATTATATCATAAACTTTATTCTACAACAATGCTGGAAGAAGTTGAAATCAACTTATATTAATTGTTCTTGATGATTCAAATGAAAAGTCACAAAGGTTAAGGCCGAGTATGTTACCATAGTAACATGCATGACCACGCTAAACACGTAATATATAGAAGTCGGGGAATTCCTGTTAACTGTACTTACTGATTGGGGGCTCTTGTGAGAGGACAGCTGCAAGGCTGACAGTCATTGGGGCTTCCTCGAGTCGCATCACCATAGAAACCAGCTGCACATCGCTCACAGTTGTCTCCTTCTGTACTGTGTTGACAGTTCTAAAAATATATTGCATAGTGTTAACATCATCCGATCTAAAAATAGCATGATACTTTCCCATCTATTTTGTGATTTGCTTACCCCTAGGAGCTACAATGTAAAAAGTTTCAATAACCATGGAGATTTGAAATTCTGATGTTCCCCCACCCTAAAGGTATGTTCATCAGAAATATCCCAAATATATATACAACAGGAATTCCTCTACCCTGGGGGTATGTATTTTAGAGGATCTACTATCCCAGGAGTATGGACATACAGAAATCCCCCTCCCCCCAGAGAGATATACAACAGGAATTCCTCTACCCTGGGGGTATGTATTTTAGAGGATCTACTATCCCAGGAGTATGGACATACTGAAATCCCCCTCCCCCCCAGAGAGATATACAACAGGAGTTCCTCTACCCTGGGGGTATGTATTTTAGAGGATCTACTATCCCAGGAGTATGGACATACTGAAATCCCCCTCCCCCCAGAGAGATATACAACAGGAGTTCCTCTACCCTGGGGGTATGTATTTTAGAGGATCTACTATCCAAGGGGTATGGACATTAATTTAATCTGGAAGTTCCACTACGATGGGAGTATATACAGATGTCCGTCAGAGGTTCCGATGCTACAGAAGTATGTACAAGAGAAGGTCTCCTGGGTACAAGTTCATATATAAGAATTCTTACCCTGCATACACCTGTCTCCGGGCTGCATTCACTTGAGTGTCCGTTACAGTTACAAGGTACACAGCGCCCAAGGTTAAATCCGTCTTGACTTCGTGTGAAGCCAACATCACAGTCCTTTAGAAAGTAATAAAATATTCCTTTTACATCTTGAAAATAATATTAAGACTACAGAGTACAGAGAGTTCCTTAGTGCCACTATAATTTTTTTCTTATTATTTAAACCATCACACACAAAATTCAAACAAGGGCCTCTGACCTGAAATATTTTTATAAACTTGAATTTTAAGCTTTACATAGTTATAATGTCAATGAACAACAAGAAATAAAGTAAATCATACTTATTAAGTTTCAAAAGAATTTGTTGAAATAATAGCATCAGTACTCAATGCATATTTCAGATACTAGAGTAACCATGGGTGTATCATTGAAAAAAATTACTGACATGAAGAATAGATGAAAAGTGCATAACTATCAGGATCACCTTTCTCATACGAGAGCCCTCTGTAGCCCTGTGGACAGACACAATGTTCAACCTTTCTCACAAGAAAGTCCTCTGTAGCCCTGTGGACAGACACACTGCTCTACTTACCTCACAAGAAAGTCCTCTGTAGCCCTGTGGACAGACACACTGTTCAACAGCGTTGGCACGATCCTGGCCGGTGTTCCTGTCCTCAGCAATGTCCATGACGATGTCACGAATACTGGCCTGGTCTGTTGTGCTAGTGAATGTTGCTCGGATCAAAATGGCATCCAGGTCTGCTAGAACCATCATAAGGAACTCCCGTGTGGCTGGCTGGCCATCAAGTCGTGTCCAACTACTCTGTAACATATTAAATATATAATAATGAATAGTAACTTAATCACAACTTCAAAGGGAAAAAAAACATTTTTAAAGGTCAAAACCGAAACACAAGAAACATCTGCGACCCATGTTTGGAGAAGAAAAGAATATCAGTTTCCTTGTTTCCTCCTAATTTTTGCAGAATTTGGAGATTTTTACATCCCTATCAGTACACATTAGATGAAATTAAAACATCATCATATATTCAATGACTTACAAAGGTGTTACAATGTTAACAAGCAAAAGATACCTAGATCTATTCCTAGAAGCATATATATCATATTTCAACCTTTTGATTACATTGATGTAGATCTTCATTTTTATTGAAAATAGGGCAAAATTTGATAACATTTGACGATGGTGTATATGAACATTTTCAATTAACGACTTACCTCATAGAATTTAATGCTGTAGGATTCTGGTTTGTTTGGACTTGGCATGGTTTCAGGGCGATGGACAAGGACAATGTCATTACCCTGGAAAATCAAAAAACAGCTATCACTAACATAAATGGTCAGTACTAACAGGAGGCACCACATTGTGATTCTCTCACATATGTTTTCCTTGAATGTTTAATCAAAAATTAATTGTAATTAATATTAATTACAAAAATCATGTAGACAAAAATAGGTTTTGTTTATGATAGCAATACAGTTCAGCAATTAATGATTTTCAATGCTCATATTTAACCTTGAAAAATTCTGAAAGGTCACTGCTTTGTCAGCTTTAAAGTAACTTATCGATAAAACTTGTGATTTTGTTAATACAAAAATCCACTGTCAAAATTATACAAAGTTTCTAAATGTTTTCTCACACAGTAAGAGTAGAGATCACATAGTATCTGACTTTACTGTCATAATATATCATATTTCTACTTACGCTGATTTCCACTAGAGGCCCTGGTGTGCCAGTGGAGTCCTGCCCTGGACGGTACATCACAACAAACCTCAGAGAGCCTCCATACGACACCAGCTGTTTATAAACATATTAACACAGTTAAGATGACATTTGAAAACAAGCTTACAGTTAGTGTGGCATGCAACACTCATTCCCTGCTGTTAATAAAAAATTTTAAGCGACACAGACTTTGATAGTAATGAACAGACATCTCTTTTTAACAAATGGAAATTCAGAAATTTGATATATCTAATTTTAGACATGTCAAATTTTCGCCTTTGAAGAGCAGGAGCTAAACCTACATAGTGTAATTCTTTCCAAATAAATGTTTACTGTGTAAGAAAAATCATTTATACAGCATATTCACTAATGCATTTTTTATGATGAATTCACAGAATTATGGAATATCAGGTACAATTTATTATCAAACTAACCTTGTCACCAAGGAAACGCTGAGGAAGTGACCAGTAATAGACCGTGTCGGGCAGTCTGCTGAAGGAACGATAGATGAGTTCACGGACATTCCGGTCAATAGTGAAACCATTGCTCACGGTCAGTTCTGGTTTACGGGAGATATCAGTCAGAGAAAATCCCAGGCTGTCTCTTGTGAATGAAGCTCCGACCTACCGAATGTATTGATTGCTATCATTGTCATTCAAATATGTATTGATCAAGGTTCAATAATTGGGACTAAATTATATCTCTCTTACTATACTGATATTCTGACAAGAGATTTACACAGAAATTTGGTACACATCTGTTCTCTTACTAAGAAAACATCTTCAGGATTTGATACAGCATTTTTTTGCACTCATGCCTTTGAAATGAAACATCTGAAAAATTCTGACTTTTATTTCTATTTTTCAAATATCACTGATTTTCTTTGAATTTTATCGGTCACTTTCAATTAATTAGATTTCTTCCTTGAATTTTTCTACTTTTTTCTTATTCTTTTTTCTTCTAAATTTCATATTTTTGACAAAACTAAACATCATTGTTCTTATGAATGTTGATAAGTTTTCCCAACAAACCGCCATTAGTTGGTTAAGGGTTTACCCTACCTGAGCGCGATTCCATGATGTGGATGTACAGGTGTCAGTAATTCCCATACAGAAACAAGAAATACAGCCGTTTGGATTGTCCAGACTCAGATGGAATGTATTGGCCTGACATTGGTCACAGTTTGGTCCCTCCACATATTGCTGAAAGAATATAAAGCATATTAACCTATCCCTCTGGTCTTCGTTTATAAATCCTGTCTTTATCCCAAAATAAGTAGGTGGAATCTTTAACTCCGACTTATAGTAAGGGTTAGGCTTATAACAGGAGGACGAAACTGTATATGTTGGTCATTCTACTGAATGTTAACAAATATATAGCCTAGGACTTATTGATAGGACAAGATTAATACAGTCTTTTATTCAAATCACCACAGCTAACACTCAATTTCTACAGTCTTACCTCATTATCAAAAGTATTTGTATTAAATAAAACCAACTGTGACACCATTCTCTGGACATTTAAATTACAGCGTTCTCTGAATTCAGGTATTGATGACTAGGACAGTAGATAAACTGTATGCCTATTCTCCATTTCCCACTCTGCCAGATTTAGAATGGACAAATTAAAGTCAGTGATACTGTATTCTGTAACATAAAAACTTTCCTACCTACCTTACATGGACACCTGCCAGTTCGTGGGTCAGGGCGTGTCTGCAGACTACCACGTGAGTCACACCTCTCCTCAACTGTGATAGACAATACACCAATCATCAATGTTAGATATAAACATTACAACAGGTTATTTCAACTTATACTAACCATTCTTGTTGGCCCGGATGTAAGCGTAAAAGGGGTCTTATTGTGGGAGGAAACCGGAGTACCCAGGGAAAACCCACATTATCAATGTTATCATCATACATATTTACAGTATTCATCCTGAAATAAGTCTAAAGGGCTAAAACATAACTTCGGGCTCAATGAAGGGGAGTAGACATGTAAGGGGGCTTTAACATAACTTCAGGCTCAATGAAGGGGAGTAGACATGATAAGGGGCTTAAACATAACTTTGGGTTCAATGAAGGGGAGTAGACATGTTAGGGGGCTAAAACATAACTTTGGGCTCAATGAAGGGGAGTAGACATGTTAAGGGGCTTAAACATAACTTTGGACTGAAAGACTAATTTGCAGCATTTTTAAAATAATTTTTTTGTTTACAGCCAAACAAACAACAAAAATTTCAACCAAAAAAAACCATTTCATGTCACACAGATTTCCAACCTACTTGAAACCCGACGACAGCGATCTCCGGGTTGGCGTGGATTGCCAATGTAACCACGGGCACATCGTTCACAGTTCCTACCCTCATGACCCTCGAGACAGGCTGTACAGGTGGGCAGGCCATCAGGGTCCAGTCTACAAGTTGGACTGAACCTGGCAACATAGAAGGTTAGAGTAATTTTCATACTAAACTACATTTTTTAATCTACTCTTTTTAAAATCAAAGTACTGAAAGTACTGAAAGGCAGATCTCTAACACAAAAGATATAAATCAAAAGGTACTGCTTAATCAGTAATTGATAAGGTAATCATAAAGAGATCAACTGCAAGCAGTCTTTTCGGGGATTCATCAGAGGGTGGCAGGAGCAGAGACAGGTTCAGCAGTGGCCAAGAAGATTATTTCTACGATACTGTACACACTTGGAGGATACAAAAAAATTCTTTATCTCTGATTTAATAAGACATACAAAATTATTGATATATTGATAAAACAAAGTCACTGATTGGTGGATGCATGCAGTAGACTTACTGATTGGATGCAGCAGTCAATGGACATGGACATGGACTGCAAGAGTCTGCGAGACCCTGAGTAGCATCACCATAGTAACCCTGTATACAGCGCTCACACTGTGGTCCTTCTGTGAAATGTGCACACACCTGTAACAGAAATGCATGATTTTTATTCCAATTCTGAATCTGATAATTTCCTACAATTCTCGCATTGTTTTAAAATTTAGTTGATCAGGAATATTGGAAATATAAGGATGATTTTGACTGGTTGAGTGAAAGCATTAAGAAAGCCTCCGGTGCAGAGGTTGATTCATTGAGGAGGCATTGCTCAGAAATAAAGACTTCAGTGATATATTTTTGAAAGGTAACAGTAAACTTACCCTATTAATGCTACAAAATACCCAATGGTCTGTAGTATAAGATCTTGAAGTTTGAGGAGTGGGCTTATTTTAACAAAATACAAAATCATTTTTCATAACCAGATATGGGCTTATTGTTGAATAAAAGTGTGTGACCATGGACTTATTACCACAAAATAGAAAGACTTGAAAAATAGTGATGTGTACAAGTAACATGGTATTATACTTTCCATTGAAGTGACAGTGATGTCTCCCTGTAACTTTGTACCATATTTGCCCTATGAGCAATAGTGATTGTGCTATATTTGCCTTTTGAGCAAAAGTGATTGTGTCATATTTGCACTATGAGCAACAATGACTTTGCCATATTTGCCCTATGAGCAGAAGTGACTGTGTCATATTTGCCCTATGAACAAGAGTGATTATGCCATATTTGCGCTATGAGCAAGAGTGACCTCTACCAGTAATATGGTACCATACTGACTTTATTAGTCATTTAGTAACAAGGTACAGTACCTACCCTACACTCGCCAGTCTCAGGGTCACAGTCATTAGAGTGACCATTACAATTACAGCGCCTACAGATGCCAAGATACGGTCCTTGTCGGACTCTTCTGTAACCCGCAGCACAATCCTGTATCACAAAAATGCATACAATCACATATCATCACAAATTATACAATCTTTTATTATAAAATAAATACAACCTTGTAATATGTGAGTAGTGAATTCTGAAAATTTTGAAAATACTTCATCACCGAAATTTATACAACTCTGTATCACCAGAATTTTCAAAGTACTTCATCTCCAAAACTTATTCAACACTGTACCATGAAAATTTATTCAACTCTGTATCACCAGAATTTTCAAAGTACTTCATCTCCAAAACTTATTCAACACTGTACCATGAAAATTTATTCAACTCTGTATCACCAGAATTTTCAAAGTACTTCATCTCCAAAACTTATTCAACACTGTACCATGAAAATTTATTCAACTCTGTATCACCAGAATTTTCAAAGTACTTCATCTCCAAAACTTATTCAACACTGTACCATGAAAATTTATTCAACTCTGTATCACCAGAATTTTCAAAGTACTTCATCTCCAAAACTTATTCAACACTGTACCATGAAAATTTATACAACTCTGTATCACCAGAATTTTCAAAGTACTTCATCTCCAAAACTTATTCAACACTGTACCATGAAAATTTATACAACTCTGTATCACCAGAATTTTCAAAGTACTTCATCTCCAAAACTTATTCAACACTGTACCATGAAAATTTATACAACTCTGTATCACCAGAATTTTCAAAGTACTTCATCTCCAAAACTTATTCAACACTGTACCATGAAAATTTATACAACTCTGTATCACCAGAATTTTCAAAGTACTTCATCTCCAAAACTTATTCAACACTGTACCATGAAAATTTATACAACTCTGTATCACCAGAATTTTCAAAGTACTTCATCTCCAAAACTTATTCAACACTGTACCATGAAAATTTATACAACTCTGTATCACCAGAATTTTCAAAGTACTTCATCTCCAAAACTTATTCAACACTGTACCATGAAAATTTATACAACTCTGTATCACCAGAATTTTCAAAGTACTTCATCTCCAAAACTTATTCAACACTGTACCATGAAAATTTATTCAACTCTGTATCACCAGAATTTTCAAAGTACTTCATCTCCAAAACTTATTCAACACTGTACCATGAAAATTTATACAACTCTGTATCACCAGAATTTTCAAAGTACTTCATCTCCAAAACTTATTCAACACTGTACCATGAAAATTTATTCAACTCTGTATCACCAGAATTTTCAAAGTACTTCATCTCCAAAACTTATTCAACACTGTACCATGAAAATTTATTCAACTCTGTATCACCAGAATTTTCAAAGTACTTCATCTCCAAAACTTATTCAACACTGTACCATGAAAATTTATTCAACTCTACTTCCCTAAAATTTAGAAAACTTTGTATCATCAAAGTTTATTAAATATTGCATCACCAGTTTTGTTAGAACAATACTTCACCTGACAAGAGAGACCTGCATATCCAGCTGGACACTCACACTGCTCCACAAAGACAGCTCGTCCAAATCCTGTATCCTCTATCACACCAGTGCTTATAGAGATGTCTCCAATCCTGTACAACCACCACAAGGTCAGTAAGTATAATCACCACAAGGTCATTAAGTACAATCACTACAAAGTCAGCAAGTACAATCATCACAAGGTCAGTAAGTACAGTCCCCACAAGGTCAGCAAGTACAATGATCACAAGGTCATTAAGTACAATCAACACAAGGTCAATAAATACAGTCACCACAAGGTCTGCAAGTACAATGATCACAAGGTCAGTAAGTACAATCACCACAAGGTCAGCAAGTACAATGATCACAAGGTCAGTAAATACAATCACCACAAGGTCAGCAAGTACAATGATCACAAGGTCAGTAAGTACAATCACCACAAGGTCAGTAAGTACAATGGATGTCTCCAACAAATTTTTCCACAACTGGATTCAAAGTCTCGTATCTGCAACACAACACACTGTGTGTATATAGTGACAATGCAGCTCACATTGGTGTAGTGATATTGCCATACTGACCTGGAGGAGGTTTGCTGAATGTCATAATTGGCACGAACAAGGATAGCTTCAACATTCTCCAGAACCATCATTAAATCTTCCCTGGTCACAGGCTCAACTGCGGGAATGTCCCCTCTGCGACCAGTGCCTCCATCACTTCTAGACCAGACAGACTGTGTTCAGAATGGAGATATAAATAACTCGATCAGTAAAATAAAAGATTATTATAACAGTAAGCGAGTAACTCATCATTCAGCTTTCATTTCAGTCCAATATAAGATTTACACAAAGTCTTCTGGACAAAATACAGCAACGTTTTGGAGGTCATTTCTTCATACTAACATAGGTCAATGTTTATGTTGCATAAAAAAAAAAATAAAAAAAATATGAACGACTTCTTTGCAGATCCCTCAAAAAGTACAAAAATAATAAGACCAGGTGCTCCGAAATGGTAAGCATCAATACTATTATCAACAAGAGGTATATATGTTGTGAGGCTATTAAAGAGGTAATGAAGGTACTTACAGGAACAAGAGGTACTTGGATGACGAGCTCTCCCCCTGGGGACAGTATGGTGGATGTCCTGTGATATAAAGAAATTTTGTTGCCCTTCAGTATGACGTCAGGTTGGTTAGTACTGCCTGGGTTTCCGACAATCTCATATCGTATAGTATATTGTAGGTTTCCTCCATATGTTGTAAGCTGTGGAATATGAAAATACAGAAAATGGATTTTCAGACTTACCACAACACTCAAAGAAATGAACATATCATTTTAAAACGAAACCAATTGAATATAAGAAAATGCTTTTAACATGAACGCCCCTCCTCCCTCCCTGTTTAGATGTAAAAACTTGATGTTATAATACCATAGGGTGAATATTACTTGCTGTCAAATGTGACCTTTAACCTTTAACATTCACCAATGACAAACTTTATAAGATAAGATGCAGAACATGATGTTATGATACATAGGGTAAATATGAATCAAATCTATATAGTGGTTTTCAAGATATGACAGTAATTCAGAACTAGATACTATGAGACAGATTGACACTGGTTAACACATAAAAATACTGGTCCATTTTTAGGAATTTTAATGACAATATGTTTTATAAATCTATTAATAACTTAACTTTGAAACACAAATATAGCAATGACCTTGACCTTGATCATTCATCACAAAATTAAATCCCAGAAATTAGATGGATATCTCCCAAACAAATAGATTCCTGAACTTACCCTATCTCCAAGGAACTCATTAGGGAGTTTCCAGTAGTAGTTTCCAGCTGGAAGGACCTCGACGAAGTCCCTGATGAGGAAGGTATCCCTAGAGACCTCTTCAATGTTAACTGTAGCAGGGACTGTCTCCCCTCTGTTGGTCTCGTCTACAAGAGACATACTTCCATACAGCTGAATCTGTAAGTAAACAAGAATTAAATATTATTCTATCTCCTAGGACAAATTGCAAGAATTCCATAAATCACTCTATAGAAGGAATTGACAAATTTGAAAATCATTGAAAATGTTCTCACTTTTTTTTGTACACATTTTATTTTGTGGTAATGTTATTTTAGTAAGTTTTGTGCTGGAAGTATTTTGCTCAAACATGACTGCACTAATTACTAACTTTTATATAGTAATTATATGTGGATACAGGAATTTATCATTGCACCAATTTGCCAAATTAAGGTAAAGTTTACAATAAGTTATATATAGAAAGGAGTTCAGTTACCTGTGATACATGTAGGTCACTGCTGTAACAATCAGTGGTCTGACCGAAGCAGAAACAGCGAAGACATTGACCGCTGTCTGAGGCCTCTACATTGAAATCTGGAGGTCTGCAAACACCAGGCTGGGGGCTTCCTGTAATTATAATACCAGAATAACAGAAACAAAATTTCTCAGAGAAAATTTGTTTGTAGTGATGTATATGTGATCTTGTTAAGTGACAGAAAAAAACGAAAGTCAAAACACCTTAGAGAAAAAAAAATTAAAGTATATAAAATAGTGTAAAACAAAGTGTTAAATGGCATTAGACTTACGCCGAACAATGACGATAGCGTCTGGTGATGCAAATATTGTTCCTTTCGTGTTGATAGCCTCACATGTGTAAGCTCCGGAGTCAGTGATACGAGCATCAGTGATTGTTAGATTGCCACGGCCGTCAGTGCTATGAACATACACACGATCACCGGTTGGAATGTTTCCCCAGTTAAGTCTCCACACAATCAGAGGAGTGGGAGTTCCCATAGCTTCACAAATAATGGTAAAGCGACCTCCGATGTCCACATCTATACGAGCCACCGGGGGCAAGATAATTGTTGGAACAGCTGTAAACAGATGAAATCATTAGTCAGTGAAGTGCAAGTTTGTTAAATGGAAGAGCTGTATACACCTACAAAACAAAAAGCCATTGATGTGTTAAATTATTAAAGTGATGAGCTGTACATAAACAACACAGAGACTTGTTTGGCAGAGCTGTAAGTTAAACAAATAATTCTGTATGTGAAAGTAAGAAAAACAAGTACATTAATCAAAGGAAGACTTTTGTTATGTTTATTTGTAGGAGTGTTTTGGAAAGTGGGATCAGAGTTAGAATAGATACCAGTGAGATGAAACATGACAAGACGGTGAGTGTGGCAACATGGAAATAAACATAGAGATACACACGGATACACACAGAGATATACATACTGAGATAAACATAGATATACACACAGAGATACACACGGATACACAAAGATATACATACTGAGATACACATAGATATACACACAGATATATGTATACTGAGATATTCAGCAATATTACACACAGATATATATATACTGAGATATTCAGCAATATTACACACAGATATATATATACTGAGATATTCAGCAATATTACACACAGATATATATATACTGAGATATATATACTGAGATATTCAGCAATATTACACACAGATATATATATACTGAGATATTCAGCAATATTACACACAGATATACATATACTGAGATATTCAGCAATATTACATAACATGTCATTGATGACATTTGCCTTTTAAATCTCGGTCAATGTCACATTCCTACGCCAGAACATGGTAAACAGTGAAGGAACCAACAAGTATACCAACTATACAGTATATACAGACGAATCACATGTATAGATGTGAGGATAGTACACACACACAAAATGTCTTGAACAAATCAGAAATTCAGTACAGGATAGGGGTTGGATTCACAACATTTAGCATTTATCTAAAGTGATGGATAATTAGCTGACAAACAACAACCACCACCCTTATCCATAACACCCATCCAGTTCAAATATCTGATAGTCACTTTAAACATATTTTTTACTGATAGAAAATATTCACTGGATGGGTGATTTGGGCGGGATGGGGGATGTGTGGTAGGGGTGGGTATGAGATTTTCTTGTACAAATTTTCTTATGAGCAAAAGTCAAATTGATGAAAGATTGTACAGCCCATCATTTCTGCAAAATGGATAGGAAATAATATTGATGCAAAGACATAAATCTGTATTTTTCATGAATGGCCAATGTGTAGGGTATCTCACTGCACAGACTTAATTGCCCACACTACCTTACCTTCTATTGGCTCACATTTACACCTTTCCTCTTTGGGAAAGGCTGACCTTAACTCAGAATCTGGAAATATGGAATGTGCAATGACCAGGTCATAGGTTTATTGGTGAACCTTGGACAGTTTTTATTTCAAGGTTGAGCGATTCAGAGGATTTGAATATTTTTTGAGTACCCTGAGTCTTAAGAAATGATGACAATATGCATATTTTTATGTCTTCTAATGGTTTTTAATAACAGCTGCAATAACAAATGCCAGAAATGTTTTCAAAGAAGGTGAAAAAAACAAAAATAAAAACAAAATAAACTATATTCCCTGGGATAAAGACGTAGAGGTTAAAACAAATTGTAATGACAGTTATGCGAATAATGCATGTTAGTTACGATTATAAAGACGTCATGTGACTATTTCATATAACATGACTTTTGTATACCAGGAAACTTTTGTGGCAAGTAACTTTTGTATGTGACTTTTGAAGGTCATGTGACATCAATATCATGTGACTTTTGATGGTCATGTGATATCAATATCATGTGGCTTCTACAGGTCATATGATTTTTGCAGACCATACGACTTACAGCAGGCAATCTCGTCGGATCTATCCTGACAGTCAATCTCTCCATCACACTGGTAACTGGCAGGTACACATTGGTTGCCTGTCGAACACTTGTATTCGTCCATACGACACTGGGCTCCAGGAGGTCCAGTTGCTGTGGGAAAAATCACCTTCATTATTCAGCAATAAAATACATTAAGGAAAAAAAATCAACCATGTATCACGACAATATTCCTATTGTCTAACAAGATCAAACAGTAGAATTAAATTTTATTTATACAGCAATAAGGTCATGCTTTGTAATAAGCCCACCCAAATCTATTCCAGTTACTGCAGAAACTGTTACATCATTGGATCTTAATAAATCACACCCCTCTGATTGTGAGACAGAAGTAACATGTTTGGCCCCTGGATTATAAATCAGGATAAGTATATAGGAGTTTTGTTAGGAATGAATGTTTAATGTATAAATTTACCATAAAATGCAATTTGTTGCTCCAGAACTATTTTAGGTTTGAAATTAACATTTCATTACAATTTTCTTAAAAAACGATTTTTTCAAATCTAAGTACTACTACGTTTTTTTCTAATTACCAGGTAGAGCATTTTACTTTTAGAATTTGATAAAAATTTTCCTTCAAAAATCTATTCTTGCAGTAGAATGACACTTACGGCAATTTTGTTCATCAAATCCATCTCCACAATCATTGTCACCATCACAACGCCAGATCTTCATCACACAGATGCCACTAGTACAGCGGAACTCATTCGGCTCGCACGGATTGTCAGTTCCTTAAAGTGGACAATGTTTAACATAAAATTTAAACAAAATGACGGAGCATTTAAGTGCAGATGTAAGTGGGCCATGTCATTACGAAGGACAGTTGTATTAGAAATCAGACCAGACAAAAATAGTTTCCTGTGCCATCTACAGTAGGTAGGAAGGCAAAATTTCTTATTTTACCAAATAATTTTATATATTTTATAGGGTTTCCATAGGGGAGAGATATTAACTTCACAGGGCTTCTTTGAAACTTTGTCTTAAAAAGTTTAGGGTTGACACAAAATATTAAGGTAGGTCGATTTACTGGAAACCTTAAGTGTTTTTAGTTTGTTGTACATTCGAAACGTCTGACTTATTGTATTTCAATGTATCAACTTACTGCAGTATGCTTCATCGGAGCCATCTTTACAGTCATCGTCTCCATCACAACGGTACTCTGATGGAATACACTGACCATTCTGACACACAGATTCTCCAGGACCACAGGGTCCCTCTGGTGCAGGAGTTGGCTCAGGGCCAACTGAAAGGGAGGCAACAAAAGATTAGGTACATCAAACATAACAATCACAGGAAGGTGCGTTAACCGAAGGCCAACTTCAAGGGAAACTCAAACATAACAGTAACATTGCTATACAGGAAGGTGTGTTAACCGAGGGTCAACTCCAAGGGAAACTCAAATATAACGGTCACATTCCTATACAGGAAGGCATGTTAACTGAGGGCCAACTCCAAGGAAAACTCAAAACATAACGATCACATTCCTATACAGAAGGTGTGTTAACCGAGGGCCAACTCCAAGGGATACTCAAACATAACAGTAACATTCCTATACAGGAAGGCATGTTAACCGAGGGCCAACTTCAAGGGAAACTCAAACATAACGGTCACATTCCTATACAGGAAGGCATGTTAACCGAGGGCCAACTCCAAGGGATACTCAAACATAACGGTCACATTCCTATACGGGAAGTTGTGTTAACCCAGAGCAAACTTCAATAAAAGAAATAAAGGATTTAATATATACAATTCTAGTATATCACAGTTCTGGTTAGAAAGGTGTTCTGACCTAGAAACAGAAAATAAGGAAGGCAACCAAGGATTTAGTATATCAAACCATAACAGAGAATCCTTCCACATTAGGATCCCGTCCGGGAGAGTTTGAACACAGAAACAATTGTACTACATTTTAGTATATCGATAAATAACAATGTTACTGTTTACTTTTTCATTGTGCAATGTCCTGACTTACTTCTTCTGACTTCCAATCTCGCTGTGGCTTCAAAAGATCCCTGGACTCCGATAACAGAACATATATAGTCATCAGCATACTCTAATCGAAGCTCCGGGATCACCAGGCGTCCTTGATCATCTGATGCTGTGGGAGGAAGTGCCTGTTAACAAGAAATTCCCACTATACAAAAAAAATCCCTATTATACTTATATCATTAATATACAAAATTTATTACAACACTTGAATGAAGGTTGAAAATTTTTTTCAATCCTGAGATCTGTAATTTACTATCAGCTGTTCTTCAGTGAGAAATGCTTTGGAAAAATAAAATATTGTTATCAGCAATTTAATTTAGATCTGAATAATAATTATTATGACATTCTTAACAGCCCGTCAACTGATTAGAGCCATCAAAGTACCTTTCTCACATTCTACTCATAAACACAAACAAGAACAAACAAAATAAACAGATACACCAGGGTAACTTGCACTTTTTACATAAACATGTTATAAAAAACACCAACATCATAACATTATTAACTCCATACCAGATTTCCGCTGCGACTCCATCGGACCTGTAATCGTGGTCGTCCTGAAGCTTGACAGAAGAACTCTGCCTGTGCTCCCTCCCTCACCATAAGCACAGGAGGTGTAACGGTGACAGTGATTGGCACCACTGGAACAAACAACATACAATGTCATTCTGGCATATATTACCTTCTTCGTAAAACTTTGGGGGTTTTAATTTTCAGATTTTGGTAAACAAACATGTCTTGCTTTCCGTTCAAGTATATAAAAATTTCATGAAAATCAACATCAAAGACAAATTAGGAAATTTTTCATGTTTGTGTCCTTTCCAGTCCCTGTAGTAAGGTTGAAATCATTCAAATGAAAGCAGATATTTCTTAAATACTATCCTAAAATCTCTGCTGCAGAAGGCAAAATAAACATTTAGTTTTTATAGATTTTACTACTTCCACATAAGTATTAAGTTTGATGAGGCTGACCTGCTACGTTCACATCATAGTTCAGTGGAACTAATAACATTTCATATCTCCACTTCATTTTGAATCACAAACTTTTTTCAAATACTATCATTATCTTTTAGTTTTACCTTTTGCTAATTTAGAAAAAAAAAATATTCTAAAATCAATCATAGTAATTTTGATGAATTATTAAGGACATGAGCATGTCTTCTGTGGAATATGACCACGCAAAAACAAGACGAAAGTGAGAATCTACATATTTTTTTACTATGTATATCACATTAATCTTAATCAAAATATTGTATTAATGATTTTTATCAGACAAGAGTCTTTCAACTACACTAAACACTCAATGGTCTGTTTGCAGAAAAAATTCTGATTAAACAGAATCTAGTCTAAATTAAGAGTTCTACAATGTCAAACATATATAAGTATTGAATAAAAAGACTGGCCATTATGAATATAACTTCCTGTTGTATCCCCCGCAATGTATTCCTGATTATGAAAATATTCAATGAAACATATCATTGTCAAGGGAAGTAATTCATTCAACGAATTTTTATTTCATGTTTAAATATGGTTCATGTAGTGATTCTGGACTTAAATCCGAGGTGTATGATAAAGGTTACCATTTTGAATCTCACTACAAAGAAGAATTCCATTTCAGGACTGGAGGAGTACTGTCCTGTGTTTATATTCAAGGTAATGCAATGAATGTTTTTATTTGGTATAGAGTTATTTCCCTTGAAAATAAAAAACCTCAGTCTTTTTCAAGACTGTGTAAACCTTAATATACAGACTTTAAATTCAAATTAAAAATTTTAACTCAAATGCTTCCAATTGACTCCCACCAACAGTAAACAAACAAAGCTATAAACATGCTACCCTGAACATTTTAAAAATTTGTAATGGAAACTCTGACATGGAATTTTCATCCATTACTTGTATGGTTATAATTGTGAAGGAACAAAACTAAGAGAAACATGAACAATACTGTCAATCTACAAAACAAATTTTATTATAAAGATTCTTTTTTTTTCCAAAATGTCACTTTAAGAACAATTTTACACATAGAAATACAACTAAATCATATGTGACAACTCTTTTATCTGAATCAAAAAAGTAAAATCTTTTCAGAATGAAGAAAAAAAAATTGCATCTTTTTTTTCCATAGAAGTCTTCCTTTATGTTTATATAGAGAACCTGAAAATATGAGTATGTTTTACATACAAACACTTAGAACAAGAAAACTAAAAACAACCTATAGATATGATAAGAAAGAAGATATTTTACATAAAACTCTCCATCAATATATATACTTAAGATATGCAGTTGAGAAATCATGCTCTTCCATTCCATAAAAGATGACAGTACATTTACATAAGAGATGCTCAAAAACAACTGTGAATTCTCAAGGATCATAAAAGGCTAAAAAATTACTATGAGTTCAGGAGCGTAACATACTAAAAAAAATTATTGTCTCTAGTGTTCAATGAGTGTAAATGAAAGATAAAAAATGTCCGCGTCAAGCGTTCAATATGTAAACAACCACATGTTAATGCTGGATGTATCCGTTCAACCCAAGATCAATCTATGATAAATAGCTAGACAAGGGAGATAATCTATACTTTTACTGTCAACAAGGGGAGGCAACTTGTATCTGTAAGGCCAGAAAAGAGAAGATATATTCTTCCAGTATGGTCAACAAGGGGAAGTGAACAAGGGGAAGTAATCTGAACCATATGATCAGCAATCTGTTATACTATGGTTTGCGCAGTGAGGTTATCTGCATGAGAAGTAATGAGAGATAATTTGTACTAATATGCTAAGCAAAGGGAGGTAATCTGTACTAGTTAGCGCAGCAAGGGGAGGTAATTAAGATTAGTATGATAATATTGTACCTGACTATTCATACAGGTCAATAAATTCCCTCAAAAACCTTAGTTTACATCTTTACATTACAAAATGTATACCACTACTAGCCATTGAGTTTACTGAAAAGTTCTTTTGACTATATATTGTACATGTATACTCAGCTGAAGTTTACAGAAATATTAGGCTATAGTGTTTTAACAAAAGAGAAGCCTTACAATAAGACAATAAACTGTGATATGGTATGTTAATCACAATCAGTATGCAGGTTTTTCCAAGCATCTTGATATTAAACAAATTACAATGTAATTCTTTAATCAGCTTGTATTAAAAGAGGGAATGACAGAAATATGACTTAAGGCTTGTTAGGTGATCGAACGGTGATGTCACATCTTATCACCAATCAACAAAGAAAAACAAACAATTAAACATTTAATTTAATCAATTTCAATATTACCAGGCAGGCCATACATCTGATGTAATGAAAGAATTCAATAACAGTATAATAATAATAAGAAGAAGAAGAAGAAGAAGATGAAGAAGAAGATGAAGAAGAAGAAGAAGAAGAAGAAGAAGAAGAAGAAGAAGAAGAAGAAGAAGAAGAAGAAGAAGAAGAAGAAGAAGAAGAAGAAGAAGAAGAAGAAGAAGAAGAAGAAGAAGAAGAGGAGGAGGAGGAGGAGGAGGAGGGGGGGGGGGGGGGGGAGAAGAAGAGAGAGAGGAGAAAGATATGGAGGACAAGGAGAGGGAGGAGGATAACCAGAATCTGCTGATTATCACATGTCTACAGGGAATGCTACATAAGTCAGTCATCTGAATACATACAAGTCTATATTCATATAGAAATGCTCTAATGAAGGGTGAAAGTTTGATATTCTGTTTATCACAACTAACAGAATTACCAAATTACACAACAATCAGAGAGAATACTTATGTAATCTGATGTAAGTGCTGAAAGGTAGTGTAGCTTTTCCCGAATATCTAAAGGATTGTATATGTGTACTGTATTTCTCATTGATTGTGAAGTAAGCTTATTCAAAATTTCCAAATTAATGACTTTTGCTCGTCTAAGACAAAGCAGAGTAATCCTTTCTGCCGAGATCCATCATGAGATCCTACATGTTTTTATTAAGCTTTGTAAAAATTGCTGGAAGTTCCTAATGGTGTTTCTTTTACAATGAGAAAATCAACATTAAATCATGAAATATTTGTTTTCTTCTTTCAAAATGGCTGCAACAGGCAGAAAGTAAATTGAAAATCCTTCACACCACATGTAACAAGATACACAAACCAAATAGGCTGAAATAATCCTTTAATAGTGCAGTAAAATGATAATAAGAACAAAAATGTTGATAAAATTCTGCAGCATAGCAAATCATAAACACATAAAAATGCTGTATACAAGGTTTGGAATAGAAACCAATGTATATATATATATATACATAAGCAGAGATTTGGAATGCCAAGCAAAAATTTACTTCCTAACCCACTTTAAAAAAAAAAATCAAAACAATTTCAGTTATGCTACGATATATAATTCAAAGATGTTTCATAAATTTTATATTGAAAAATATTTGTATTTCATTATCAAAAAGAAATTTCTAAGAGCAAAAACTCTTTTTAATAACCTCATACACAGCATATTGGTCTCCACCGTAATTAGCGCTAAAGCATGCTATATAAAAGGAAGATAACTAGCCCTAGGCAGCAGGAACTTACGACAGTCAAACTCGTCGGTTCCATCCTGACAGTCATACTGCCTGTTACATCGGCGTCGCTGGTCAATGCATTGACCATTACGACACTTAAATTCTCCTGATCGACATTCTGAGAGAATAGTCATATATACATTCACATATATTCTATATCTACATACCTATATAATATACACATACAAACTATTCTTTGTAACTTCTACCAGGAATAAGCCAATGTAAGTGAAAAACAAAACAAGGTATAAAATAGAAATTACACTGCGTCATAATGATTTTTCACAAAGTCTATATGAGGTTTAGTATCACCAATCTTTCACATACATGCAACTTTAACTAGAAAAAGGACCATTCTGATGAATAGTATGGTTTTTCCTGAAGTGATCAACAAGGGATCGGGTTATTTCCCATTTAAGATTTAAATACGTATCTATAAGACAATCACCATGGTTTAGTTAAGATCCACCTTAAAGATATGCTTTTTTTTCATCAGATTAATGAAAAGTACAAAAAATTGGGAGGTTTTGGATTTGAAGACTGCTAGATTATCTACAAGTCTGAATTTCAAATATAATATAAACATGAATCTCTTTCTATTTCACAAAAATAAACCACAAATGTTAATAGCTATGTTTAAACCCCTCCCTATGGATGTGTTGGCACTTCAATTTACACAATTCACATTAAGCTTAATATATTGAAACTAATAATAAAATATTTTGAAAGTTGTTACTTTGTGCATCCTGGGGATGTTTGACAGACATCAGACAAACACCAGGTAACTAGGACACTTAAAGTTATTATTTCACAATCATGTCTGACAACATCCATCTTATACATAATAAGTTTTCAAGAAACAGCTATCTTTACCAGTTAACATCCAACATACATGTTATATGTATTCAAACAAGGTGCATACAGATCTGATCAAACTGAAATCCAAGTCATTTCAAAGCTTTTTTTAAAGCTCTAATTACAGTTTTTAAATGAAACAGAATAAAGACATTTATATCAACAGTATTTGCAATGGCAGATGCTCCAAATTTTTCATGGCTGCATTCAGCACTGATACAGGAATTTTATCAGGATATATCAGTTTGAGATAAAAATACATTTTGCCTCCAAGTCTTGTCCATGTATAACAGCGAACAGTGTATCTAAGGTTTTAAGGACTTTTCAAGGTGATGAGCCTGTCTAGGATTCAACACTTTTCCAGGCCAAAAGAAAATTCAAGACTTTTAAAGGAAATTTAGCAAAATTGAAAAGACTTTTTAAGACTGTATGCACTCTGATAAATCTACCGGAATATATGTTCACACCGAACAGGCAAAAGTATCTGTAAAAACACAGAATACTTACCACAGTTGACTTCATCACTTCCATCTCTACAGTCTTGTCTTTGATCACATTTACGGTTCAATGGAATACAGGTACGGTCCGAACAGGTAAACTCGTCAGCCCTACATCCAACAGCTGCTGTAAATCAGAAATGAGAAGTGAAAAGTGATTCTCTCTGATGCCCATAACAGACAAAACAAAAAAAGGGATGCCCTTTGGAGACAAAAAAAGGAGAGATGCCCTTTGGAGAAAAAAAAAAAAATGCCCTTCGAGACAAAAAAAAGAGAGAGATGCCCTTTGGAGACAAAAAAAGAGAGAGATGCCCTTTGGAGACAAAAAAAGAGAGAGATGCCCTTTGGAGCCAAAAATGTGTGACATGTAGCTTGCTGGCTCTAATGCATATTGAGTACCAATATTTCATCAATTTCTATAAAAAGTAACGATGACCTTGATCTTTTAACCCGGAAACGCGAATTCATCTGAAGTATTTGTAAAAGTGTATATTTGCATGGAATTTGATCAAAATTCCACAAGGAATGAATTGGTTTAAGTGATGACATAGTTTGGAATGATCAGAACAAGATGTTACATATTATACAACAGTTCTAACATACCACAGGCCTTGGTACACTTACGGCAGTTGACTTCATCACTTCCATCTTCGCAGTCTCGTCTTCGATCACAATATCTTTCCCTTGGAATACAGGAACCATCAGCGCATGTAAACTCGTCACCAGCACAGTCCACTCCTGTAGGTACGTGTTGTATTTAATTGTATAGATATGAAATTTATAAGTTTAAAACCTCAAACACCCAACTTCGATAAGATGTCTGAATTTCAAATAAAAAAAAGGCGAAAAAAATATGAAAATAAATTTCAGCAAATGAAGGCTAAATAAAGAAATGAATTATGTAACATACTAAAATGAAAACATATTAAAACAAAAACAGTTAAAATTCATTTCACTTCTACACAACAGACAGTATTGAAGTTTCTGAAATTATCAAATTTACATGCAACATGATTATGTCAACAAAACTTTCCCACTTTAATCATCATTATATTGTCAAATTTTAATCAAAAACATATTCCATTCTCCAATAGAAATATTCAGTAATATAATTACGGCAGTTGTCTTCGTCAGTTCCATCTTCACAGTCTCGTCTTCGGTCACATTGCCTTTCCAAAGGAATACATGTCTGGTCTCCACAGGTGAATTCATCAGCTCTACATCCAACAGCTATGAAAATTGTTTTTTAAATATCTAATTTCATTTTTAACTTTTTTCTGCATCATGACCTGATATGAAGACCATGATGAAAAATTAACAGACAAAATTGAGATTTCTTAATCCTTGCTTCATGAAACAAAGAACCAAATATTTATTGTTATTGTTCAACTTTATAAATAAAAAAATTGTTTCTGATTCCACAGATATCACTGAATATTGACATAGAAAACAAGCAAATTTACAAGTTATAGAAAACAGAAAAAGACTCTACAGCTCACGACCAGATCACAAGATTTCTTAATTTTTGTCCAGATAATACCAACCTCGAGAAAAACTGAAATACCAGCAGCAGTTAATGGAAGAAAGATTTTACCATAAAAAAACACATACATGCATGTCTTAAATTTGTAAATGAAGTTCAAATAATAAACATAAAAACATATAATATTAACATGATTCGAGAGGAATTTTTCTAGCTTAATATGATATTAATCTCTGAATATTTTTCTGTAAATACACTTCGCTATTTCCTCAGGTCAATTTAGATTTTTTGTGTAGAGTTATCTACCCTTGTAATATATATCAAGGTATCTTGGGTCACTCAGAATACAGGTTTTATGTTGTCAAATACATACGGCAATTAAACTCATCACTGCTGTCTTCACATTGTGGAACTCCATCACATCTGAAGGGACCTGGGACGCAGTCTCCATTTTGACAGCGGAACTCTCCGTCGTCACAAACTGATAAAATAAAAGTCAACAAACAATAAATTAACCTAGAAATACAATGACCATTAAAAACCTGGTAAAGAATTTCCAAAAATCAACAATACTTTAGGATGTATGCTTCATCAACAAAGCAAATCCAATGCTTTCTCATTTCTACTTATTTATCACAAGTAGTGCTAATACCTTTATTTTTTTATATTGATATATATTTCCTACAATTTTCAAAACATTTTTTAAAATCTACTGTAGGTTATGCTTAATAATTATGAATTTTTGAGATCAGATCATTGCTAATTCGAGAATGAAATAAATTTGCTAAAAGTCACAATACAAAGTATCTCTAAAATGAAACTTGGCATTGCTACTCCTTTTCTGAATTAGTTACACGAAAAAATTATATCCTTTCCAATTCCAGCTATTGGAAAGGCAACAAATAATCTAAACAGCAGGAAAAATACGTAATCTGCTGTACATCTGTAACTTACATGTATAGTGTAACCTTTTTTATGGGCATATTTTGAATTCTGAAGAATTTTCAAAAACACTACACATATTCAATAAGCAACTTTCATCTAAATTTAGTATTGAATAAATTAAAAGAAAGCAGAATTTGTTAGCTCATGAGTCAACAATTATTAGTTCTGAACAAATTTTATAGCAAAAGATTGTAAAATGTCCAGCACTGAAGAGATAAATTGAAAGACAGATTTGTAAAAATTCTACCCCTGTCTTATAATTTTGCTGCTTTTGAATAGCCACCTAATGATGACATAGTATACAAATTAACCTGAACCCTTTCGTTGTACCTTGGTCTGGTTCTTTCATTTGCCTTTCATTAATAAACCCCCAAATATATTTAAGATTGATGTTCATTTTTAGCGACTGGTAGCCAATACACATGCATTGATTGTTTCTCTTACTTTTAATACAAACATTTTTTTTTAAAGAAACAAGCCATCGAGTGCAGTTTTACAGCTTGATTAAATTAGTTTGTTTCCTTTCCACCATATCATGCAAAGAAAAATTCTAAAAATTCAATATCTGAAATATGCATGAAGAACAAACTTGATAAGAAAAAAGATGATATCAGCCGAGAAGCAATTGTAAATAAAACTAGACCAGTGTACTCACTATATCTAGACTGCAGCTGAAAATATTCACCTAGAGAAAGACAGACACACAGATAGACAAAAAAACAGAAAGATATATATACTATATTAGTATATTAATACTTAGTATTTAAATATTAAGACACATATTAATAATTAGTAATTAAATAAGAAGATATATATTAATACTTAGTATTTAAATATGAAGATATATATTAATAATTAGTAATTAAATATAAAGAAATATATCTATCCCTACCAAGGAGAAATCATGGTCATTTTTTTTTTAGATTTTTTTTTTCACAAAATATCTATGAGGCTTTGAAGTTTTTATTGCTGAAACTAATGTCTGGTGCTTGTTTTTGTAGCATGATTGTCAACACGTTTGTGTTCATCACCCTATGCTTTGAAGGTTATAAAGCTTAAACACTAGTCTTCAATGTCTCTTAATGCCAGTTAGTTTTATGCATAATATTTTGGAATCTTACTGATTTCATATTGAAGTCAAGGTCAAGTCCTAAAGGCCAAAGTTGAAACCAGCCATAAAATCTTTGTAGCATGAGTGTGGTTGTCTCATCATGCTCAGTGAACAAGAGGCTCAATGGGCCTGCAGCACTCACCTGGTATATTTATACCAACCAAATATAATGCCTTCGGACCCTTTAGTTCATGAGAAGAAGTCATTCAAAAGTTTTAACAAATTTGACCCCTGTGACCTTGAAAATATGTCAACGTCATTTCTTTTCGTAATCTTTGCCAGGCTTCATCCTAGGAACATACCAGACAAATATCAAAATATTTGGTCTACTGGTTTTTGAGAAGGAGTTGTTTAAATGAAAAAGTTGATGCCGGACAAGGGACGCTGTGCCACGGCATAAGCTCACTTGGCCCTTCAGGCCAAATGTCCACATCTATAATGCCCTCTCTTCAACACTTGCTAAAAGTTGTGGGGTCAACACTTCTATTGGTGTTGTAAATCACCAACTTAAAACAAAGCTCACAGTCCAGTTAATTTTATAAAATGCCATCCATTGGTTCAGAACACAGACTTTTAAACAAATAGTTGATTGACTGACAAATGATTCCACAAAAGACATAACCTGGCAGTGGTCCTTTAGATTTGAATGCAGAAAAAATGTCAACTACACATGTTAGTCATAGATATACACATTGATTGTAAACGGTTACTTACACTATACACAGGGATTGTAAACAGTTACACTATACACAGGGATTGTAAACAGTTACACTATACACAGGGATTGTAAACAGTTACACTATACACAGGGATTGTAAACAGTTACACACATGGGTGGTAGATATTTGAAACAAACATCTCAATACTTGATATTTTACATGGGATATTTCTACAAGCATTCATCAATACATACCACAACCGAGTTCGTCACTTCCATCTTCACAATCTGGGCGTCGGTCACACTTCCTGTTTAGAGGAATACAGTCACCATTGGAACATGTAAACTGGTCATCCTTGCATGCTGAATGAGAAAAGGAAAAATGAAATTTGATTTCAGGAATATTTTTTTGATAATTAACAAAATGAATCCAACATGTCATACCTAAAAGAAAAAAAAATCTGATGTCAACTATTTCATATTCAGGCATGAACAAACAAAACTTAATATCATGAATATAATATAAAATTCTGAACAAAATTTTAGAAAATTTTAGTAATTTTTTTTTTTTTTGTATTTATGGAGATATCTTCCTTGTTCAAGTAACTATGATAACACTTACGACAGCTGGACTCATCACTTCCATCCTCGCAGTCTGGTCGTCCATCACATTCACGGTTGGCAGGTATACAGTCTCCATTTGAACAGGTGAATTCATCCACGTTACAAGCTGCAGCCAAATAATAAAATTTCCCCGTATTGTCTCAAAACTATTTAACATGAACTGAAGTACAACAAAAAGATAACTTGAATCCATGAAAATTGTCAAAGATAAATCAAGTCTTTGACAATCAGGATCCAGAGGATGTTTGCTAGGACAACAGGGAGAGTAATGATTAACTGTGGAAAAAATCCTTGATTGATTGGTGCTATCAAATCTATTCATATTTTGGTGTATATTTTGAAATTTCCATTACCATTTTACAGAAGCATTCTGAAGAATAGAAAGTAAAGAAGAATACTTCAAAATGGAGGTAGATCCCACCAGGGAAACCTCCTTTTTATTGCTTAACTACCTATAATAGAAGGGGGCAAAAAAATCCTTTCTTAAAACTAATGCATTTTATGTAATTGAACCAAATCATGAAAGTTAACTAGATTGAGTACAGATATATATGTACTTCCTATTGTGGGTCGGTGGTACCTACCACAGCCAGAGACAGAGAACTAGATTAAGTAGAGTTATGTATGTACTTCCTGTTGTAGGTCGGTGGTACCTACCACAGCCAGAGACGGAGAACTAGAGTAAGTAGAGTTATGTATGTACTTCCTGTTGTGAGTCGGTGGTACCTACCACAGTCAGAGACAGAGAACTAGAGTAAGTAGAGTTATGTATGTACTTCCTGTTGTGAGTCGGTGGTACCTACCACAAGTAGAGACAGAGAACTAGAGTAAGTAGAGTTATGTATGTACTTCCTGTTGTGAGTCGGAACTGGTACCTACCACAGTCAGAGACAGAGAACTAGAGTAAGTAGAGTTATGTATGTACTTCCTGTTGTGAGTCGGTGGTACCTACCACAAGTAGAGACAGAGAACTAGAGTAAGTAGAGTTATGTATGTACTTCCTGTTGTGAGTCGGTGGTACCTACCACAGTCAGAGACAGAGAACTAGAGTAAGTAGAGTTATGTATGTACTTCCTGTTGTGAGTCGGTGGTACCTACCACAGTCAGAGACAGAGAACTAGAGTAAGTAGAGTTATGTATGTACTTCCTGTTGTGAGTCGGTGGTACCTACCACAAGTAGAGACAGAGAACTAGAGTAAGTAGATTTATGTATGTACTTCCTGTTGTGGGTCGGTGGAACCTACCACAGCCAGTCTCGTCAGATCCATCCTCACACTGAGAAATTCCATCACATTTGAAAGAGCCCTCCACACAAAAGCCATCTTGACACTGGAACTGATCCTGACGACATGCTGAAACAGGAAGGTCAATGTCAAAATTATTCATCAAGGTAGAAGTCTTTTCAGAACACATTTTATTTATAATTTCATTCAAAGACTGTGCCTTTGTATTTCTAAACATGGTTCCTTATTTTAAATACTTCAATGAATGGGAAAACCTTGTTATATGTTTATAAGTATAAAACAAATGAAGGCCATATTTGTATAAATTCTGGGTCAGTTTACACAAAGTTCACAGTTAGGGAAGAAAACTTACGACAACTGGTTTCATCAGATCTATCATCACAATCTGGGTAGCCATCACACACGAGTCTTCGGTCTAAGCACTGGATCTCATTAGCACAGGTGAATTCATCATTAGGACACAGAGCTATATAATACAAAACAAGACAGTATATTTCCACAGGCTGAAGTTTGTTGCAATGAAATACAAAAAAATCAGAAACTCAGAGCTGCCATATTTCCAAAGTCTGGCACCGAACTATTAACAAAACCATTTCAAGGCATCCCAGAATTTGTATATTGCTACATGTTTCGTTGTTCTATTAAACACTTTTGGGACTTGACTTGTCGTGTATGACTAAGTAAGCACAGCCATAGTACTTTTTTTAGATATACTTACGACAGTTAATTTCATCAGAACCATCAGGGCAATCTCTTTCTTTGTCGCACTTCAAGTCATCAGGGATACAAGACCCATCAGCACATGTAAACTCTCCAGCACGACACGCTGTAACAAAAAAATATAATACATCCAAATCGTCCAACATCTTTTTTCCGACAACAAACAGTATTATGTCTTGTGCATAGGTAAGCATAGCAATCTTCACCTCAGCTCTTTCGCGATTGGTCAGTTTCTTATTTTGAAATCTGATTACCATGACATAATAAAACAATTACTTACAACAGTTGGAATGTTCATCTGACTGGTCAAAACAGTCCGGCCGACGGTCACAAACTTGAACAGACTGAATACATCTTTGACCATCACCACACATAAACTCTCCAGCACCACAACCTGAAAATAGAAATTTCCTTATCAGGATATACTGCAATTGGGTAAATATTACACAGAAAATTTAACTACGAGTACTTAAACTCTGATTAAAGATACCTGAATGAGATCTTCCCAGAGTGCAGGAGGTAGGTTAATATTGTACAGTAATAGTTCAAATGTACAAAGTCAACATTTTATATCATAACTTTGTTTTATTTCTTAACATAATCAAAATATCTCCAGGGATACAATTTTTACTTTTTCAACTGATAACTTCTGTCAACCGGAGTAGTATGTACAGTATCAACCAACATACCGCCGCATTTCACTGGGAACTCGTCGGAACTATCTGGGCACTCGCGATTGCCGTCACACTGTGTGGCTTCTACACAGCTGTCATCATCACACAGGTACTGTCCTGCAGGGCAAGGACCCTCCGGACCTAGCAACACAACAGGATGTATAATTGTTACAGGGTGTTTATACAGGGAACATGACAAACCCCCTCCCCACCTGACAACACAACATGATGTATAATTGTTACAGGGTATATTTACAGGGTACATGACAAACGCCCTTCCGAGTTAAAGGGTAGATACACTGGGAGAATATTTGTCCAATGAAATTTGAGTTGGAGGAAAAATATTTGTACAAATTGTACAGATATGAATTTCAAAAATAAATTTCAATCAGTGGTGAAAATGATCAATGTTAAAGTGTATTACTCACAATTTATTTCATCTGAATTATCGCTACAGTCAGAGAAGCCATCACATCTGTATATTCCAGAAATACAGGTACCGATAGTACAACGAAAGTTATCCGGGGGACACGCTAGGGAAAAAAAATCAATATTACTATTGTTGAATGGGTATGTTTCATAAAGCTGAAACTTCATCGGTTGAATACAAACAAGATTGAATGCAATCAAAATACAATTTTGTAGGTCTGACTTGACACACTTCATGTCAAAGAGGCTTGAAACTTCAATCATATGACAAAGTACATGACGAACAGTCTACAAATAACTATTAAGATTATACAACCATATAATTTAGAATTTCTTCATTACTAATCAAAACCAGAAGAGTTTTTTTTTTGTTATATATCTGCAAGCTTTTAAATAATAAGTATACAAACTTTTGGATATTTACAAAAATCAACCTATTTTCTTTTAACTTCAAGTCTTTGACTCTGACAACCCCAGATTGAATGACCTTTCAGAGTATCCTGAAATGTAGAATAAAATTCCTTTATTGTTCTTACCTGGAGTGACAAGAAGTTCTCCCACCGCCTCGCTGATACCAATGTCCATTATTTCTCCAACCCCACAGATATACGAATCTGCATCTTCGACGGTCACTGCTGGAATGGTCAGTCTGCCATCAGTGACAATGGCCTTTGCGGGCATTTCCTAGAAAAGGTTAAAGTTCAGTGTTAATTAACTGACAAAAAACTGAAGTGAAGATAAATAACCAAACAAAATAAACTAAACCAGTAATATGTGAAAATTTAAAAGCATCGATGATAATAGTTTGTTAGGGAAATTGAGAAACTGGACAAAAATCTGTTGAACAAATTTATCTGAGGACACCATAAATTACAATAAAGAAGTTTTCAGCCAATCTCCAAGCAATTAAGTTTTTTCCACTGTATAAGTGAATATATATCAAGTAAATATGAGACCATCTGACTTCCCATATCAACTGCAAGTACAATAAAGGAAAGGATGGAGTGTCAACTCCAAGAGACTGTAATGGTGAAACTTTTAATGTTTAAATGTTTCCTTACCAGAACAACATAACATGGTATTGGCAGAGCTAAGGTGCAAAATATGGTTCAAAAGAATTACGTCATGTTAATTGTACTAAATTGTATTATATGTGTAATTGTCATGTACATGACTGTGTCAGACTTTTAACTATTATTTTTAAATTTTAACTATTATAAAATGTAAGAACGTGTGATGTACAACATTAGCCGACGGTAAATAACATGTAAGTAAAACTGTAAGAACGTGTGATGTACAACAATGGCCAACGGTAAATAACGTGTAAGTAAATCTGTAAGACCGTGTGATGTACAACAATGGCCGACGGTAAATAACGTGTAAGTAAAACTGTCAGACCGTGTGATGTACAACAATGGCCAACAGTAAATAATGTGTAAGTAAAACTGTAAGACCGTGTGATGTACAACAATGGCCGATGGTAAATAACGTGTAAGTAGCACTGTCAGATCTTGTGATGTACAAAAATGGCCGACGGTAAATAACGTGTAAGTAAATCTGTAAGACCGTGTGATGTACAACAATGGCCGACGGTAAATAACGTGTAAGTAAATCTGTAAGACCGTGTGATGTACAACATTGGCCGACGGTAAATAACGGTAAGTAATACTGTAAGGACGTGTGATGTACAACAATGGCCGACGGTAAATAACGTGTAAGTAAATCTGTAAGACCGTGTGATGTACAACAATGGCCGACGGTAAATAACGTGTAAGTAAATCTGTAAGACCGTGTGATGTACACGTGTGATGTACAAAAATGGCCGACAGTAAATAACGTGTAAGTAAATCTGTAAGACCGTGTGATGTACAACAATGGCCGACGGTAAATAACATGTAAGTAATACTGTAAGGACGTGTGATGTACAACAATGGCCGACGGTAAATAACGTGTAAGTAGAACTGTCAGACCGTGTGATGTACAACAATGGCCGACGGTAAATAACGTGTAAGTAGAACTGTCAGACCGTGTGATGTACAACAATGGCCGACGGTAAATAACGTGTAAGTAAATCTGTAAGGACGTGTGATGTACAAAAATGGCCGACAGTAAATAACGTGTAAGTAAATCTGTAAGCAGTACCAGGTTGGTATTACAAATGTACAATTAGATTACCAGTAATTGTCTTATACACAAACAATATTCATTGATAAAATCTTGTGATCTTTTTGTTTCCTTAAAGTAATAGGGACAAAATTGGGGTAAATCTACATACTACAGTCTTTCCCTTAACCTCCTTTACCTGACTGCCCCTTGTCCAGACGATTGGTATGTCTGGATCAGAGGAAGAACAGTCAAAAACAGCTGTCTCCCCTTCATTGAGAATAAGCTGGCTCTGTCGGATGGTCAGAGTAACAACATAGTCGATAGGAAACCGTGAGTTGACAGCCAGAGTGGTAGAGACAGGCGTGATTCCAGTTTGATCGACGGCACTACATAAATAGTTTCCGGCATCTATTCGTTCCACAAACGGTATTATTAAGCGACCATTCTGAATGGTTGCTGCACTTGGCATTTCCTGAAAAACACATAATATTACATCACAAGAATGTAAGCAAATACCTCAAATATAGTGTCTACTATATATTTCTATTGTCTTTACATCTTGTTTTCATTTATTTATTTATTTTTATTTTTTTCCATTTTGACTCAAACAAATTCAATCTTTTTTTGCTACCTGTGGATAGGTATATCCACTTATTTCACTGGCGCGAGATTCTTTTCCCTCTTACCCTGGACAGAAAAATACACACTTTTTCGCTGTGTGAGATTTCGTTGTCTCACCCTAAGGTTGAGACAAGCTACAAGTGCTCTTTGCACATTCTGAAAACAATTTGACTCAAGTCACTGACATAACCATGAAGTGGAACTTTTATGAGGCCATGCACATACACTACTTCATCTGCTACTGAAATCATTTTATCCTCAAAACTGTCAATCCAGTGTTATCATCAAGCTTGAAACACATCTTCATCCACAACTTATTAATGAAAATATATATTAAATATCAAGTATATAACTTTTATTTGACATTTTATTGACATGTACACTTAGTTATATTTGATGTAAGATTAAATCATACTGCATGAATTGTCTGAAGTACTGGCCTAGTCACGATTCATATGCCATCCATTGGTTCTTGTCAGCACACAATACACTTCATCTTATACTCCAACCAGGAAGACAGGTAAGGAAAAAAATAATCATTCACCCCTTTAAGGCTGAGATAGGGTGATCTCAACCCTCGGGGAAAGATTATTAATTAACAAGATTTTATTAGCCTCACTTTAGGGTTGAGATAGGGGATTCCCCCTTTCCTGTCGATGATGCCACATCAACAATGCAAAGCACAGGGCCAACAAAAAAAAATACCTTAGAAAGTAAGCCGAGAGTGAGAAAAATAATCAATCACCCTAGAGATGGGGGATGTCAATGATTGGGAAAGATGTTTAAGTTGCAAACATTTGGCATGTTTGCTACCTTAATAATTTTTCTCATTGGGTAGCAATCCCTATATCTCACCTCTACTGTGTTGAAAGATTAAAAAATCTCTTCATTTCTATCATTCAAAAAATAAAATCATTTCAAAATAATTATTTCTATTCCACATTTTCAAAATCCTTGTCTAGTGTTTTGTATTTAGCAGTACAAAGATAATTATAGCTATCTGACATTGTAAATTACACACTTCGCTTGACAATATAATTTCAGTATAGTACCCCTAATGGTCTTGTCCATGTTAGTTCCACATCCACATTGCCCTCGGCAACACATTCCAGTTCAGCCACTGCACCCTCATCAACGGTTACTAATGGATTGAGGGAAGTGAGCGTGACTAGAGGACCTACAACAAAAGACAAATTATGAGTACAGACAGGTAAAGTTCAACAGTTAATGAATACAGACAGGTAAAGTTCAACAGTTAATGAGTACAGACAGGTAAAGTTCAACAGTTAATGAGTATAGACAGGTAAAGTTCAACAGTTAATGAGTATAGACAGGTAAAGTTCAACAGTTAATGAGTATAGACAGGTAAAGTTCAACAGTTAATGAGTATAGACAGGTAAAGTTCAACAGTTAATGAGTATAGACAGGTAAAGTTCAACAGTTAATGAGTACAGACAGGTAAAGTTCAACAGTTAATGAGTATAGACAGGTAAAGTTCAACAGTTAATGAGTATAGACAGGTAAAGTTCAAAAGTTAATGAGTATAGACAGGTAAAGTTCAACAGTTAATGAGTATAGACAGGTAAAGTTCAACAGTTAATGAGTATAGACAGGTAAAGTTCAAAAGTTAATGAGTATAGGCATAAAGTTCAACAGCTAATGAGTATAGACAGGTATAGTTCAACAGTTAGCAAGTATGTGTAGGTGAACTTAAATTGATAATACTGACCACAGATAGTGAAGACTTCATCAGAGCCATCAACACAGTCACGGACTCTATTACACAGCAAGGAAGTTGACACGCACTCTCCACTGGAACATTCAAACTCATCCGCATCAGGACATCTTGGAGCTGAAAATATGCAAATCTCACATTTTGGTGGCAGTTGAAAATTCAAACTGTGTATTTACATTTGGTCCACCATAAAATGCCTCTAAAATGAAGCTTAAGATGTGCTATGCAAGTTACTGTTATACCAATATCCTTTTAGCTTCTATACTTCAAACAAAATTTCCAAATTTTCAGAAAATCTATTCTTTTGAAATCTGTCAATTACATCATAGCTGAGACTCTATACACGGTGTACCCAATTTAATTTCACAGAGCTGCTGTAGAACAGAAATATATACAAACTTCCGCATTTTTCAGGTGATTCATCTGAGCTGTCAGCACAATCTACGACACCATCACACAAGGCATCAGGTTTTACACAGCTATCATCATCACACTTGTGTTGACCCTCAGAACAGTATACCTGGGCTGTGATGAAGTTAAACATTCATTATTCAATGCATTGTATACACTCAGCAACAAACTTAATTATTACAAAACTTTACAAAAACATAAGAGAATACTATTATGGTAGTTATAATTATTTTCAATTGACAGAACCAAAAACATACAAGATCCTAATTAATGACTTAATTTGTATGATAACACGTATTTTATATTACGATTTGATGCTAGGAAGAAATAACAAAACAGACCACACTGGGTATTTCTTTACATGTGTAAAGTACTCTTCTTAAAACATCCTTCTTTGCTTTAAACTGATGTGAAGTTGGGAAAAGGGAAATGACACCATTTGAGTAAACAATCATGTTTACGTGTCGCAAGAGAAAGGGGAGATAAATTATGTAATCATTCTTTTGATCAAAAACTGATATGAAAGTTGGGAAAGGAAAGGGAAAAACACTTGCATGTACTATCATGTGAACATGTTGTGGGGGAAAGGGGAGATAACTTCCACAATAATAATTACAGACTTAACAATCAGTTTTAAAAAAATGTTATAATAAGAAGCAAGGGCAGATAACTTACGATCACAGTCTGTCTCGTCGGAATTGTCATTACAGTCCTGGTACCCATCACATTTATATTCCTTGGCAACACATTGGCCATTTTTACACTGGAACTCGTTAGACTGGCAGGATGCTGGAAATGTACACACAGGTATTACTCAGGTCAGAACACAACAGGTGAAAGTTTAAATAAAGAAATACAAAATCTGTGATTCATCAACTTGTGGCAATAAATTATTTTATTTCAACAAAAAGTCCTTAAAGCAGCTTATATAAATCCTTACTTGTTTGATTGGCAGTAAATAAAAACAGGAAACAAAATTCTCGCAGCAAATTTGAAAACAATGAAATCTGCATAACGCCCACAAACTACTCTGAGTACAGTGTTGAAACAACTAATTTCAACTTTATATAGTCTACTGATATATGTTAAAATAATTAAGCTCATTAACTGAAATAATTTAATGTAGATTTCTAATTAACGCTGATAAAATTATTTTACTTTCAAAATTGATACTTTTCTATAGTTTTTTTATTATAATATTGCATGTAATACTATATTCAAGTTAATACAGGCATGGTGACAACCCATATGAAAATATACAAAAAATACCATGCCAACATTTTTCTAGCAGTAGAAGAAAATTCTGTATCTAATCCTGTCTAAGATATAGGACAAAGCACGGACAGACAAATCTTTCGTAAAAATAAAAATCAGCTAAATTTCCATTTCTTATTTCTTTCCCAGCACAAGATTCAGCAAGTCAGGAAACAGAGACTTTTTTTAAGAAAAACCATAACCAGTTAAATGTATCCATATTTCTAATGAATGATACAATTCATTTGACAAAAATATTTATAAAAAAATGATAAAAAAATAAACTCTTTAATAGACAAACAATGATAATCATTGGTAGATGTGCACATAAGTGGAATACTAGTATTTTTAAACAAATGTACTTATATATGTGCATGTAAAAATATTGGCAGCAAACATTTATCTTTTAAAACAAGAAAAACATAACACAAGTTAAATTACTACTAGCTAATGAACATGATGAAATGTTTAAAATAACTTTTAAAAAAAAATACATAAATGTAAAGATGTCTATAAGATGAAAACATTAAATGATATTACAACATTCTAGACATGGTGACCAGAACACAACAAACTTTGGTTTATAAACAATCAACATTTCTCCATTATCCTTCCTGTTTACAACAAATTTACCATAAATTACAACATAACCCCCCCCCTCCACCCCCCCCCCCCACCCCTCCCCAGCCATACATCTCTGAAACAAAATCAATGAGGACTATTTCCTACAACAGTATTGTTACAGGATGTGGGAAGTTTTTATTATTACCAAATAATTCAATTTTGTATCCCTTTTACATGTGCTATCTCAAACGTTGCAGTGCAATGATGTATCTATCAAAACAGTTATAATATCATAAGTCCCAAACACCCCTCCTTATACAGAATACAAAATGCAGGATGTTTTCCTGTCTAACGACCTTCCTGGCTGATGTTAAAAATCAAAATGTATCGTTATTATGAGATATCAAGTCTAAGAGAAGCTGAAGAATCCATTCAGTCAGCAGTAGACTGTAAACGAAGTGATAGGATACTCATACTGTTGAGGAAGCAAAGTGTTAACTCATGCCATTGTATACTATTCATCATAGACTTCCGACATGTCCAATCAGGTGAAAAAACACACATTTCATACCAGCTAGAAACATCAAAAAGCCGGGTTTATATTCTGATAACTGATGCACTTGCCAGGTTGCGAATAAAAGCAAATATGTATATAATAATAACAAGCACATTCGACCAGAAAGGAAAGGCGATGCATTTTCTGCAGTCGATGATTAAGGCAATGCATAATCTGTAACAGCAAGCATATGAAATGGTCCAATCAAAACAGGCAGAACATCAACACACTTTTGTATGAACAAGCAGACAGAAAGTGTCCAGTCAAAACTCAGGTGATTCATATTCCCAGTAAGCAGGTGTCAGGTAGATGTTTGATCGGTGAATTTCCAATCGGTGTGCAGATATAATTTCCGAGGAAAGTGTGGCAGATATTTACATATCTGATAAAGCGTAGCAATTTCTAGTCTGCATGTGTGAGGCATCCATCTTGAAGCTGTGATTCTGGCGACATGTAACGATCATGTGATGATCATTCGACAATGAATCTGTAACTTACGACAGTCCAACTCGTCTGTTGTGTCAGGACAATCGTTTGCTCCATCACATCGAAGTCCTTCGTCTATACACCGCCCCATTTCACACCGAAATTCTGTCGGCTTGCATGGCACCGACACTGAGTACAGACATATCCAGTTGGTATTAGATTCCTTGGTTTTATATGTAACTGGTTCATACCTCATCAATTCATGTTTCATCCAAATGAATTACATATTTGACATCAATTTCAAGTCAAAATGTTCCAAACCCAATTTTATGTTCTGCGTAATATTGCTTCAAGTAAGTCAGTCTCAACATTGAGCTGATTGGTAGATCTAAATTCAACTCTCATTGGGTCATACATATTTTCTAATTGGTTGATCTATCATTTGGGCAATTTTAAATTTTTTTTGCTTAATGTTTGATTTAAATTAAATTTTCATCGATTAATCTTTAATGGACTATGATCATATTAGTTATGCCAGAACAGCGGTCTCGTTTCAATTCCCTCATGATATTGACTCCTGTACAAAGAAAACCTTCTGGTTTTATCTCTGTATCATGCATGAATAATAGTATGAGAACCATGCTACACTTCTAGACAAGTGTTGTTTGTTATATCAAAAACATGTATAACCCACATATACAGTATTTACTACAAACACAACATGTCATCCTCACCAAGTACACACACCTACCTAATCATAAACTGTGTTTGGCCTCTCATTACTGACCAAAGTTCAAAGTCACATACCACAATATTTCACAAATACTCAAATTTGAAAAAAACAAAAAATTTCATGACCTAATTTGTAAAAACTATTTTGGAAGAAAGACTTTTTAGAATTAACTACACATGAAGAATATTTTGTGTAAATGTGAGACACAGTTAACAACCAAGAGGCCAAAGGGGCCTGCATCACTCACCTGGCTAATAACGAATGATTTCTGAAATAATTACCCTACTGATTCCCAGCCTTGTCATCAAACATAAAAATTGTTTCGTACCAAACTTGGATAATATCCTTGTACAGAAAAAGGATTTTGAAGAACTTACATTTCCCCAATTGGGCCCACCCCATCCACCCAAGAGGGCCAGGATGCACTGTTCATACAGACCTGAGTAGTCAAAACCAATCATTTCCACACCAGGAATAGAATTTTAAAGAATTTATTCTATTTCCCAAGCCCCTCCTGCCCTAGCCCCCCCCCCCCCTCCCCAACCACAAAATTGATTCCACTTCCCCATCAATTCTATGTACCAAATTTGTGCCAAATCCAATCATTCCTATCGAAGAGGTAGGATTTTAAAGAATTTGCTCTATTTCCTCCAATGGGACATGCCCCTCCTTGGGTGTCGAGACTCATCATTTATGAAAAAAAAAAATTGGTCTAAATTGGCTTAGTCCTTCATGAGTATTAGCAATTTGAAGAAAAGTTGATGTACGAACGGACAAACGACAAACGCCACAATATTCCTATAGCTAACTAATGGCTCTTCGGGCCAGGTGAGCTAAAATAAATTCTTGCAAGTGTTTGGAATGATACAAGTTTATAAGTTTTAAGATAAAAAATTGGAAATGTCAAACACAGAGAGCTTCATTAAGTAATGACAAACATTAAAAATAATGTTTTAAATACCCCACCTATACATAACATATACCACACTGTGATTGTTCATTCAGTAGAATATCATTCATCAAAAAAGATCAATGTTCAGTTTTATCAATATTTTTTTCCACATAAATAACTTTTGTCATTGAGATCATATCTTATGAATCCAAAATATTTTGTTTGTTTCTTTGATTAGAACTTATTTTGCATGCATCATATAATATAACAACATATTTTAGACAAGCTAGACTAAATCTTATAAAGCCATCATTTATATCATTCTTACAGACACCAGTTTTACATTTTGGAAAAAATATATCAGAAGTCTATTCGCCCAGAAAGATTATTAGAAAGATTTCTGATTCAAACAAAATTTTTCAGAAAAGATTATCTTTCAGAACAGTGGAGAATTTCTTTTTCAAAGAAGTGCTGAAAATTTAATAGATACAATTTAAAGAAGTGCTGAAAATTTAATAGATATAATTTCTTTTTGTAAATAGCATAAAAAAATGAAATGAATTAAATATTATTTATTCATAAATATTGTTTTCCTTATATAGCATAGGTAAAGAGTTACAGTGATCAAGATCCGACAAGAAGCCGACAATGAAGGAAACATGCACATGAAATAAGCCTTTAGAAGACCCTGAAGAGACTTTGAAGGGAAGAAAGAATGGATAGAATTTCATATTCATATATCAAGCATATTTATGTCATAAACAATACAGATAAAGCTGTATACTTAATTACAGGATGCTGTTCTAATACAGTATTTAGAGGAATTTTACTATTAAAATGCACTACAGGATGCATATTGATAGGAGTTGCTTTTCACAGGGGCTTTGGTTTACAGGACTCTTGCAGGAATACAGGATCTTTACAGCATTTTCCATAGAATTCTTGCAGGAATTGATACACAACCCATTACAAATCCAGAAGATTTTTCTAGCTGTACATAACAGGACATTTCAATACAGACAATATGTGTAACATACAACAGACTATAGTAACCATTTAAAGTTCCTGTTTACATCTTCTCCACAACCTTCCTGACTTAACATGGTGCTAAATCATTTTTGTGCCACAACAAAATTTTAAAATTATTATAACTAAATATGTTGTCATAATCAATCCAAATATCTAGATTTTATCAAACCTCTGTCCTGATATAACAGCAGCCAAAATTTTAGTACAACTTTGATAGAATGCCCCTTATTTCAACATTATAACTTCTGTTGAAAGCCCTTCATTTAAAAAGCAAAATCTCTATTAAACGCCCCTCATTTAAACAGTAAAACCTCTATTAAACGCCCCTCATTTAAACAGCAAAATCTCTATTAAACGCCCCTCATTTAAACAGTAAAACCTCTATTAAACGCCCCTCATTTAAACAGCAAAATTTCTATTCAACGGCCCTCATTTAAACAGTAAAACCTCTATTAAACGCCCCTCATTTAAACAGCAAAATTTCTATTCAACGCCCCTCATTTAAACAGTAAAACCTCTATTAAACGCCCCTCATTTAAACAGTAAAACCTCTATTAAACGCCCCTCATTTAAACAGCAAAACCTCTGTAGAACGCCCCTCATTTAAACAGCAAAATTTCTATTCAACGCCCCTCATTTAAACAGCAAAACCTCTGTAGAACGCCCCTCATTTAAACAGTAAAACCTCTGTTAAATGCCCCTCATGTATACAGTAAAACCTCTATAGAATGCCCCTCATTTAAACAGTAAAACCTCTATAGATTATTCTCATTTAAGAAATGTTTAATACATTGTTGTGTATATCAACATCCCATTGTTAATGATATCTAAATGTCTATGTCTTCCTGTAAAATAACATTGTGGTCATAATACTTTTAACACCAAATTTAAGTAAGAGGGGTGGAGAGATGTGATTACATCATATTATCATAAGGTCACTAAAGGTCATTATGGGTCACAAAAGGTCACAAACCTGTTGCACTGGTAGCTGCAGAAAGAAAGAGTGTAGACAGAAGTTTACTAAAATGTATGCCACCAAGGACTAGAAAATTACTAAATTATTATATAATTACGGGACAAATTCACATTCCATGAACAGTAAATGAAATTGATTACTTTAATTTTCTAATTTCAATTTAATTTTCAGGAGTGGTCGTACATGTTCTATAAATAGAACCCAAAATAACTTATCCTAAATGATTAATTACTTCAATACTTTGAATTTTGCTCTTCATATTTTCCCTTTTTTCCCCCCAGAAAAATCAATATCTGCTAAAAAAGCAAATTGTTTTCTCAATATCAGGAACACAGATCTGTATGTACACTAAATAACAACATAATGTTTGTGAAGACAAACCAAAAAAATTAAATTCAACCAAGAAGTCTTCAGATGAAAAAACTGTGTATTTGATAGGTGGTATCATGTCTAAACCACGAAATAAAAGTGGCCCCAAAAATTCAACAATATACAGTATTAAAATGTTATATCTAGGGCAATTCGTCAGATGTGTGCATATCTTAAACATCTCAATTCTGACTGAAGAATATCTCTTGGACAAAATCAGTCCTCGATGAATGATCGTTGCATTCTGGAGTTGTATCTGAGTTTGAATTAAGTTTTCATTTGACACTTACGGCATGCTATTTCGTCAGTTCCGTCGGAACAGTCCGACACTGAGTCACATCGCAGGTTCTTGTCAATGCACTGTCCGCTACTACACTGAAACTGCTGGTCGGTACATGGCAATACAGCTGAAGGAAAACAGTCGCAAACTCGCTTTAACTTGCCTATCATTTCCATAATCAAAGATCAAATCCACAGACTTCCAAATATGCAGGCATTCATTATAATGATGTTGTGAAACTACATATATTTCGCAAAGGTGTGCAAATAACAGATTGTTGTTACCAATACAAATTTATAGATTCGTGGAAAGAAAGATTTTCATACCAAAGCATCATGCTATCAATGGAACATGAAAAATCGTAATTTATTCCAATATACTCACAAGTAACAAGAAATCCTGAAATCATTACTATGCAGAAAAGTTAAAGCTCAGAAATTTAATGAAAATTTTCATTTCAAGACAGATTTAAGAAGAAAAAGGAAAAGCACCATGCCCAACAACACAAGCCATTAAGTTAAATTGAAAAATTCAAATGTTATTTAATTTGATATTGATAATCAATTCCATGGTGACAAAATTTGTACATTTAAGTTAAAATCAGTCCCCCATTATGAATCTTTTAGAAAGAACACAATTTAAAATTACTTATTCATAACTAAGCGGAACAAAATCATGTTAAATATAGAAGTGGTTTGTAATTTTAAACAAATTCAACATAACTTTTATATTAAGATGCTCTTTCATGTTTGAAAAGTTATATCATTAAAAAAACTCATTTTGCACAACCTTCATGCTTGTATGTGTAAAGGAGACTGATTTTGTGGGTTATTACCATATTTATCACTCAATTAGCAAATGTTCAGTAATAAGCCCACCCACATGTACCACTGCTCAATACAGAATTAACAACAGATGTTATTTCATAATCCTGTAGTAAGCCCCCACCCCCAGCCCCACCCCTCTACCAATGACCAAGAATTTCTGTGTGAATCCCCCTTGGATTACTGGGATAAATACGGTATTAAATTTTGTCACCATATCACAAAGAAACCAACAAAAGTTTGTCCGATTAATTAGAGCAATGCATGGTTGAGAATTCTTACGACAATCTTCCTCGTCACTTCCGTCCGAGCAGTCCACTTGGCTGTTACAGAGGAAGGCTTGCGGAATACACTGAGGAGTTGAACGACACTTTACCTCTCCTTCTACACATTTTATTGGATCTGAAAGAAAATCATTTCACAATCTATCAAAGTCTCCAACAAGCTGAATTTGTCATGAAATGAAACCTACCTTTAATGATAATCCCTCACTTTCTCCTGTCTTTATACAAAATACTAAGTGTTTTCAATCTCCGAGGCAATAAATCCCAAATTCCCATTTGGTTACTTTAAGAATTCCACTTGAATATTGTTAAATAGTAATATTTTTCTCCACAGGAAGAAAATAACTACCATGAACTCGAAATTATTCAGGAATCTTGATAGACAACATGACAAAACATGTCCACAAATAGAATCCATATTTTTTATATTCACAGTAAATAATTGAAATTCTTAACCGATTTTATTTTCACATAAGCTTTTCACCTCAGGAAAGTTTACCATAGTGTTCTCTTGGGAACAAAATACTTCCTATATTTTTGGAAGGTATAAAAACCATCATAATTTTTTTTTCTTGAAAGATATATAATGAAATCATACAAAAGAGAGGTAATTACTACGATATAATTCGAAGCTTTTGAGTATATTGTATCAGAACTGATAAAGGGTAAGTGATTAGATATTTCAGTATTCACTCAGTCAGTGTAATCATGCAGTACAGTATTCAGTAGAAAGAATTTTGACTTCAGTCTGTATGCTAAGACTCGACGTACCACATCCTTTTTCATCCGACTGGTCGAAACAATCAAACTGTCCGTCACATCTGTACCGTCCATCCACACATTCTCCATCCTCACATGTGAACTGATCAGGTTTACAGGTCAACACTGAGTCTACATCGGCTGTAAGATCACGGAAAACAAAAACTTTTGATCACATTTCACATTATTTTGACTAAATAACCATAATTCATTATAATATAGCCATTTTCAAAGAAAGAGATTTCCAAGCATAGTTTGTGGGAAAAACAAATTAGTAGAGACAGGATAGAAAAACCAATATACTGTAAGCAGGGAATATTTCGCTAGTTAAATTTTCACTCTTTTCACCATTATGTCAATAAAGCAAAAATAAAACTGATTAAAATACATATTTAATTCTAAGAGGGAACTTCACAATGGTTGAAGATAAATATTTTTCCTGGAGGTTGAAAGAACCCTGCTGGAATGTTTCCCTTTATACAGTAGTATTGGAGACTAGGTATAAAACAACTGAAACTCCTGAACTGTGGAACAACATGAAAATTTGTAGCTTGATCAATATAGTTTGATCGCATGTAGTTGTAATTTATTTTTTCTGATTTTTTCCTTAAAACAAAGAGACAATTTAGCATCACTATATGAAGACAAAATATATCAATATTTCTAATGATACCAAAATTTCTTATCTGATAAATCAATAATGGTAATTTTAAACAAATGTTTTCTTTTCCAAAGAAAAGTTGTAAAAATAGTAAATAAAAATTTTTTACTCTGTGAAACACCGGTATAATCCATCAAAGCTCTAATAGCAAATGTTGCTCCGACGTCCTCATATGGCACCCTCTCCAAGCTAAAAATAGATCCGGTTTCCACATCCTCCTGGTAAAATGTAGCATAGTAATTTTGATAAAGTTCTTCAGGCGTCACTTCACCAGCACGAGCACTTGCTACAACGCCCTCAGTGGAGGCTCGTGGGTAAAAGATTCCAATGAAGTCACCCTTTTCGACAGCAATTGGGGGATTCGCTTGCACAGTGTGGTTGCCTACGGCGGCAACAGGAAGTTCTGTCTGGCCCACCAAGATAAATTCCTCTGGAGAAATTTGTCTCCATACAGCCGCATAACCGACATATCTTGGTACAACTCTGTAATAGTTCCATCCCACAACATACCCTCGACAGAAAAACTCGTTGTTGATGAGGAGGTTTGCACGATTATCACCTGATCGAGGCAATGGATCTGCACCGCGACCGGTATAGTCAGGACAGGCACGGCCATCTGTAAAATCAAAGGGCAGATAACTGATTATCATTGGAGGTAATGATAAGAAAATGAAACCCATGACATATTCAGGGTATTGGGGACATACAAGTCCATATGAAACAACAAGGGGAAGAAACTCTGGTTGTCATGTTGACATTAAGAAATAGAAAATGTTCAAATAATTAAGGCAAAACCACTGGAGATCGCATAGATTCACATGATAATGTTGATATTTTGGACTTTTTATCATCCACATAAATCATGCTTGTGTATGTTTGTTTTTTAATCCAAAATATAAACCCCAAAAATGTTGGATGATTTCAAGATCTAGGTGCTGGAAACCTCTTAAAAAGTAAGCACACGTTACCAACAAGAATTCATCACAGATGCTACTATATTGAAGAATGAAAACTACAACAAAGTTAAACCATGATTTGAAACCAGAATTCTAGAGAGATACTTTAAACAATTGACTATCTGGCCATCATTTGTCCTCTAGATCATCCACATCACATACACAAAAATCTAGCCCATTATTTTTTGTTTTACTAACTAAACAAAGCATGTTGTGTTATTATAAGCTTTAGAGAATTTAGGTATTCAACCAACTTATTTACAAACACTTTACAGGAAACAAGAAAAATTCAATGAAAACGGAAATTGTTTTTCTTTTATTGTGAAACAAAACTCCTCTTCCTTAATGAATGCAGGCATTCAAACACCTGTTTAAGGTCAGCAAAGTTCTTTAAATCAGTTCAATGAAACTAGTCTTTAATGTTAAAAACCAATCCCATTTGCTTAATTAACTAACAAATGATATAAGTCTTGTCTGGACATTAACTGGCTATATAAGATTTCAAACCAACCCTTTTTATCATTATATCTCATTTTGCAGGTGTTAGCTGAATGAAAAGCATTTTAGTCAGTGATATTATGATAAAGAACAGAAAGCCATATAAATGTAGATATTTTTTCGTAATTAAGACAAATCACAAGAAGTCATCTTCCGAAATTAAAAGCTTATAGCAATGAAACGAGACAGAATTGAGTCAGTGCCTCTCATCAGTCATATAAATAACACTGATCTGTATCAATGGCATGTTTGAATTGGTTGGGAAAAACAGAGACTGGTAAGAGTACAAGCACTATTCCACAAAATCAAGCAGGCCAAGAAAAAAGTCTTACGCTATCGACATACCAGACGAACATTTTTATTCCTCCTTCCCATTAGTAAAGCACAGTGGTAAGTGACTTCACATGTTATCCTACATAAAATGTATCTCGCAGTATCTTTATCTGTAGTCATTTGCATGTGTTGCAGAAGATTGTACAAAATCCCTTCCACAAGACTTCCGAAAATTCTTACCCGAGCATTCATGAAATAGACAGATGTAAACAACACATTTATTGATAAAGTACTATTGTTAAGTCATAACAGAAGTGTTGTTACCATGGAAATGGTAAGATTGAACATTTTTCCGTTTTAGTTTTAAAGATAAACAGATGTTTAAGAACATCTTCCTGAGCTATTAGGATATCTAACATGTGAATATCGTAGAAATACAACCTTGACATGGTTACATATTACAGGTTGCTGAATCATCCATAGCCAGGGATGACCCTTTACTGAAATAAGGAGGCCAAAATAGGCCCATCAGATAAAGCATTGTCATATGTAACTTAAGGTAAGGTGTAGTTTGACAATCCCTTTCCATGGAGGTTTGTGTTTCTTCAAAAGCTGAAAAACCAACCAGTCTGTTCTCACACATGGTTTTGTCCATGACACTTTACCGTAATTGTTCTGGATGGCATACAAGTAATGGGCCTCTCATATGTTATTCAGTGAAAAAGTCACCAGCTGTTAACAAAATGAAAGGAGATTCTGCCCTAAAATGACCCCGCCTGTTCCTAGGGCGATACACCCAACAAACCAACATTTCTTAAAATATATACAGATGTCTATGGAAAAAAACGTTTTCAGTTACTTGTTTGCGCTAATTCCACTTTCTAGAAATCAGAAAATGTGGAAGTGGTATTTTAAGTATCAATGATGTTTTAATTCTCTAAAAAGTAAAATAATTAACAGTACATGTTTTGAATTAAACAAACTAAAACAGCCCACTGTGAGCCCTTCCTACAACAAAAACAGCGAGAGTACAAATTAAAATTTAATTTCTTATGACTACCCAGGAGATGCAGATGTCATCCTTAATATCACCATGTTTTAAAATCTGGGAGGTTCAATGTCATGATATATAATATTCCCTCCAGCCCTTACTTATTACTCACTAATTTAAGTATCTAACATCATTTAAAAATAGCATGACCACTTTCTGTATTGTATAACTATTAACAGTATGAGGTTCCCTAGACTGCCCTCGGACTTTATGCCCCATGACTCTAGAATATCAAATTTTTAAACAAATTGGAACAGCTAATGTAAGAATTTAGACGAGCACAAAAATTTAGAGTCTGGTAGCCAGACTACAACTGCCCTTTCCATCCTTTTTTGATAATAAAAGTGTGGCTATGATTCTACTTCATATTATACACAACTTCATATAATGATGTGCTGGATCCTGATTTTGTCTGCTATGTAATTGAAATAATTACATAAAAGACTTTAAAAGTACTTTAATAATAATGAAAATTGTCCTTTTTAGAAACCATTTTATACTTTATATTTTTTCAGAGACCCCACTCTTAGCACCCCCCCCCCCCCCCCCTTCCCCCCTACAAGTCCCCATGTTTTACTGCCGTATGAAAGCCCAGTATCAGCCACTCAGTCCCCATGTTTAGAGTCAGTATGGTAGCTCAGCATCAGCCCCCTGGTCCCAACCCTTAGTGTCAGTATGGTAAGAGTCAGTGATAGCCATCCCCATCACCCCTACCAGTTCCAACTTTTAGTGCCGTATGGTAGCTAAGTGTTAGTCCCCCAGTCCTGACCCTTAGTGTCAGTATGGTATCTCAGGTTTAGCTCATTAGTCCCCATCCTTGGTGTCAGTATGGTAGCTCAGCTTCTGCTCCTTAGTCCCCACCCTTAGTGTCAGTGTGGTAGCTCAGGTTTAGCTCATTAGTCCCCATCCTTGGTGTCAGTATGGTAGCTCAGCTTCAGCTTCTCAGTCCCTATTCTTGGTGTCAGTATGGTAACCCAGCATCAGTCCCTCAGTCCCCACTTTAAGAATCAGTATGATAGCCCAGGATCAGTCCCTCAGTCTCCACTTTAAAAGTCAGTATGGTAGCCCAGCATCAGTCCCTCAGTCCCCACTTTAAGAGTCAGTATGGTAGCCCAGCATCAGCCCCTCTGTACCCACTTTAAGAGTCAGTATTGCAGAAGTCAGCCAATGTTCTCCTGTTCACCCTGTTATCCCTCAATCCTCCTGACTATAATCACAGCAGTAATTTCATCTTGGTTCCAGACAGGTTGACCCTTCCTTAGCTATTTATCCTGGTCTTAGACATCTAACTGGCTGTTCACCTTTGTATATTTGTCTCTCCTCTCTCATTCCTCTCCCCTCCTCCTCCCCCTTTCTCACCACCATCCCCATACTCCATACACAATATATCCATGTGTACAGAAAGTTTCACTCAATGACTAATTACACATACAATCCCCATTCCTATTTCAGGCAGTAGTCTTGGTCACCACAATGGTACCAGATCCCCTTTACCTCCATCCATCCTTCCTTTCCTCCCTACATAATAACAGGCACATAAAATTCATCAGGGAGGTACACAATTTTGTTTTGTTACAGTCTGTGTACCATCACAGAGGATCTTTCCCTCCAAGCTGCCAATGTATGACACATTGCTAGAGGTAGAACTTTTTACCATTGATTCAACACACTAGCATTCATTAACTCATATTGAGGTGGTATTCCTCCATCATGATGAGCATAGATTTTGGTGATAATGTGAAAATAGTGTTGTTTTGTTGATTACAACCTTGTTTTTGTTACCATATCTGAATATTTCTTTTGTTCTTAAGAATTCTCCTCCCCTCTCTCTTTGACGTTTTATAATATTTATTTTCCAAAGAATCTTCAGCTACCCATAGCACAATTATTTTAATCTCCAATTTTAGAAAAATGAAAAAAAAAAATTTGTTTCTCCATTCCACGATAATTTTCTTTGTAAGGAATTAAAATCAAATACACAGTGAACTAAAATATCATCCTTTAATTAATCACACTAGCATGTAAGGGTACGTCTCGATGTGGGAGGAAAGTGGACTACCGGTGGAAAATCCAAATGTTTGGGCAGGTGACCCTATACCTTTTCACGTCCATTAAGGAAATAAAACCTGGATGTGTAGGTGAAAGGTGAATGTGTTGCCACTGCATCACAAACCACCCAGTAGTATTTATATATTTATATTCATATACGACAGATGAGAGTGGGCTTAACACCAGTCATGGGCTTATTGTCGAAAAAACACAATCAAAATTTCACTAAATTTGCTGAAGTTCTCAAAACAAATCTCAAAAAAGCAGTAACTATGTCATTCAATAAAGAAAAACCTTCTAAAAGTTGAACTGTACACTAATGCATGACTTTTCTTATCAACCTGACCAGGTGGAAGGTATCAATATATCACTTAACACTTCGTTCACAGTACAGTTACACCTTTTTCCAGCTCAACGGATCGATTTGATGAATCAAGATCTCATCATAGGATTTTCTGCACTACATGAATTAGGCCAAATTATTATGCTGACAAAATCAGAAATGAACTTGTGAATCACAACTACATAACAGATGTGTATATATGTGTTTTGTAGATTTCCTGTTTTAGATACAAAGAACCTTTGTATAAAATTACTACAGGAAATTTTAATATTAATCAGTAATTACACATTACAATATATGAAAACAAAATTGTATTTCAATACCCCCACTGTACATAATATATTTCTGTTATAATGCGTTTTATGATGTTTACATCTATAGAGAAGGAGATATAAACACTGATGTCTGGTTACATACCTATAAATCACTCCTAATACACCGGATGC